ATATACCCTATCCCAGAGTAAGCTGCCTGAAAACCCGGGGGGGGGGGCACTTTAGGAATTTCTGGGTGGGGATGTGCCGCTGGGACCCTGGAACCCTTGACCTATACCAGAGCTAGTTCAGCTGAATTTTGCTACCCTATACTAGAGTAAATTCCCAAAATCCCCCTATCCTAGAGTAGCTGTTTCCCCAGTCTAGAGAAAATCTTCAACCAACTGATCGGTTTCCTGAAAAATGATACCCTATTCTAGACCCAAAGGCTCTGATTTATATACCCTATCCTAGAGTAAACTGCTTGAAAACCATACCCTTCACAGCGGCACATACCCATATAGCCCATATATGGCAGAACCCCCCCCCCACCGGGCCTGAAGACCATACCCTTCACAGCACAGCAGCACAGACCTATATAGCCTATATATGCCAGTCGCCCCTTCCAGGGGTTTTGCCAAAGAGAAGTCTATGATTAAGTCCCCAAAATTCCTTACTGATGACGTGAACGATCAAAGTTTACAAAACTATTAATCTGGTAGTCATGGGGCTCCATTCTGCAAGTTTGTTCAAGATTATTTTTGGGCCAAATCGCAGACATCTCTCCAATGAAAACGTCTCTAGTGGTGAGGAGAGAGATGAGATGACAGTATTATACTGTTGGTATCAATTGCTTCCTTCGTGCACATTGGTGTCAAAACAAGCTGGCGACTGCCGCAGTTCCACCAGCCACTTGATTATATGTCGCTGGCTACTCCAGACCCTCCTAGGCCCCTCGATTGTGACAGGTAGCCGCCTACTTCAAAGAGAGTTGCCCGCCTACTTCAAAAGATTTTGAAACCCCTGAGTGTAGTGGTTAAAAGGTAAGAAATTAATGTAATATGACCCAGGTTCAAAGCTCCCAGTGGTTCTCTTCTTCTTAATGGTCTTCATTTTTTTAAAGACTTAAAAATGTAAAATTAATAATTAAAGCTGACCTCAGTGTGTAGGGTTCATGAGGTGTCCAACCTGTGATGAACACATTTAATGTAACTTCAACTGTGAAGTGATCACTTGAGACAATTTTGTTGTAAGTGAAGGAAAGTGTTTGTATGTCAAAGGTACAAGCTTAGAAGCTACTTTTTAGTTAAGTTTTAGTCCAATTAAATACTATGTACAAGCACAGGGAACTATTGTTATTATAGATCACCCAGGCAGTAAGTTATTCTGCTCCAGCTCTTTCATTCATCTGTAGGCGTTCATCATGAAGTATGCGTAGTAACACATCAGAAATCTGGTTTTCTTCTCCTGAAATTGGCACTAATTCATACTTCCCTCTACATTCTTCAGAACCATCCAAGATTTCTCTCAATTTACGGATAAACAGTACCACCTATCAGCAAAAAGGATTTTCAGAAATATGATAGAGTTAAGTAGCAAAATTTGAATCCATTCAAATAAATGTAAAAAAAACCTTTCTCTCTTCTGCTTGTTGGAGACTCTATATATTTGTGTGTTATTCCTTTCATAATTGATTATGTTGTCATGTGACAACAGGGTTTTTCTTTTACTACCATAATTTGGCCACACACAACAAGTTTATTTACTTGCAGTAAGGAACATAGATATTGACAACACAGACGCAAGGCCAAAAAAACAGGTTGTTGTAATGTTGTCAGCTGCTATATTAATAAGCCAGGTTCAAACACCAAACTTCACATGAGCCAAAACAAATTTGAATTTAGCCAGTTAGTAGCAATAATAATTTTTTCTCCAGCTAAAATAATTTTATAAGGGGAAAATCAAGAACTGCGCTAGCAGATGACTAAGGGTAGGTTACGCTTATTTCCAAAATTATTACTGTAGACTCTGAGCCTGTGAGAAGACAGTGAGTTTAAAGTATAATGATATAAATAGATTTAGACACCAACATGAATATTTTGACCGGGAAACTTTTTTTCACACGTCAACTTTAGAATTACCTGCTCATCTCGCTCTTGGCCACCCACTACACCTTCCTCAGACATAGCATACAAGGACCTCAGAGGAACAGCATACTCCACTGCCACGTGAGGGGGTTCCGGATCATTCGTTCCATCTGGGCGTAGCATCTCTATTCGGTGCACGCTGGTTTTGTACGGAAGCTTCGATACTCCACCTCGACTACTCACAGTTAAGGTGAGATTATCAACAAATTTCATTCTATGGTCTGCCTTCTCAATGCTATCGTATATGTAGCATGTTTTTGGTATCAAAATAAACAGCTTGTGGATCGGAATCAGGTACTTGTAATCCGTCTGTCCGATCCTCTTAGCAAGAATTGGAAGAACCATCTTCAAGTAGCCAAAATAGTAGCCCCAAGCTAGACCATCAGCCACATTTTTGTTATTATTTTCGTTGATCTGTGATAATTCCACGCTAGAAATCCCTCGTAAACCGATAAGAAACAATACGTGTGGTAAAAGAAAGCAGTTAAGGGAGAAAAGGATCGCGTATTCTGAACGGCAACAGGTGTTACAATGTTCGTACAAGACATAAAACACAAAAAGAAGGGAAGCAATACAAACTACCAGAACAGTTCGGCCATGTCTGAAAGTGAAAGTGGAAGTAAAAACCTTTTTCCAACTTCCTTTATATCGAGCCTCCTTGTGGCGAATTTCTTCACTCACCAAACACAGTCTTCGCACAAGCTCGCCGAGGACGAAACTCAGAATGAGAAGGGCAAAACCAAAGAGAAGAAAATGGAATTCGACTCTGCCTTCTTTGTCTTCCGAAGAATAAGCGATTTTAAAGTAAACGCAGTGAATGGCACCAGACAAAACGATCAGAAATGACGCAGTTATGACGGAAGTCCTTCCGCGAGGCTTCGAAATTGGTCCAAATCCATTATTCTGCTGCTGGGGATCCATCCCGTAGGAAACTGAAAACTCGTTGTTTTTAACTTTGAATATTGAGGTGCTGCTGAAATCGGGCTTGAAAATAGAGGGCATTCCTCATTTTCAGTTCATGACTTGTGATTGGCCGCGCGCAACACGATGGATTGGCAACAGTTACCGGAAATGCTCGAATTTTCAGCGCTCGCGCCAAAATTTGAAAACCAGAAGAAGTCGGTAAGAATAAAAATAATAATAACCTAGATAACAAACAAAACAAAGGAATAAGAAATACTAGAATGATTTGTATGATTTTGTGCCCCATAATTACTAATTTTTTTTCCTTCGTGGGTGGCTTAGACCACCAACGAAGTCCCGTGAATTTCAAATAAAAAATATGGGGCTTTTGTTGTTGCTGTTTTTGTTTGTTTTTTCTTCTCTTCGCCATAACGATGCCAAATTGCTTTTGTGCCTTCAACTTTGAACGCATAGCCTGCGTAGCAGGCGTCGAAAGGGGTAGGGAATAGGGAGAAAGGGAAAAAGGGAGGGGGCAGGGGCTATGAACGCATGGGTGTAGCTACCTTTCACACCTTATACGCCTGAAAACACGTGCAGAAACGATGTCAAAAATAGAAACAAAAAAATAGACAATCGAAGCAAGGAAAAGAAGGTAAATAAGAGATAGAGAAGCTGAAAAACAGTGAAAACGCTGAATCATTGCTGCCAAAGATTAAGAGAGATAATTAGCTCAGCATCCTGACAGAAAACAAACCGAAACAAACACAAAAGTGAAGTCTCCTGCCTGGAAACGATTCACTGGGAGACGGGGCCTAAGAGTTGGCTTGAAAAACTGTGCGGTCCTCTAGAGTGTCTAGAGAAAAAGGGTGGATCCAGGTTTTTTTGTCAGGGGAGAGGGGACCAACTTGGGCACTCAGTTGAAGTCAATAACTTCCATCCTTTCACGCCGCTACACTGGTTTCCACTTCGTTAATGGTACGCGCAGTACAAGTGGTAAAATAAGTTTTCTCAGATCGAAAAATCAAATCTTATACTTGACCCGTAACGTGAAACGCAAGTTTTATTTTTAAGGTACAAGCTGAAAGCGACACTTAAGAGGTTATTTCAATTTCCTGGTAGTTAGCTAAAAAACGTTAAGACTGAGATCTTTGGTTTTGAGGGGCCTAGAACCGCAAAATATGTCGCCAATTGGTTTTCTTTATACTAGGCTGTTAAGTAAGACTTAAGAGCTGCTAAGTTTTACTTAACCAAAAATTCGTGTGTGAAGGCCTAAGTAAAATCTCAAGTAACTTTACTTTGCATCTCATTAAAGTCGGAAAGTTGAAACGATTAAAGAAAGTTTCAAGCGACTTGAAAACCATCCTTAACACCGACTTGGCTGGCTTGCGGTTACTTGCAGTTTCTTGAGCTTTGAGAAAGGCGAAATATGTCAATCAATCTTAATTATGTTGCGCGGGAAAATAGCCTGAAGTTAACCTGGAGTAAAAAAGAATCGGTTGTGTGTGAAGCTTTATTTTACTTGAAGTAATTTTAATTAAAAAATTAAAAAATTTACTTGTCTTGAAATATTTCTTAGCTTATTTAGGCTCTATTATCTTCAAATGTCCCTTTCTTCTCAAAATTGAAATGCCTTCTCATATGACCCAAAGATTCTGACGATTGATAGAAGCTGTAAAAGTATCGAAGCCAAGCACAGCATGGCCTCTTACTTTATTACATTCCTTTACTTGTAAAACTGGGGACATAATTAACCTCCCTCCCCCCTCCCACCCCACAAAAAAGGGCTCTTTAGGGGAATTCATAAGCGTGAAGCTACGTATCAGTAAACTGTTAACCAAACAATATACTTTGCATTTGTACATTTCCATGCTTGCTATCTATAAACACAGCTGAAAAGGATCAAAATCCCTCTGGTCACACTGTCCTTGTTACCACTCAGGAAGATTTCACTCAGCTTTCATCCCTGATCCACATCATGATTGAAGCATTGGTACCAACACATCTGCAATTTCATCCTCGACTTCCCCGGAGATGAGCACTAATTCATACCTCCCTTTACATTCTTTACAACCTTCTAAGATTTCCCTCAATTTGCGATAAAACAGGACTACCTATTCAAACAGAAGGGTAAAAGCATTTTGAAGGAAATTAATAATAATACTGTGGGGGTGCTAAACAGGAGTATTTGTCTGGTTTCTGGGGGAACCAAAATTTTAATTATTGATTTTTTTTTAATTTACCCAAATTTTAATTATTAAAATTTTGGTTACCCCCAAAACCAGACAAATACTCTTGTTTAGCACCCCCAAAGTACACCCCAATTGCTCCCCCTCCAAACTTTGTGTAAGCATTGTTTAAAATTTTTCTTAGGAGTTATCGTAAATCCTCTATAAGCTCCCTCCCCCTCTCCCCCCCCCCCCGAGGGGTATTTATTTTAAACCCATTTGAGGGGGGCTTAAAAGAGAGACGGGGGGGCTTATTTAATTTAGTACAGTCGATGGTATCAGTTCTCCATAAACAACTAGAGGGAAAAGCTTGGTATCAGAAGTTAGAAGTCGTGCAGCCGAGGATCAACAACAAATCTGAACTTCTAGTGGCTGAATACTTTTAGTAAACCATCCAGGATCAGTCCACATAAAGGGTTACAGTCATGATTGATTACTGATACAGCCTATCATTTATTAGTGAAGAATAATTAAAGGAAGGGAGGGGGGCTTATTAACTTTCTTCCCCTGAAAAGGAGAAATGGCTTTTAAGTCGTCGTTTAGTTTCTCCGATCTACTGTTTAAAGTAGTGGTTGCATAATAATTATTGTACCATGTAAATGACGTTTTTAGAGTTACAGTTGATTTGATATGGACGATAAGTCTGGTTTCACCTGTAGATTGGAATGTGCATGAAGTTTGTCCACCAGAAGTGTGTTTGACTCGTATTTTATACTGAGATTAAGTATGCGAAAGTCTAGAGAAGCATACCTCATCAAGAGAGGCAAAACTCTTGAACCCTTAGGTATTTTAATACCTACATTAATTTCATCTTTCGTTGTAATACATTCCTTATTTCTTCCATTTGTATTTATTTATACTATTTTTAAATTTCAAATTTCTTTCATATCACAACTTCAACGGTTTTTGTTTCCATATACTTTCAAAGTTCACTTTCTCCTTATTTAAATTTTTTACGTGTCATTATAGTATCATATGTAAAATCAGTCTTGCTTCTTTCCATTTATATCCATTCCTTCTCATGGAAGATCATGTTTTCAGAAGGAATAACCTAGAGATTTTAGGAGGGAGTCAATACAAGGAGAAAGGTTTTTCTGAAGGTGATTATTATCCAAAATGTAACTTTCTGAAGGGGGTTACCCCAGGGAAAATTTTGTGAAGGGGTCGATCTGGCCAAAAACACCTCATCAATGGGAGCAGGGGTTGATATTAAATGGAATGGTCCATTGGGGGGAGTGGAGAGTGCTACATTTTGCTACAAAAGGAAAGGCTATACGAAATAATATTCGATTAACTAAAAATGTTTGTATGCTGAATTAATTAAGTTACCTGTTCATCTCGCTCTTGGCCACTCAGTCCACACTCTGGGTGCTTAGACATATTGTAGAGGGACATTAATGGGGTGGCATACTCCAGAACCAAGTAATGGGGATCTTCACCAGGGCGTGGCATCTCTATCTGGTGCACGGTGTGCTGGTAGCGTCGCCTTGATATCCCACCTCGGTGTCTCTCATACGGCTCGAGATTTCCATCACTCTTAATTCTTTTGTCTGCGTTATTAATTTCATTGCAGGTGAAGCAGTTTTTTGGAATCAATATGAAAAGCTTTTTCTTTGTAATCTTGTACATGTAAGCTGTTGATCTTCCGATCTGCTCTTCAAGACGCGGTAGCACCAGCTTCAAATAGCCAAAATAGTAGCTCCAAGCAAGACCATCGGCCACATTTTTGTTTTCTATCTCGTTGATCTGCGATACTTCCACGCTAGAAGGCTCTCGCAAACCGACAAGAAACAAAAGTTGAGGGGCCAAGAAGCAGTTCAACGAGAAAAGTACCCAGTGTTCTGATCGACAGAAGGTCTTGCAATCTTCGTACAAGGCGTAGTACAAGACAAAAGATGACACCGTCAGAAACGACACAACACCAACGACCAAAATAGAATGGCCGTATCGAAAAGTGAAAGTAGAATTGAGAAGTTTCTTCCAACTTCCTTGGTATCGAGTGTGCCTATGTCGTCTTTCTTCGTTAACCAGACATACTCTTCGTACTAACTCGCTAAGGACTAAACTTAGGGTTAGAAGAGCGGCTCCAAAGAACATAAAAAGGATTACATCTTTGCTTTCCTTGGTTGAAGAAAAGGCGATTGCGTTCACGATGTGGACAGCACCACTGACAGCGACCACAAGCAAAGCAGCGAAAACGGCACCGCTTCCACGAGGTTTCGAAAGTGGTCCAAATCCATTATTTGGCTGTTGGGGATCCATTCTGTGCGAAAACTGAAAATACTTGATTGAAAACCTGAATTTTGACGAGTTGTCGAATGGTACTTGCGCGGTCACTTCCGTGGTCTATGACTGAGGGGAATCCCCTTTGTCTTGTGATTGGTTTAACCATCGGCGTAAAACGGGTGGGGAGGATGGATGCCACCCCCTCCGCCCAATAAGGCTTTTCTGAGGTTTTTCCTAAAGAATAAAACATCAGTACCTGACTATTTCAGCAGCTGTTCATTCATCCCTCGAGGACATTTTGAGACAAGTTTAGTTATGGTCAGTTGCTATGGTTGCGAGCTATGACGTCATAAGTAGCAGGTGGTGGTGAAAATACCGTAAATCCTCTATTAAGCCCCGCGGGGGGCTTATTTTTGTCAAGCACTTTAATTTTGAGTGGGGGGCTTAATAGAGAGGGGGGGGTTATTTAATTTAGCGAAACGCATCACCTGTAGCAAAAATACCGTGGTATGAGACAGTAGACTTACGCATTGTACAATTAAAGTCACCGTCAAAAGTCGTGAGTTTAATTCACTTGTGGGAGCCTAAAAGTAACAAAAACAAAATTCTTATTCTTCAAAAATGTGCTTTCGACCTCATGTTCTTCGGTAATTTTTATGAATAAACCATAACTGATCAGTCCACGTTAATCGTTAATTTTTTTGTGCAGAATAAGGATTGGAGGAGGGGGAGGGGGGCTTAATAGAGAGGGGGGGCTTATTAAGTTCCTCCTCTGAAAAGGGGGGTTTATTAGAGAGGGAGCCGGCTTAATAGAGGATTTACGGTACATGAATTTTTAACTTCTTTCAACAATAAAAGGAAATCTTGGAGCTAAAATCATGCAAAGTGCCTATCTATGTGTTATTTTTCATGTAAAGCACAAAAATTTACCATTTCTCGTGGTTTTAACCTGATTTCTAATTCTTGGTAAAATCCAATATGGCCACACCATTAATTGGTGACGTCACAGGCTTCCAGCAAGGCCACTATCCCTTCCACTTAAGGTAAAATCGTTTCAAAATACTGTAACATATCAAAAACTCTGGGGACGGGTTCCATCCACCCACGCACCCCCCCCCCGGCACCTTGTACCACGCTAAGGGTATGAATTTGCGTAATTCCTTGGTAAGAAATCCAACTTTTTTTAACCATTAATAGCAATCTCTCTACTGGTATCACTAATATTGATCCAGGGGCGGCGCCGGGTTTTTTCCTAAGTTGTTGGGGCATAACTGGGGATATGTGTAACATTGGCGCGACAGCGCCAAGGCACGAGAAACTAGGGGGGTCCGGGGCATGCTCCCCCTGGGAAATTTTGAAAATTTACGTTGTCTAGGAGGCAAACACCAGGATTTCATCGTGGTCAACATAGTAAGAAAAACTTGATGACCTTTTCTATCTTAGCAAAAGACTTATCAAACTTGAATACGTTCGTAGAAAATCATAAATTGTCAGTTTGTTTTGAGAAAGTTTAAATTGACATCGAATTTTCCAAAGCGATTTTGCCTGTCATTTGATGTTGAAACAATTCTGATTTTAGGAGCGTGCGTGACCATTTTGACACGTACGCACACGAGTCAATATGGTTTTATAAAAACTTAAACAAAAAAACGTTTTTGCGTTCCATGTATAAATAGTTGGCAGTTTACAGCCTTGTTTTACAATAGAAGTACGTGATATCAAAAGGCTTTTACATGTAAACGTTCTTCTCTGAGCCGGTACTGGAATGTTTACCACCACAAGGCGAGGCATCTTTTTGTTCAGAAATTTGGAGTTTAAAATCATCGGTTGCAAGAATTGCGAATTGTGCATGTGCATGTTAGTGTAAGTTTTCCATACGCTTGGTCCACGCTTACTAGTATGCCTTTCCCTTCCCTTTTAAACACCTGCCACGCAGACTAGTTTTTCCCTTATTTGAATCATGAGTACGGGAAAGGAACAAACAATCATGCAGTGATTCAATCTTTTTTTGCGACAAAGCATTCGTGGCAGGTACAACAAGAAGTATTAAACTTCACAAGGTTAAAAACTTCTGAGAAATAATCAACAGCCACACTGGGGAGGTTTCTCAGATTGGCCACTACATCGTTCAATCCAAGGTCTGTTTCAGTACCAAGCTGCGCTCTGAGAGATTGCTGCTTTGGCAGCAGCGAATTGCGCGCCAAGTCGTCTCCAATTCTAATACATTAAATCGCCTAATACAGTGTATGATCATCTGGTCTCTTAGCTTACCACACTAAAGTGATCTCAGCCTGTGCAATTTTGAGTTTTCCCAAAGTTGAAAGTTTGTAGGGCAAATGCCCCACCTGCCCCACCTGTAGCGTCGCCCTTGTGATCTTCTCTCCTCAAAAAGGGAAACAAAATTCCTGATCACAGGTTAGGGACCGATTGTTTATTATGTCCCAGGGGGGAGGGGGGTTCAGAAAAGTGTGGTGTGAAAATTGTACCTCCCCCCCTCCCTTGACAATAACAATTTTTCTCTTGGTATAGCTCTGGCTCTGAGAAAGGCTAATTTTGTTAGGTGAAATATTGGCCTATAATAAATCAGCCCTTTGTCGTAGTGCCAGCCCTGCATTCAGTTTTGTTTTATTTTCAACTTTTAAGTGATGTCTGGCTAGAGCATCTCTTTGATTAGAGATCCGGCAAGAGGAACCAGTGAGTTATATTTACGTGTTGTGTGGACCTCTGCATTCAAACAGTTTTTCCAAATTTTAAAGTACCCCCCCCCCCCCACCTCAAACCCCTTCTAGACCAAGTCACTTTTTCCATCTTTGGGCATCGATTTCATAAGCCAGATACCGGTAGTCAGCAGCATAGCGTGAGATTTTGAAGGTGCACGCAGTGGAAAAGTTAGTGCCCCATACCGGGGGGAGTCAGGGGGCATGCTCCCCAAGAACATTTCTACATTTAGGGTCTCGGAAATGCCATCTCCTGCATTTTCTGCAGGACATTAATTTTTCAGTAAATAAAGACGAAGGAAAATGGAGTAATTAGTTGTTTATTTTACCCATCTCTAGTGTTACTGAACTTTTTGCCACAAGTCTTTAGGACTTGTTTAAGTCACTGGGTTCTGGTTATTAAAAAACAGTCACTTTATAATTAGCCACTGTTAAACAAAACTGTGACGTAAGTCACACTGAAACTGGCTAATTCTCACATGCATCTAAACAAAATTTATTGTTTGTTATGAGCAGTACAGAATCAACAAGGCAAATAACAAGACTAGAAAACCACTTACCTATCCTAAAAAATAACACTTATAAACAGATTTGGACATTTACTGATTGTTTTAAGCCACGATCTGAGTTGCACTTTGGTTATAAAATAAGCAGCTGTCTGTCGCAGTAACTCTTAGATTTAACCATTTTGCCAACACTATGACTACTTGTAAATTTTTCCTTAACCAAGCTTAAGGCTTTATTCAAAAAGCATGATCATATCATTCCTTGCAAATAAATTGAGATAACATAATATTACGGTCATTAAAATTAAAGAATCATTATCTAAATAGCAATGTTATTTTAACATATGCATATATCCATATGCTACCCACAGAAGGGATTGGAAATTCAAAGGGAGGTGGTTGTGTTCTAAAATTAAATGGATATTTTCTGGAACTACACAAAATTATTCTATTTTATGAAATTCTCTTTATTGTTTCAAGTTAGGAGGGTACACAAAACAGTGTTACCAGGGCTGTGATTAATTTTTAGAGTGGCTGTAGCAAAAAGAAATTCACCTGTAATATCTCCCACAGGAAAAAATAACCGATTCCCATTTTGGATATTTTAGGGAATTTAAAGAATACCCACAAAAATCCCAAATTTGGAAGAGTGAGACAAGTCCCAATCAGGGAACTTGGTTGGGAATTCCCTGGTTGGGACTTGTCTCACTTTGCCAAATTTGGGATTTTTATGGGTATTCTTTAAATACCCTGAAATATCCAAAAATGGGAATTTTTTCCTGTGTCCCCAAATCTTCTAAGTGTCACATTTAGCTTTCCACTTTGATCACCTGTAAACTCAAGTGCACTCAGCTGTAACAGGTGTTATGGGTTATGGCCCATACCTTAATGTAGCCCATATGTTAGAATATCCCTTCCCCCTCCCCCTCCCCTCCCCCACCAGGGGCATCAAGAGTACTGTGTTTGTCATCACCTATATATCCATTCAAACATTTGGGTGGCATCTTCTTCATGACTCAGGGTTAGCATCTCAATCTTCCAACTGCACAGATGCATCTTGGTGTATCCGTACCAACACATCTGCAATCCTATTTTGAACTCTCTCATCTCCTTTATCTCCTGCAGCTCCTTCCGCTGAGATTGGCACTAACTCATACTTCCCTTTACAGTCAACACACTTGTCTAAGATTTCTCTTAATTTGCGGATAAACAGCACCACCTACAACAACAACAATAATAACAACTATTACAAATTATTACTGTAAACTGTAAGATTAAGGCATATCAGGTAATATACTGACCACATGATAAAATTATTGAGGGTGCATGGTTGCTTTTAAGACAATTAGCAAAATGCTTACCTTGCCGGTTAATACCAAAAACTTTAGCTGAAGTAATATTAAATGTTTTTTCTTTTTGTTTTTATCACATCCAAAGTTAATGATTAATCTTTAATGCTTGTACCGTAAAATTGCGAAAATAAGCCCCTCGAAATATAAGCCCCCCAAACTCGTAACGCAAAAACCCCTCCATTAAATCGCCCCTCCAAATATGAGCCCCCTCCAGGGGCTTGTACTTGGAAATTGCCCTCAAATATAAAGTAAAACAAAGCAAAAATGGTAAATTTCCTTCCAACTATAAGGCTAGTCCAATCTATTTTGAAATGCTAGTTTCCCTCCGTAGATAAACCCCTCTGAACATAAGCACTTCCAAAAATAAGCCCCTTGAAAAGGGCCTTTGAAAAATATAAACCCCGGGGATTATTTTTGGAATTTTACTGTATGTTGTGTGTAATTGTTGTAGATTTGATCAAGAAGTTAATACATTTATTCAAGTTAATGAGTATGGTCATCTTGTAGAACTTAACAACAGTAAAAAAGGCAAGCTGGTGATTATAAACAAAAGTAGTCGCAGTCGCTTACAGTACCAGTTGCTTATAAGAGCTTTTCATCACAAAGCTTAAGTCACAGAAGCCTGAATTTCATACATATCTTTGAGTCGCATACTTATGTGACTTGAAGATGTCTGAAATTCAGGCTAAAAAGTCCTAGTCCAATTGTGCAGTACAGTTAAAATCCTCCAAGACAGTAAACCTGTTGCCATGAAGTTGCACTGGCAAAAACACCATCGACTAGTGCAGCAAAACCACTCTCATCCCGTGTAAATATCTTTGCCTGTTCAATGGAACAATGCTGGTTGTAACTTAGAGCTGGAGAGTGGTCATAATCAAGGAGAGCTTTGACTGTATATAAGAGTATTTCAAACAGCATGCACCTTCCATAGGGTTGTTGGTGATAAAAACCATGGAGTAGGACATTGCGCTGTTCCATTTTATATCCACACACCCCTATAGGTGGGGATTATTATTATGAAAGGAATAGCTTTCATGCAGACGTTTTTAGGGGAGCTTGTATTTCATCCCTCCCCACAAAATTATGCCTGCTCAACCGAGAACAACATTCCTTTTCCATTGTTTTATTCGCGTGGTAAGTGACAATCAGTGGTTTTGAAATAAAGTGTTGGCAGGCTAAACACGACTCATAGTCACTCATAGTCACTCATAGTGTAAAAACGTGACTCTAGAGTTACCTTTTTCCTTCTAGAATCTGACTAAATCTTACTTTTGCCGCTCTATGTCTAACATTTAATAGCGGTCATAAAGCTTTCCCAGTGTTTCATGCAGATCGAGTAATTATCGGGTTACCCTGTGGTCAAGCTCAACCTTCCAAAATTTGGAAGGTACAATGTGATTGGCTAAGCTTGGGAAAGGAATGTTGTTCTCGGTTGAGCAGGTATTTATGGGGAAGGAAGAAATAGGAGCTCCCCTAAAAACACCTGCCTGGGATGCTATGAAAGGAAAGGCTGTACAAGATAATATCTGGTTAAAATGTTTGTATGTTCAGATCAAGTTACCTGTTCATCTCGCTCTTGGCGACTCAATCCACCCTCTTTATGTTGAGACATATCATACAGGGACATCAGGGGTGTGGCATACTCCAGAACCACGTGATATTCATCGACCTCTCCATCTGGGCATGGCATCTCTATTCGGTGTACAGTGTGTTTATAGGATCGCTTCAATATCCCACCTCTGTTTATTTCATATGAGTCGAGATTTCCCGCAACTGTTATTCTTGGGTCTGCGTCCACAATTTTATCGTACGTGTAGCAGTTTTTGGGAAGCAATATGAAAAGCTTTTTCTCTTTAATCTTGTACTTGTAAACTGATTTTCCGATCTGTCCCTCAAGATGTGGTAACACCAGCTTCAAGTAACCAAAATAGTAGCTCCAGGCTAGACCATCGGCCACATTTTTGTTTTCTCTCTCGTTGATCTCTGATACTTCCACGCTAGAAAGCTCTCGCAAACCAACAAGAAACAACAGCTGAGGGACCAAGAAGCAGTTCAACGAAAAAAAAATCGCATATTCTGCACGACAGAAAGTGTTACAATCTCGGTACAAGGCAAAAGACACTATGAGAAAGGACACAACCCCCACGACCAGAATAGTGCGACCATACTTAAAAGCGAAAGTGGAATTGAAAACCTTCCTCCAACTTCCTTCATATCGAGTTTGCTTGTGTCGAATCTCTTCAATACCCAGACAAACTCTACGCACCACCTCGCTAAAGACTAAACTCAGAATTAAAAGAGCGCTGATAAAGAGTAGAAAGACGAATTCGTCTCTGCCATGTTGGTTTCCGGTAGAATGGGAAATCTTCAAATGGACAACTACAGAAAAGACAACCACCAACAACGCAGCGAGAAGAGAGGCATTTCCACGAGGCTTTGAAAGTGGACCGAATCCATTATTTTCCTGCTGACGATCCATTTTTTTTAGGTAACCTGAAAATTTTAAGTTGGTTTACTGCCACTGGGACAAGATGTCTGCTTCTCTGTTTGTCTTCATAAAACTGATGAAAAATAGGTGGACTCTTGCAGCTGTTTACAGCTCACTTTTCTGAGAATTCGGGGAATCCCCAGGTTTCTGATCAGTGATTGGACGCATTCTACGTCATCATCCATGATCTTGAAAATAAAAAGTGCTTGAATAAGCAGCTTTCACTTTTGAGTTACCGGTATAATTCCCCATCCATTCGATAAGAATATTTTGGCAGACAAGCGAGTTAATAATTTAATAAGTGAGTCGCCGTAACTGATACAGCAAGCTGGAGCATTCAGGAGCCTTATTGCATCGGACTCATATCAGATAACAGCTTCACGCTCCTAAAGAAATTTAGCGCCTCACAAATATTTGGCGCCAAACCGGTGTTCGTGTGCATGTGTGCGCCATGTTTGAAAATGACAACGAAAGGTAAAGCTGTCAAGTCAGTTATTTATATTTCAAGTAGCGATGAAGATGAGGAAGACACGCCGCCACCAAAAGCCAGGCTGCCATACAAAGTAAAGAAAGAAAATGTAAGCAACGGGATCGTTAAAAAAACGGAGACTGTTATTTTAAGCTCTGACGACGAGCTTGAGAAGACGCCTCAGAAGATATCGCGTCCATCTTTTGTCAAAGAAGAGCCAGATTTCCAGGTGTCTACCTCGAAGGCTCAAAATGAAACCAGTCCTTGGAAAAGTTTGAAGTTCAACCAAAATAATATCAAGATACTTCAAGCGAACGTGAGGTTAAAAAAGTTGAATTTTGGAAATTTATCGAACGCAAGCATCGATAAAACTGAAAATCACGATGTCATGCCTGTGCCCACCGCATCTTGTTCAAAGTCTCAGGTAAGCAGCTCTAAATTAAGGAAAATCCTCTTAGTATTACCTGAGGGCAAAAGAAACGGCTATACCTATTCAAAGATCAAGCGATTTCTAGAGGGTTTTAAATTTAAGTTTATTCACCAGGGACCGGAGGGGCGGGCTGGGCCCGTCATGCAGTCAAAGTGCATGGTAATTTTAAAGTAAATGTACTGGATTTACCGTTTGCGTCGTTTGACTTCATATGTAGCGGTATATCATTAAATATGTGCATGGATCAATGCTAAATAAACGTTGTGTTGCCTTACTTACAAATGTCGTCCTGGTATTTTGAGCCATTTACTGTTCCTCTTAATAGCAGGACAAGGGTGGAATCAATTTTTTGAAGGGCTTCAGCGTTGGAGCAATTTTCTCTTTCAAAACTCACAGCAGAAAGGCTGAAAGATTCACACTTCTTGTACCATCCGATCGAAAATCCATCCAAAAGGCCTAGGACTAGCACGGGAGGAAATTAAAATCTCACAGTTTTTGAATGGTCAAAATGCAAGATTTACATATGCCAGCCACAAAACTGTCCTGCTGATTTCTTCTGTTTGATTGGATATCATTAACCAAATGGTTCAACAATAACTGGTGTTAAGCAGACTTGGTAAGTGATCATTGTTTAACAGCATCCAATCAAAAAGAGACGATCAGCAGAATGGTTTCTGGCTGGCACATGTAAATCGTGCGACGCATTTTGACCGTGAAAAAACTGTGAGATTTTAATTTCCTTAGGCCTTTTGAATGGATTTTTGATCAAAAGGTACCAGAAAGAAGTGTGAATCTTTCAGCCTTTCTGCAGCAAGTTTTGAAAGTGGAGCAATGCAATTTTCTGGGGTAAAATCACTCTGGCGCTGGAGCCAATTAAAAAATTTTTTCCACCCATGTCCTTCTGTTAAGAGGAACAGTAAACAGCAAACTCAAAATCTTTCAAAATGGCTCAAAATGCCATTTCTGAGGCAAAAGGACAACAAGTTACCATAAGTAAGGCAGCACAATGTTTATTTAGCATTGATCCATACACATATTTAACGATATGCCCCTACAGATGCATCAAACGGTAAATCCAGTACATTTACCACAAAATTACAATACAATCAGTTACACAAACGGACTGTGTGGGTCCCTGTGGTGACACCCAGGAAGTCATAAAAATAAAAAGTCTCTACTTGATCTAGTCGTGTACAAGAATGGGCTCTTGAAGCCAAAGTTCAAACAAGATTCCTTGATGCTGGTCATAATGCAGGTATCAATGTTTAGACAGAGAGTAGGGGTATGGGCATAGGTGTGACATTTGAACACTTCTTTGTCCCCTCTCTGAGGATTTAACCCTACAGAGATCTGGGTCCTAAACTCGTGTTCTAGGAAAAGTCAAAGTGATTACTCTTTTCTATAATGCAATACTGCTAAAGCTTTCCAACTGGTATTGAGTATATTAATATGGTTGTTCGAAGAATATTGCAATTCAATTTTGCTGAAACCAGGGCTGGATTTTCAGCATTTTTAAATCATTGAAGTGAATGATTAAAGAAGCAGTTTCACTGTTTCATTAAACGTTTACATTGATGACCTAAACACAGTTTATTCACAAGGAGTAAGCAAATTATAAGTTGTCTAGGTTTCCAATGGCCAGATGGATTCAATTTTGAAATATTTTTACATGTAATTGGGTGAACTTCATACTTCTTCAATCTACTGTAGCTTTGATGATGTACAGTAGTTGGAAATATACATTTTAAATTGCTCCATGTTTACTTTTAATACATGTCATTACACAGTTTTGTTATCCCCAGGCAGCCCCAAGGGTTACGTGTTTGACCAAAAAATAAAAACAATTCAAATGCCACACCTATACCCGTATCCCTTCATCTCCCTCCAAACATTGATACCTGCATAACTAGAACTGGTTTCTTGCAAAAGTGATTGCAAGGAGAGTTTCCACTGCATATTTTTGACCAAATATAAGGCGCTTATTTATGTGTCTCAAGGCTGATTTCACTAGTGAAAGAGTTGGAGTTGTAAATAATCAGAGTTGTCTAAGAGTTCTTTATGATCTAGTGAGAAACAAGAATCAGAGTCATAATCTTGATAGATTTGGAATTGCTTCTATTTTCTTCTGAGTCTGCTTATGACTGTTCAGGTTGCCCATAATCTAGTGAAGATTACAATAGAGGTGAATATCACACGCTGTGATTGGTCATTGCCTATGATTTATTATAGGACAAACACATGGATGACATCATGGGAATCTTGTTTCTTTGTTTTATTGAACATGGCGCATGGTTTTAAAAATGTTTGTGAGATTATTTCACATTAAGTGTAGGCCTTGAAAAACATTTAGCAATAGCTTATGTGTTTACATAGAAGGGAAATGAAGAAACGGAGACAAAAAGAGTTGTTGATGTCGTGAAAATTCCTAAACTGGAAGTTGCCATTGTAAGTCATCATTTCAAGAGACTCGCATTTTTGAAAAAATGTTTGTAATTATTCTGCTTTAAGAAAGTGAAGGCATTAAAAAACTTTTTGGATAAACTGGATACAAGTAAGACAGAAGAAGCAGAGATGAAAAATAGTGTTTGTGACTTAAAAAACGTCTAAACTGACACAAACCCTGAAATAGTAAAGCAGTACAATGCATGTCAGCCAAGCTGTCATTTTTTCTTCTCTGTTTATAATATTATTTTGTGTAAAACGAATAGATTCCATTTTGCCGTGCGTTTGTTCAGCAAAGGATTACAGACGACATCAAAATGTGGTAAAAACATCCCTGACACACTCACCTTTGGCTCATGTGTCACTTTTTTGTTTTTACCACAACGTGATGTCATCTGTGATCTATTACTGAGCAGAGCTTGTCAGCTTGTCAGAGTTGATCTCATGAGTGGACGGGTCTGCATGGGTGGTCATATCACTATTGTGTGGACAGGCATATTAACATGCACAAGACTGCATGCATTTTGATTAGAATCCTTGGGTGTTTTCGTAGTTTTGTTTGGTCACTTGGATTCAAAAGGATAAGAAATAAGATAAATAATACATGAAACTAGGAACTTAGCACCGTTTTTGGTGAACCTAAAGACATGTTCTAATATGTTCACATTTTATTATATATTATTTATTTATGGACCATTTAAAAAAGTATGGGATGTGGTTCCAGGTACTAATATTACTATTACTAAATGAGAACTCTAATTCATAAATAGGGTGAGATGGCTAAAGATGAGTCGAGTGAAGTGAGCTGCAGGCAAGTTCCAGGAATGGGAATCTTTGAGTCAATAGAGAGTAGATTTCCTTCAACAAAGCTTAAAAGATCAAAAAGCCCTTCTTCACCTTCGCTCAAACAAACTGTGATTACTCAAGAAAGTTTTTCACCTCCAAAAAAGCCTTCTCTGTACAGATGTATGAGGCAAGAGCAACCTTTACACTATTCCACGCCTCTTTGGTGTTCAGTTCAGATGCAACAACCACAGATGGACAGTTCCAAAGATTTTACTGAAAACCAAATGAATTCTCTACAAGCTCTGAAGGAAGAAAACTTTCATAAAACTTACTTGCACACAGTCACAAATTTTATGAGCCAGTCCCGAAAGCCACCTGTAGGAGTTTTGTTTCACATTTTACATAACATCCTGCTTTCAAAGCAAACTAACTGTGGTAATGAATGCTTTAGAATTCTCCGGCAAATCCAGGTCTTACATCCTGTAATGGCTATGAAGATGGTTAATTTAAAAATCTCTTGGGAACACATTTCCATGATGGTGGAACTCTCTAGATGCATTGATGACATGTCACAAGAAAGTAGTCAGGCATTAAGTGCATCTATGGCCTTGTCTTTTGTTGTAAATGTTATGGAAGAGGAGGTTAATGTCAAGAGATTTAGCCTTGTGAAGACCTCAGGTTATAGACTCCTATCAGTCAAGCATTTCAGCACTCATATTTTTGATTTGGTTCAGTGGATTGGAGATGCCACAAAACATCCACAGAAAACCAAGAATTTGTTTTTGCTGCAGAGAATGCTAACATTGTCATTGTCAGTGAATGAGCGACCAGAGGACTTTGCAGGTAGGATCGCCGATGAGTTGTTTCTTGTCTATAACTGGCAACTTCATACCACCAAAGAGAAAAGTCTTCTTCTCCAGTCAACTCAATCACATTTGCTGAGGATGAAGTTGATTGAAGTTATTCTGAGTAACTGTTTTCCTCCTCAAGAGGAACAGGATATCAGGGAAGTTTCCAGAATGGGACTTGAACATATTATCTTTGTTGACTTTCAGCGCAGTCCAGATACAAATAACTCTGATCACGTTGACTTGATTGATCACTGTGAAGTGTTCATCATGCTTCTGGCATATCTTCTTCAAAGCTTTCTTTTTTGTCGCAAAAGATCTCTTCAGAAAAACTCTTCTGAATCACTGCGAATCATGTCAATGGATGACACAGATTCTTTACTTGAAATTGATTCTGAAGTTACAAGACTGAAGGAACGTCTAGAAAACATCTGCAGTCCATCACAGTTGTCCTCAAGGAGCTACCAGTTATTGGATTTAATGTCATCACTCAAAAGCTTTGCACAAAAGCTTCCATAGTTGCTGAAGTAAACATGACTTGGCCTAGGTTCCTTAATGGATGGTTAACCCAAACCAGAACCTAGGATAAAGTTAAATTTCAAAACAAATTTTCTTGTCAAGCAATATGTAAATTGAACATTTCCGAACCTTAAAATTTACTCAGAAACTCAGTGGTAAGGTTAACTTACAATGACAGTCCTAGACAATCTGAGAGAAGTAAACCCATTAATTTATGGGTTAAAATTTTAACACTCACTGGGTTTGGGCTAATCATTCTTCAAGGAACAGGGTCCTGAATTTCTTGATAAGCCAGTCTTGATTGATCATAATTTTTTAGTGAATATTTTGTTGCTAATGTGATCCTTGGTGGTCCAAAAACGATATTGTTGAAATGTGGTTTGTTTGCCATTTGCATTTTGTTGATCAAAACTTCTGCAAACCAGTTAATTAGAAGAATTGATGTTTTTTGTTCAAAGCATAAAGTGCAGAGGTTTTGAGTAGCAAAAATATGCAACTCCTGGAACTATATTTCATGCTGCCTACAGTTCTTGTGCTTTAGCTAATTCCCAACCACTAGCCCTTATTCATTTTTATATGCATGTGAGGTTGACAGTAGAATTTCTGGATGACAACAAACCGAAAATGTCTCTTAAAAAGTGAATTTGCACTGTTTCAAACTTCATCAATCCTATTCAGTTCCATTTAATTTGTCCAGTGTTGGCGAAATTTTCTGGAGTTGAATCCAAAAGGTCCATATCAAAGTTTAGAAAAAGAAAAAGAAAATTTTTGTGTTTTGTGTACCTACTCCATAAAGCGGGCATGTGAAATTAGGAAGTTTCATGGCTAAGAAATGTACAAAAAAGCGTGATGCACATGCCAATTTTTTTGTTTTGCTAATAGGAAACCTATTCTTTTTTGCAGTTTTCGTTGCTCTCACCGTCGTCATTGCTAAAGCTCCCTATTGTTGTGTTTCAGAAATTTTGCTACCATGGTGACATAATGTCACACTTCTCTCTATTCTAAAGGGTAGACTGTACTACTACAAAACTGAGAGATGTGTCATGCCGCAAAATAGCTAAACAGGACAATCTACCCTTCTACTGGTGTCTACTATGTTCTTTTATAATAATATTTTATTATTAGAGACCTTTAAATTCGAGGACAAGATTTGTCTTAAACATGGTTCGTACAATCTTGAAAAGGTCTTGAATTTGGTTTAGTTCCTTGAAAACTACTTGATTTCTTTATTAGGTCTCGAAAAGTCCTTGAAATTCATAACCTTGTCTATGCCAGACACCTTTTTCTGTAAAATTAGATTATTTTGCTGAGGAAATTTGGCTCATCCTCATTGTAAGAACCTGTAAAACTCACCGGTAATGTAAAAACATTTTTGTGCACGAACAATATTTTATTTCTGTTTCTTTATTTCAAATGCTTTTTCTGTACCTCAGATGCAATGCAAGTCATACCCATTCATTTTGTAAAGTCTTGTTGCGAAAAGTAGTATAAAATAATGTAATCAACGATGGCCGAAGAAGTAAAAAGTGACTCCATGACGAGTTTAAGCCAATGGGGTGATCAACGGGGGTTGAAGAATGCCGATTTATTAAATAAATCTTAGTCCTTGAAAATCCTTGAAAAGTACTTGAAATGTGTTTGTCTAAAGTTGTACGAACCATGTGAAAGTTTTTTCACGTATACTCGCAAAATAGACACCTTGGAAATCTTTATTGTACTTTTTTCACCAGAAAAGTTGGCACTGCTGTCTTTATTGAAGGAGGTTAAGCCGTATCCCAATTGGTAAATGACAAAACTTCTAACATTAAATTTTGATAACTTGTTTCCGCCACAAACTTGTAGTAGAATGATGATGGCTACCCCATTTTCCCGCCCAAATGACCCTGGTTCACACGCACAAAGTATGTTGAGAAAATCTCACTCTCAAGTCTTCCTTGTCTTAGAATCTAAAGGTCTCTATTATAAGACAATATGACAGGTTTAATTCACACATACAAAACAAAAACACCATTACTGCAATAAAATTTTTCAAACTGTTACATTTAGCATCAATGTATTTGGCTTTAGGGTACTGATTATAGTAATATAGAATTGGCTATATGAGATTTATTTATTAAAATAGAGATTTGCACATAAATGTATTTATTATCTGATGACCAAACTGTACATAATATAGTTATGTTAGTTCATAATCCAAGAGACTTAGTTATGTTATGGTTATCTAATTGTCATTGAATCAATGGTTAAATTTAGGTAGAATGCAAGAGACAGAATTTTTGCAAATTGTTTTGTTACTGAACTGTGGAGTACAAACAATGCTCCCTTTCATATTAAACAATGTTTCTTTTCAAATTTCGTGGAAGTCTTTATTTATCCTTTTTTATGTGCATGTTAAGGGCCATGGCTTTTTAAAAAGCAGAGGTTTCCTACACAGTTGACTCTCAATCCGCCATTAGATCAGCTTTAAAATTGTTACGACACTTCACTGGAATAAAGCTTGCTCTGTTTCTTGGAAGTATGTGGTGTCAGAAAAAGGGAAGAACACTATTAATGAAGATGACGTGTGTCAATGTTTTTGCCACAGGCAGGTAGAGCCTGGGAGGTTGGAAAGGCTTTCCCCCCTCCTTCCATCACTTTTCCTGAAATGAAAAAATACAGACTCACCAAGAAGAGAGTCTTCTCAGCCTCCCACTCTTACAATTCATCATACTCAGCTATGTTCTACATTTCTGCTGACAAAAGCTCAGAGGTACAATGGCTGCGACCACCATCTTGAGAGCCATAGAAACTAAAGGAAGAAGGGGTGGGGAGAAAAAGAGAAAAACTGGCTGCATGCAAGCATATTTTTTTCTCACCTCCTGCCTCCCCCTTCTATATTTAAACACAAGAACCTCTCTGCCTGAACTCTCTGTCATTTCCAATTTCCAAATTGGTGAGGGAACATTATAGTATCATTGTTCGCATTACACAATACCCCTGTTATGCAAGCTACATTTTGATGTACCATTAAGGGTAAAGACAAACATTTTATTGTTACTTTTGTTTATTTAAATAAGTCTTTGAGCTTTACAAATAAAACTTGATCTTCAAATACTCTACGGTTTCCATTTAAACCCCTACTACAAAAGAACCCATTTTAGCCAAAAATTTGACAATAACAAAATTTAAATGGTTTATATTTACCTCTAGTATATACAACACTCAGTGATATTGGTGATTCAAGCAATCTGATTAGTTCATTATCTCGGACTATGACATTATATTCACCTCCTTAGGTGGTGAATATGAAGAAAAACAAAATCGCTATCATGAACTGGGTATTTTGCCAAGTTTCAGAGTAAGAACTTTTATAAAATACAAGAATATCACAGAGTTGATGATTTTGAAGGTAAGAAAAGACTTCATAGTGTTTAAACGGCGTGATTTTATTGTGAAGTGATTTACTGAAGTTGACTTTCATACACTCAAAGCAATGTTTTTATTGACCACTACAGAGGAAATGGAGGACACTATAGTCACTGTTTTGTGAACTCGGGATTTCCTTGCAAGACCAATTTCGCCTGGAAATAGAAGTTAATTTATGGAGTAAAAAAGGAAAGCAAATATTTTTGAAAACTGTTCATGCCAGCAAGTTAACATGGCAAGGAACACTGCCCTGCAGATAAAGAACGCTCACCTCGATTGTAGCCGCTGCTGACAGCATTTGCAAGAAGCAACAAAAAAACTGTTTCGCTCACAGTGAGTTGGCAGAAGCAAAAAAAGGTTTGTGTTTCTTCTCAGAAACTTTCAACATTTTCTTTTCAATCTTTGATGCTAAAGCTTACAAAAAAATTAAAACTAGGATTTACTAAGTTTGAAAATACTGTAAAGATCCAGCTGTTTTGCTTGTGCTGTTTACGGCTACAAGTTCATGCATGAATTCACCCATGGCTCAAACTAATCGTTTTTTTCATGGTTTCCTTTCTAGTTCTGTTGAGATCACTTCGTGTGTATATACTAAAACAATAAAATTCTATATTATTTATTCACCTCAGGCTCAGTTAATATCGTTGAATAATTCCCTCGACATTATTCAACAATATTACTGTGAAACTCAAAAAACCATGGACACCAGAAATATTTATGGAATTTTATTGTGTTGTGAGGAAATAGCGGTAATTAGTCTGTGGTTTTGAGGTTTCCTTTCAGGTCCTGAACATTATTGTGATTGGTCACCACACAATCAACATTGCTAAAATTTTTCATGTGTTCACGGTTTTCTGAGTTTCACAGTAACTTCACCTTCAGAGAATAATTGTTAAATATTTTGAGTTTGCATATAAAATGTGTGTGTCAGAGCCAGAGAAACTACTTTTTCTTGCTTAAATAGGAATCTACAGCTTTCCATAAAGCAGTTATGTTGCCAGCTCCAAACCCAGTTGCACCACATCGCTGTATAACCTCCAGAAAGAAGGTGTCCTCATTAAACAATGGTCGTGTAAACACTTGCATCAGATACCTAAAAGGAAATTGATGAAAGATGTCAATCATCATGGATAATGTGTATAGAGGGTTTAGTATTGTTTATCTATTGTCTCACAATTGTCACCTTAATATCAATCGTGATCGTGATGTTTTGACCGCACACTGCAGGTCTTCATCAGGCGATAGTGTTGTACCACCGTGGTTGTTAGTGATTGGTGTATCACGTACCTCGCTCAAGTCCAACACAACACTAAGATCACACTTAGTACAACCTACGGATCCTGTTGATTCACAAAAACAAGATGGAGTAGAGTATAAGATTCCTTGTGCATTCGGCAAAGTATACATTGGCGAAACTGGAAGGTGCATGCATGAATGGATTAAGGAGCATGATAGGGATATCCGGCTTTCTCAAACTCAAACTTTGGCTGTTTCTTAACACGCTAATAAGACCAGGCATTATCCCTTCTGGGACGAAGTTAAGTTGACCGAGACCGTCACTGGTCCTCTTGAAGACTTCATCCTAACACAGTCAACAGGGGCGGTGGAATTGAGATTCCTGAAGCATGGATACCAACAATCACATACATAACAGCCGATCGCTGTGACAGCGGAGCTCTGAGGGATCAGTTTCTTCCTCTGACAATACCAACAATGCTTTGGATCAAAAACCCACCAACAATGAGCGAGGAATGTGATACACCAATCACTAACAACCAGAGTGGTACAAATAGTCGGACTCAGTAAATCAACACTATCGCTTGATGAAGACCTGTAGTGTGCAGTTGAAACGTCCCGATCAATATCAAAGTGACAATTGTGAGACAAATGATAAACTAAACCCTTTATATACTTTTGTAATTTACTCATTTTATAGAAAAACTTTCATGAAATATAAGTCATAAAATATGGTTGCTGCAAGTCCTCAGTTTTCAAAATTCTCTAATCTTCCCTGATAAAAATACAATTTGCCCAACCAAAGAATATAACATTTTACCTAACTTGACAGTGACATTTTGCTTTCTCCATTAAAGATGTCCTTAATAACTTTATTTATATAGCACTCATATCCTGAGCTTATGGCGCTTGAGACCACAGTACCTGAAAAGCCTGAAAAGCTTCTTCCAGCCTCTTCAAAATTTCAAGTTTCCCTGGCTCATAATAAAATACTTTGACTTAAAGAAGTAAATTTTTCTCTGGCCATTTCCTGACCTGGAAATGACCTTTTTTCTCAAGCTTCTTCCAGATGGACCAAACCAATCCACTCAGTTCTGGACCAAAATTTCCCAAGGTCTTTAGCCAAATGGATCATGCCTGTAACAGAATGAGCGTGTTAAATTAACCCAATTCACTCACTTTGTGTCCTGAGCAGCAGAAGACTCTGTATTTTCTTTTACGATGAAGCTCTCAGCATCTAACAAGACACCATGATTTTGAAGAGACTCCACACACTCACCCACATATTTTATCTCCTGTAATTTGCCTTCCTACAAAACAGGTTTATTTTTAATTAATTTTTCATAGAAACATGAAGTTTTTTGAGAATCTTGTTCATGTAAATAAAAATGTCATTACTAACAATGACCATGACAAGTCATTTCGATGCATGTAACATTTTGCTGTTTAGGTCTTTGTGGCTATGAATGTAATCTCAAGGTGTCCATACAATACTTCTGCCAACGATTCTTGTCAGCTTAGTGCTCTACTTTGTAAACAACATTTTGGGCAGATTTGGTTCTTTCTCACCCAAATGATGATTAGCCTCAAACATTGTGTTTGGCAAAATTTTGAGTTGTAAATGGGGCAAGTTTGACAATAAATAAGCATGTCACCACTGCATTTGTGCAACAAACCTCAGAGTAATAAGCAGCAGGAGGATCAATAAATGCCACTCCGTTATCCTTTAATGCTGCTACTGCTTGAGTGATATCTGGAGTATGAAGACCTATGTGCTGTATACCTGGTCCTCCATGTTCGGTCAAAAATGTCTGCACTTGGTTTGGACCTAAAAAACCAAACATTGATTTTGCAATGATAAAACGGTGGGTAGGTGTGACATGTAGCTGTTTGGAGAGGTGGATAGTTCTTCACACAGGCTAACTCTCTATCCAGTGGATGATGTAATAGTATCAACTATTTGTGAGCTCCCAGGCATCCAACTTTCAAACAAGTGGGGCTATGGCAGGTCTTTGATACCTGCCCTTTCTAAGAAAATGCAGTGAAGGAAGAGAATAATTCCACAAGAATTGTGATTGGTCTCTACACAATCAATGTTCTCAAAATGTTTCAGGTTTATATAGTTTTTTGAGTTTGACGGTAAATGATCACAGTCTCTATATCTATAGTATTGATTATGTTACAGGTCAACATTAAATTCAGGTTAAAGGGACTGGTTCACGATAATGCGTATGTGTGAGTTCTAACAGTAGCTGATTGTTTTTCATCCAATCGGAAGCGAGTTAGATGCACGCAAGTAAATTTACAAAATTCAAATTAATTGTTCGTGACGCGAGAGTATTTCTGGGCATTTGGTTTGATTTCATTTATCCCTATAATTCAAGTTTATTCTTTGCTACTCCTCAGATGTACGTTGCAGCCGATAAGAATAAGATTTACAGCCCTGTCCTGCTTTGAAAAAAACATTTACCAACGTGTATTTTTACGAGGTCGTACCCACGCTAACAAAACAGCCACCGATCAGCAAACAAAATTTGTAAACAAACATCTTATTACTGTTCTCTCAGTTCGCCTTATATAAACCCAGAAATACCTACAAATAGCGCCTGACCGGTGACACAAACAAACAACGTATTAGTATAAATATTATTCTTAATTGAGCATAAATTTCAATTGCTTATCAGCAAATGAACAAATTCATTAGCGTTGCATCGGATCAGTGTTCCGCAAAACAAATGTTATCGAGTAGCACACATAAAGAAACTACAGTCGAACCTCGCTATTTCGAAACTGGTTAATTCGAAGTCCTTGCTATTTTGAAGGAAGATCGAATGCCCTTGGATGTACCCTTCCCCTTTATGCTTCCCGGTTATTTCGAAGCCCCGCTATTTCGAACTTTTTTCCATTTCCCTTGGGACTTCGAAATAGCGGGGTTCGACTGTAGATTATACTAGTAAACAGAATATTCAGGTAATAATTTACTTCAAAAACATCAATTCTTAAACATATATGATCGTAAAGCAAAGATACAAGGAACATTTCAAGTGTACCAGATCGGTGAAGATCGCGCGGCCTGTTGCGGTATAACTACAGGTCGGAGTCAAAAATCAAATCAAAGATGAATGAACTCATGCCTTTAACCACTTTCCAAGTGCCGTGTATTCTTTTCGTATGCCACACAACTACTCCTAGAACCATACCAGATCGATAGGCTAAGCTTCTCTATCTCCAGAGACTCTTGAGAACATCCTGTTGCCGGACGGCCACGATGCTCTTCTGAACCTCCATGATCAAAACATTATTTTTTGCGTCTTCTTAAAACGTAAACAGTCAAACAACACAACCACACATTAATCACCACTACCGAAGTATAACTAGACCAGCCAAAGCGACGGATGTCTGAATAAAACAAAGGATTTTCAACGATTGTACCGGTAATAGCGATTTTGAATTTAGTGTTGACCCGACAAATTTATTCTCAAGAGACAAACGGCGCGCATGCGCATTATCGTGAACCAGTCCCTTTAAATCTTTTTATCCCCAGGTTGATTCTCAATATTCTTTGTCTCCTCCCTAATTCAACTAAGGTTAAAAATTTTAACCTTAATTTAATTTTAAGGTAATAAGACACTTACACCAATGATGCAGCCATAAGCATAAGTAACACATACACAGACACAGTGTGCTAATCATGAGCACCTATTCTCTTCAAAAAATAGCTCTCTAAAGAGAGTGAGTGCATATGTTTACAGTTTTTGTTACGTCTGTCGTGCATATGCGATTTTATCGGCTTGCTATGTCATATAAGCATGAAACATAACCTGTTTTGTTGAAGAAAATATAGTGTGATTTCTTGCATGGAAGAAAAAAAATTTCCAAAGCATAAGAACACACTAATTTATCTGAGGCATTAAGTTACACTTCTCCATCACGTCATACAGCATGCCGATGACTAGCATCGAAGAGAAAATGAAGTGTGACTTCTTGCATCAAGAAAAAAACATTTTTTTCGAGCAACGGGTCTCGCTTATTTTTCTGACACAACAGCTCGCACTTCACTTTCATATTATGCAGCACACCGATGACCACTGTTATCCTTCTTTTGCAAAATGTCTTTTGACCAGAAAAAAATAATTGATGTAATTAACAAGCAACAACTAGAACGTAATAAACTCTACTTGTTTGCGAACTGAATCAAACAATATTATTTTGTATCTGGCCTTCAGAATTTTAGCTTTTCTTACAGAGATTATGGACATACAACATGACTGCATAGTGTTACAGTTTCTATGGAAACTGTAAACACAAAAACGGCGTCACGGCGGCCATGTTGGTGGTCAAGAACAAAAGCATTTCTCCCCTCTGGGAACTAAACTCTATTTTCATGTAAATTCTTCGAGAAAAAATTCTATTGTATTGACCCCCAACATGGCCGCCTTGTCACGTGGTTGCAAACCAAGAATCCATGCCCTCCCACCTCACGTACCACTAACCTTGCCCAGGTAGCGGTTCGGCGAAAACAAATTTTACGCCTCCTCCTGGCTCATCAGTGTCTATTCTAAGCTCTGACTCTGAACAAAACCAGTATTGCATCGCAGTTAACTTCATTCCAATGCTTGCACCTTGTATTGCACTCTGCACCACGAACCCATCTTGGGTTTCATCAGAGTTAATACTGAACCTGGTGAATCCAAAACATTTTTCATACCACTTCATAACCGTCTGAGAAGTCCCAAGAGGACACGCAAAAGTTATGTGATCAAAATGCGTTAAAATGCGATCCTTTATAATTGTTCGGGAATTTGACGAGTCTGTTGCATAACAAGGCGTTTTCGGTAACGCCATCTTGCTGTCGAAAACATCGAACCCCGGCAAAAATACTCCATTATAACCAGACGCATTTAACAGTGTATGGACAACATTGCCGACAGGAGTTTGTACAACAGCGGACTCCACTTTTCCATTGCTATCGGAGAGAATTTCTGGTTCTCTGATTACTTTACCATCGTTTCTTTTTACAACATCTACCACTTGTTTTACATCTTTGACTTCAAGGGCAACGTTGAACACTGTGTCTCTTTCCCGCGCTCCTTCACTCAGCACGAAATTTATTGCATCACGGTTTAACGTAAATCGTTTAGGGGAAGAAGAACGAGCTAGCACATTAAATCCAAATTTCTCACAGAATTGTTTCAGGCTTTGCTCTAAATTCTGACAAAGTACTTCGACATGATGTAACCGAACCACCATTTTTTTCGCTACACATGGCCGACGACTAGATTCCAGGGCCTGCTCGGGTAACTTCACGAACTTTGGCCTTCATTCCTGTGCTAATCTGGGTCCGCCCTTGAAAGAAAAATATCACAATCAACTCTCCTTACACTTCTATTCACAAATAACTTCACCGAATAACTTCACCAAATAACAAACTAGCTAGTCGAGGCGGGCAAAAAATACATTCACTGCATGGGAGTCTTCATTCGTCACTTTCACCCTGTTTGTCCTCCTAAATTTAGCTTGTGTACAGACGTCCCCCCTCCCTCAGAAAAAATCGATTTTTTCTGAGGGAGGGGGGATGTCTGTACACAGGCTACCTAAATTACGGTATGCGTAAACATTGTTTTCAGTTCTCAGGGGCACCCAACGTCAAATTTTCCGAAAATATCTGTTCGGAAGACGATTTGAGTCAGAACATTTGTTGTAAAATTTCTTGCTTGTCTCTAAAATATAATAGGATTGTCCATTTTTAACGGATTTTTACCCTAAAAAGGTCACCTAGAGTTTTCGGGAGCCTTTTACCTGGCTGAAATTTTTGAAAAGTTAAGTTTTGATCCCTATAATTTTCAGATCACTAGACTTTCAACTAGGAAATCCGAACAGATAAAAAATTTTTAGGGGATAAAAATATGCCTATATCTACAGTTGACACCCGATAACTCGAACCCTCGCTAACTCGAACCTCGCGCTAACTCGAACCAAAATCGATTTCCCCTGGATAGTGGAGGTTGATGTTGTTTGTCACAAATCTAACGTGAAATAGCTTTACTTCTCAAAAAGTAAAATACATGCTCTATTTAGGCAACGTTTTGTTACTTTACGTTCTGATATATAATCTAAAAGTATCTTTCAATTTTCACTCAACATTTCTACAATTAAATGTGATTAAAATGCTCACTGTGCGGTAAAAACTGTTTTTTTTCCCTTACTCCCCGCTGTTTTCTTCGAGCTCCAGATAACTCGAAACTTTTTCGATTTCCCTTGAAGGTTCGAGTTATCGGGAGTCAACTGTACCGTTGAAATACTAAAATACGTTCAACAATGCTATGTTTATGGTTTTGAACTATATTCTCGTTGGGTACCCCTGGATTATAAAACCCTAAAATTAGAGACAATCGATTGGCAAGGATTTTTTTACAGGTTGGAATTGGGAGGGTGACAAGTAAGCGCCTCACCGTTCTAACGGGAATTATCATATAAACACCAGGCTTGGAAGTCGAAAAATTTAATGTTAATGGTACCAGGTGGAAAAATACGTTAGTGTCAAAACTTTTGAAGAGGAAGAACTTTATTTAAGTGTCAGAGTATTTAGCTATATATTAGCTAATTGTGGACACTAAAAGAACATTCCAAATACAAAATTATAATATAAAAATATATGCATATTAAAAAAAATTAAAACAGGGACGCTACAAGTGTTAAAAATCTATTTTAAAATTTACAATCATTTTGAAAACAGGTAAGGTTCATAATAAAAAATCTCAAAAATCCGCACCATACACGAATGAACTGAGACGAGGTTTCTACCCCTACCGGGCCCCCCTCCGCCCTCTCGCACACCTCCACACAAAAGTGCTAATGCATGATGGGACATTAACCCACACGACTTGTTGTGAAACTTTGTGAAACCAAGTGCGGAGAAAGTACACGTGTAACATCTCTCTAAGGTAAGAATATTAAACACCGATTAAATCATGTCTTTTCTAACTGGCTTATTTATGTTTCCCATCTCATTTTTATCACGCAATCATGACGGGAGTTGTTTGTAGACCTTACAAACTAACAGTCCTATAAAAATGGCGCGTTTCATCTTTATCGATCCAGCTTTATCACCATCCGATTTTAGCTTGCAACATCAGCTTTGGCAAGTTTCCTTTAATTTGCTTGACTTACAGAAGTTTTTGCTTACTTTGAGGGATCATGTTAGGAAGTGCTTTCGGTAGAAAGAAATCGTTGTCATAAAACGTATATGGTCCTATTGAAAACAAATGCTTTTCCGGTACCCGTTGGTTGAAATTCCATCACTTCAGAAACGCAATATGTCCAGTTTACTGCAATCTTGCAATTGCAAGTGGGTGGCTTGTCGGTACAATACGTATATCTTTACACTGTTTTAATGCTGTTTGTTATAGAATTATATAAGTTGCAACTAAAGGAAGAAATAATACCATTTTCACTGTGGTCTATTGACCAGGTACTTTTTTCTCAAGGGACAGAAAGTTAGTGTTTGAATTCACAATATATTTGGACAAGTCATAAAAACATGAATGCTTTATTTGCCATCCTAAAGAAGGATGGAATCTCCTAGACTGGTAGATGGAAGAATTAATTTGGATGCTCCACGTTATGAGCAGTCAACATTTCTTGGACGTGCCAAGCACTTTTTTACTATAACAGACCCAAGAAACATTCTGCGCACAGCCAAGGAACTTGATGAAGCAAAAGATATTCTTATCAAGTACAGGTATAATGAAAATTAGACAGGTATTAGAACTATACTGCAATATTTTTAATGTGACTTTTATGTGGGATTTCATTCTGGTCCATATTTAACAAAAATATATGTAGAGTCAATATTTATACAAAGTCAAGATGAGTGTAATACAGCTCTCACTTTTTCAACTTGAGCAAAATCCCTTTTCTTTAACATGTGGTTGTAAGAGGAAGCCCAGCAGCTCTTAATTCTTTCACACGATGCTATTGTTTAGAAACATTTGTCAATTTTGATTTGGAACACTATGGGAATGTCATTGGTATTAAAGCATGATAACAGGTTCGTGTGTTTCGCTGATGTATCGGCCCATATCTTCGTCAGCTGTTGGTCCACATATCAGTTGCCATATCGATTGAGTATTGGTGGCTTGTTGATCTAGAGTCACACAACTCTTGACTGATATATGGCCAGTAGTCAGCTACTATAGTTTATCAGTGATTACTTCACTGATGGAACACCGACAGATCACCAACATATCGATTGAGTATTGGTGGCTTGTTGATCTAGAGTCGGACAAGTCTTGACTGATATATGGCCAGTAGTCAGCCACCATAGTTTATCAGTGGTTACTTCAGTGATAGAACACCGACAGATCACCAACATGTCACCAACATGTGGTCAATGTAATAGGCGATACCTTGGTTGACATATCGGCCAATGTATCAGTCAAGAGTCGGTCGAGTATCAGTTGAGTCTAGACGGATATCTGGCCAGTAGTCGAGTATCAACCAACGTGTCGACCACATAGCAACTAGGGTATTGTCCAAGTATTGACTGCTACCATCAATCGGGGCTGTCTGTAAGACACATAATATCAAGCACATTCTCTCTAAGATGAAAATAGGCCGTGAGTTGTGTAACTATTAATACTGTCCACCTCATATCACTTGACAAGTACCTTGTAACCTTGTAAAGGAAAAGCCTTGGAGATGAGGTTGGTAAAAAAGTTATACAGGTGATGCTGATTATTGACTGATATACCACTGACACATTCCCAACACACTACTGATGCTATCATGACTGACTGTTGGTCTATCTGTTGAGTGACACTTGACCTATACTTGACCGACGGTAAAATACTACTCGGCCAATGATATATTGACCGACTCTTAACCAACAACCAACACCTGACCAATATAGTGACCGATGTGTTGACCAAGAGCTGACTGAAATATCGATGCATTAGTCGACACCCCCTGTAAGATGCATGATCCTGTTAATATTGCATTCTGTTTGTAAGCAGGGGACAGAGTGTTTCTCAAAAGTCCTTGTGACTACCCCAGGTAGAAGCAGAGAGGTGAGGGTTTGAGGACTGCTGTTGCATTTAGAAGATGTATATTCCACTGTTGCTGTATGGTTGTTTTGTTTTTTCACCAACAGACATAGAAATGAACCAGTAGGAACAACAGATGAACAGGTGTGGAGAGCTAAAAAGATGTATGAATCAGCATTCCATCCTGACACAGGGGAAAAAATGTTCATTATTGGCCGCATGTCAGCTCAAGTACCGATGAACATGTCAATATGTGGCTGTATGATGACATTTTACAAGTAAGTATTCTTTCATCCTTATTAGGGAATATAGGGTTTCCATTGACGCACATGTGTGTGTATTTTACACACAATAATCAAAAAGGACATACACTTCTTTTAAGCCCAGTTTGAATGTCATTGAATGCATATCTAAACAGGGTTAGATCTGTGAAACATTCGAACCGTGTGATGTTGAGGAACAGCTGGAACATTTTGATGGCATTGTTCCCAGTCTTGCGATTATTGTGACAAAATAACATGGCTTCTGCTCTGGAAAATGCCTCTTGAAAACCCCTGGAAATGCCATTTCTGAGACTCTTAATTTCAAAATGTCCCTAGATGCCTCTGCCCTCAAGAACTTGTGCCTTTGGTGCGAGTTCCAAAGCCGCCTACTATTCATTATCAGCCTGCTACTTAAAAACATTTTGACAGCCCTGAATCTATTGCTTTTTTGTGTGATTTTATCACCTTGTATATCTAAAAAGAAATGTTATCTTACAATAATTCTCAAGCTTTGTTTGTTTTTTGTTGTGATTTTCCAGGAGTACATCAGCTGTGCTGTTTTGGCAGTGGATTAATCAGTCATTTAATGCCATTGTGAATTACACAAACAGGAGTGGTGACTCCCTTATTACAAATAAGTACGTTAATTATTTTTGTTTTGAAAAAGTAGGCAGTATCAACTGTAAGTTGGGAACAGAAATTAATGTTTGATCAACACATATGGTGTAATTGAAGGTTAATAAATACAAGGATTTCTTTCACTACAGGCAATTGTTGACTGGCTATGGATTTGCAACGACAGGAGCAATAGCAGTAGCCTTGGGACTAAACCATTTGGCAAAGGTATGAAAGGACTTTTTTGTAATGTGTGGCACTCCAAGTTTCAGTTTCAACAGTTTTGGCTGCCATGGCAAGGGGACAAAATAGAGAATAAAACTGCAGCAGAAGTCTTCAAATATTTGGTGACCTGTGTTTAACAGTTGGTTTAATAAAATTGTTGTTATCTCAAAATATAAGATTTAGAGTAAAAGTAGCTATAATAAATCAGCTGTTTTATGCAGATGTTTTGTCTCAAATGGCATAAAGTTAATTTTCTCTTCTCGATCCTCACATAAATTTTAGCTATTTAATTGATGGTAAATTAAAGTTTGCAGTTTAATTAAAATGCAAACATCTGTTATTCTGCAGTCAGCACCACCTTTGATTGGAAGATATGTACCTTTTGCTGCTGTTGCTGCTGCAAACTGTGTGAACATCCCCTGCATGAGACAGACGTATGTTAAAACACTCTTAGTATTTTTTAACAGTATTACAGCTGTACTATTAAAGGTACTGATTTGTAGAGATTGTACCATGGCCTAGTGGCTGTAACTGGACTACCTGTGGATCCTGACCTGGCTTTTCCATTAGCACTGTTTTGTTCCCTTAGAAGGAAAGATCATAATTCTCTTCAGTCAGGTCTTTGAGGTAATCCTGGGATGCAAAGAGCTGTGCTGCCCTGTACTGGGGAGTCTTGGCTCATTTCATTGGCACCTTTAACCCAAGGTGCTGATTTACAGACAATTCATCCATTTTTGCTTTAATTAATTTTGGTCTCACTGAATAACTGTAGCTATGTGAAGATTATTTTTGTCTTCATCCCTTAGGAATTTATTAGAATTACATGTACAAATCTGAATTGCAGTCCTGCACCTCAAAATAAGCAGTGCCAGAGCACATGAGTTAATAAATTTTTATAAGGAGAGTTAATTATTTCACTGGGAAGAATAATGTTTTGTTTCATTATTTTGCTCATAGAGAACTGGTAAGAGGAATACCAGTCACTGATGAAGAAGGCAACAGGATTGGAGATTCAAAGGTTGTTTAATTTTTCATCTACTATCAGTAGGAATAAAGTTCAAAAGTTACAATTTACTACATTTGTGTCGGAGAAACTTAGTGTGTGACATTTAAGACAAGATTATGAAGTATCGAAGTGATGACTGTTACTGTAAAATGATCTGACACCTAAGCAACACCTAAAACCATTAATTTTTTTAAATCTCTCTTTTAAGCTTTCACATCACATATATTCACAAGAGTCTATTCACGTAAGACTAGAATATCATTTTGGGGTGTGACTGTTATTTTTTAAAAAACATATTTGTTGCAGCATCCATATAAATTTCCATCATTAATATTCAATCTTTATACTTTCTGAAGTAAAATATTTTCATGGTGATAAGTGTAACAATAAAAACATGGCAATACTAAAAGAAGACTGCCAATGGTTTCCAATCTTAACTTAGCCTTTGGAAAATAATTGGATAATCAAACACTTGTACAGTATATTAAAAAGCTCCAAGGCATTTCTGCATAAACTTGTCACACTCATATAATGATAATTTGTTAGACTGTATTATTGGCTCGATATGTGTATGATTTATGTCACCTGCTTTGTGTGGGTTTGTTTCAGGCTGCTGCAAGAAAAGCCATAGCAAGTGTTGTATTTTCAAGAATTGTAATGGCATCTCCGGGAATGTGTAAGATATGCAGTTGAATGTATAATGATGATACTATATCTTTTCCAAGAGGCAGTAAGTTGCAAGTGACAAGCGACGCGAATGACTTTGTAAACTAATGGCTAAAAGCCATGCAAGAGAGAAACCTCTGCATGTAGGGTAGTCTCCCTCGCAGCCGTTTTTTGGATATCACGCAACCCAAATTGCGTGACATCCAAAAAATGGCTGCAAGGGAGACTACACGTAGGGTAGCACTTTTGGTTTGAACCCTAATGAGTTGTGTCACAAGTTAGTATTGAGAATGATTGTGTGGATGAGTGTGTGGTCCTGAATGGGACTTTTAGTTAACATACTGCAACAGATGTTTCATTTCTATCAGCAGTCATGAATTACAGTGTATGTCAATAGTAATGTTAACTCTAACATTCAGATTCACTGAATGTTTTGTTGCTCATCTGTCATTCAAGCTGACTGTTCTTAGATGTTAATAATATAAATCTGAGATTGCATTTTCATCTGTCTTTGTTTTCACTTTTCAGCTATTCCACCAATTATAATGAACTACTTGGATTCAAAGGCATTTATGAAGGTGATCTTGCATTTAGTTCCATAGGATGTGTTAATCATACATGCAAACTGAGAAAAGTAATTTGTATATTCTCTTGACAACGCCTTTATTTTCTATTCATTTATTATTTATTAAATCATAAATTTTCAGTTTTCTAACAGGCAAGTGAAGTCTTATTCTCTTTTTCACAAAGTAGTCTTTAATACATATACTTACATGTAGGTTGTCATTTTTGTTGTTGTTATAGCGGTGGCCAATTTTAGCTTCTCCTATCCAAACGTGTCTGGTTGGACTGTGGTGAGTTTTGCTAATTTCATGTTTAATTTAATTGCTAATTTAATTACAGACCAATCTAAATGTTTTAAGCGGATACATTGTAGGCTCAGGTGAGAGTTACTGTTCCATGTTAGTGGAAGGGCTACTGTCAGTACTTTCTAGCTGAACATACACTAGAACCTTAGTACAGTACATGCCTAGGGTTATATCTTTTGCCTTGTTCTTTCCCTGCTAGAGAAGAACAACATTCAAGAAAATTAATTTTCTGTTTCGTCATTGTACAATATTTCTTTTAAGAGTCATCCATCAACACTTATTCAATCACAATTTTAGTATTTTTTTAACCTTGGCTTCTTCTTATTTTTCATCATCCTCACAGCTTGGTGTTTGCTACTCCTTTATGTTGTGCAATCTTCCCACAAAGAAGGTTAGTTGATTTTGTTTTGAACACATAAAAATTACTTTAATGTACGACAAAGCTAATCACCCCTGTGGCAAGTTTATTTCCCAATGACGAGTGTTGTTTCTGTGACGTCTGTTAATTGTCCTTGTGATTTTTTGATCAGGGTTATGTCCTTGTAATGAGTGTCAGAACTCTGGCTTGACTCTCACCTTTAAAAGCACACCTTGGACACTATTGTGTCAAACCACATCTCTTATTGTACCACTTGATTGATATAATTGGATTTGATGTTCATCCTTAACTTTTGTAGGGGGGGAGCATCCTTCCAAACCATATACCCATACGAACTTGATTCAGCCAGGCAGACTAAGGAAAATGCAAAAATTTATATACCACTAACTTGGACTAGAGAATTTGAGTAATAATGAACTTTTCCCACGGCGTGCTTGTATTTACGTGTTCTTTAAAATGATTACAAAATCCTTGTCTGGCTTTTTTGCAGAAACATTTTGTATTACAAAAATAATGTATATTGTGAATGGTGAAAAAAAGGGAGAAAAGGAAGGAAGAGGTGTCAAAAGAGGAAATTAAGTAAGAGGGGGGGGGGGGTAGCAAAGGTGTAATTCTTTGGGCCAGCATCGCTTTTTGCTTTCTGTAAATGTGTGTCCAAACCTAATATGAATGCCTGACTTGCAAACAACATTTTGGGTCGTTAGGAGATGCACGTAAGCAGAAAATGGTTTGACCAATGGAAATAGCATTTTTCACCAAAATTCCCAGTGGAGAATGGGTTTACACTGTAAGTTGAAAACAAACCACAGGAATAAGAAACCACGTGGGTGAAAGTCTAAGGGAGGCAAAGCGGCTCTGCAGTCTAAAGATTTTGTAGACTAATTTTGATTCCTTTTGTTGCAGTTCTATAGCAGTCTCAAAGCTTGAACCAGAACTCCAAGAAAAGATAAAGAAGAGAGGAGGACCTCCAGTGGAATATGTCTACTTCAACAAAGGGCTTTGAAGAAACTTCAATATTAATATTATTTATTGAAAATTAATCAAAATTTTTTATTAGTCCTTTTGGAATTTTGAAATGGTACTATTAGTTTAGGGGATTGTTAGGATTCATAGACTCAGAAAAACAAATATTAACTCAATTTGGTATTTACAAATTGCTGTCCTTAAGACTGTAGGACTGCCGATGAAATCTGTTTGCTATAATAAAAAAGTGTCATAATTGCAATGATATTGTGAATTATTAAAGACAGCTAGGATTGTTTGATGGAATTTGAGGCCCTGGTTGAGTAAAATTCAGACAAGCAACATGGCCTGGAAATGGCAATACATGACTAGATGAAAGGGCAACAAAAACATGCGGATGGCTTAACGTTTGACAGGGACATAACTTACTCCTCAAAATGTGAAAAGAGCATATTTGAAATTCACACTAGGGACATAAATATCCCCCTCCCTCCCCCTAAGAGGGCCTCAGTTGCCAGAGGGACATTTTGGTCATTACAATAATCCAAAACAAACTGATAGGTTTAAAGTAATAATCTAAAAATGGCCATAGGGGCTTATCATTGCAATAAATATTATTATAATCATCTTTGGTAACCAAACCAAATTGTTTGGTCATAATAATCCTGATATTGACGTAGCTATTGTGCTGATAGTGATAATTCTTAAGGGGTATAATACATGAGACTGTGTGTTTCTAAGTAACTTGTGGATCTCTATTTCACCGTTAACTCAAGGAAAAATATTATTATTTCAATATATGGCTTTTCTCATATTTCACTCACCCAATGTACGTGTAATAGTATTTGAATTATCTGGAACAAACTTTTACGGTGTTTAAAGTCGTATTGGAGACCAAATAGTCATTCACTGGAAGAATTACATATTACTTGACATAATATACTGTTTTCTTAATCATAGTAGTGTGATAATGGTGATCAGTCTCAGTGCTGATGTAATAGTTCCCTATAGATACTGGTATATTAAGTTATTAATTCTGGTGTGTTTTAAATTAAAAGTCTTTTTATTTTTTTAAACAGGTTTTGTCTAGTAGTGTAATTTTCATGTGTTGGAAAATCCTAGGTGATTAGGGATTCCATGCAGTAAAGTGATTTAACCTAAGATTTTAGCAAAAAATAACAAAAAATTCCAACCCTCCAAGTTAAAGTTTTGGCAACCAATTCTTTTGGTTGAGGGAAACGTTTTTACAAATCAAGTCACCAGCTTCAAAATTTTAGGCACCATGGTGATTAAAATAGTCGCAACTTGGAGGGTTGAATTCCAGAGTCTGTGCCGAATGTTTTTTTGTTTTGTTTTTTTTTTTTTTCATCATAAGGGGAAAGACTACAGCTACATTGTGGAAGGATTGGGACCAAGCAAGAGTGATCCCATTAATCCCTTTATCATCCCTAACATTACATATTGCCACTGAGCCATTACAGAAATCTGGGATACGTCAGGACTGAATAGGAATGTTCCATATAAGTCTCCCAACTTATGTTGCAGTCCCGGGGGGGGTACTGCCATATATGGGCTATATAGGTATGTGCCGCTGTGAAGGGTATGGTTTTCAAGCAGTTTACTCTAGGATAGGGTATATAAATCAGAGCGCTTGAGTCTAGAATAGGGTGTCATTTTTCAGGAAACTGATCAGTTGGTTGAAGATTTTATCTAGACTGGGTAAACAGCTACTCTAGGATAGGGGGATTTGGGGAGTTTACTCTAGTATAGGGTAGCAAAATTCAGCTGAACTAGCTCTAGTATAGGTTAAGGGTTCCAGGGTCCCAGCGGCACATCCCCACCCAGAAATTCCTAAAGTACCCCCGGGTTGCAGTCCCTAATGACTGTGATGTCTATGATTTCCAGTTGTGGAGGGCAAATATAATAGAGAATAATGTTCAAATAAACTTTAATAGAAGCACATGCCTCAAACTTGAAATATACAAGAATTATGGGGTTGATGTTGCCATGCATGCAGTATTACCCCCATGTGCAGAAGGAGCAGATTTTGATGGAAAAAGATTTGATGACCATTGGTGGGCTTGCCTGAGTAAACAGCTGACATTTCGCGTTCTCAAGCTAGTATTAGGTTGTAATTAAAGCACAAAAGAATAAAAAGGATCTTGTTCCTTTATGACCCATATTGATCCTTAAAAAATTATTTATGGGTATCACAAAATGATGCCCAAATTTACAAACTTTAGTGCATTATGATCATTATTACTGGTTTTTTTTAGTGTTTTTTTTTTTCATTATTTGATAGAAATGAACGTTTTAACTAGTTGCTGTTCTGCAAAGACATCCACAGCTCACACCTTGATATCTTTTTCTAACTAACCAAGGGGTCTAGTTTCCTCCTGACAGCCATTCTTTGTTCTTGTCACACAACACTCCATGGGGAGGGGGTTGTGTGACGCGACAAAGAATGGCTGTACAGCCATTCTTTTAAGTTCTTTCATCAGTCACCACAACACTCCATGGGGAGGGGGCCTGCCGGGGGCGGGCATTTGTGTGACGCGACAAAAAAAGAATTTGGCTGTATTTTACATATATGTATGCATTTTTTCATTGCTTATCAAGCCAGAAGTACGTAGCGAAATTGGAGCTATTGATGTGAATCAACGTTTTTTGGTTATTGAATCAAATTTCTGTTGATATTATTTGAAGAACAACCTTCATAACCTTTTATAACCTTTATAAAACTATTCATAACATATAACTTTACGGATCTCCTTATCATTCCCCATTTGACAGCTCAAGAGTCCCCACCCAGAATCATCATCATCATCACCTCTGTCATCGTCCATATCTCTATCAACATCCTCCTCCTCCACATCATTGTTGCCTGTTTTGACAGAAGTCAAAACCCTAGCATGCCCTAGCATACAAACGATGTATTTTTTCAGTGAAGAAAAGATTTTAAAAGGTGCCCTTGAGGAAATTATAAAATGTTTAGTGATTTGGAACAATTTATTTTTGCATAATTTAGCATAGATTGACACGTCATACACCATATATGGTTTATAGTATCGTGATGATTTAACAGCGCCCGCCTCCAGATTTTCCCTCTTTCTTGAACGAACTGGTCGCTGATGGCTGAAGTAGATATGAAGAGCGTAATGACTTCCAAATTGAGTTAAAATTAGAAAGATAGATATATTTACTTGCCTTTTAGTTTTGCTCGTTATTTTCTTTCGCTTTTGACAATGCTTCGTTCCTGTGCTCGAAACCTGTTTCGCCTAGCAGCGAGACAGTATTCCGCTCCAGCCGCTGCGACCACAAGTAAACTGTCCCCAGAAGAAATTTTCAAGCGCGAAGACACGTACGGCGCTCATAACTACCATCCCTTACCAGCAGCCTTGTCAAAGGGAGAGGGCGTATTCGTTTGGGATGTCACTGGCAAAAGATATTTCGATTTTCTCGCTGCTTACTCGGCCGTAAATCAAGGTCATTGCCATCCTAGAATAGTGAAGACACTGCAAGAGCAAGCTGAAGTTCTAACGCTTACATCCAGAGCATTTTACAACAACGTTCTGGGCGAATTTGAAGAGTTTGCGACTAAGCTTTTTGGCTACGACAAGCTCTTGCCGATGAACACTGGTGTTGAAGGTGGCGAAAGCGCGTGTAAACTTGCAAGGAAATGGGGTTATCAAGTCAAGGGAATACCAAAGAACGAAGCAAAGATTGTTTTTGTTGAAGAGAACTTCTGGGGGCGGACTCTTGCCGCAGTATCGTCATCTTCTGATCCTGACTGCTATGGAGAATATGGCCCATTTATGCCTGGTTTTGAACTTATTCCTTACAACGACCTTGCTGCTTTGGAGGTAAGCTATTTTAGACGTACCTGCTTCGTTGGACGAGGACAATCGAGTAAATTGATGCCACGTGCAACAACCACACCGTACGTGATGATCTGAGATTCTTATGCCCTCTTGTACGAGACCGTTGTTTGATTGTTGCGAGTAACTGATAATTCGATGAACAAATTTCATTTTACATTTCGAACAACTCATCAGTTTCTATATTATTAACCTTGAAAGCCATTTGTTATTCACAAAACGTGATTCTTCATTTGTAAACAGTATGTAAAATATGGAAGGGCAAGATTTCCTGAGCTTACATTTATTATGCATGGGGCAATATCATACCATTTCTCACAAATATATAGTTAATATAAATAGCATAATAAATGTATGGGGTTGTGTAGAAATCTTACCATACTGATTTGCCATATTCAACAATTAACATTTGGGTGGGGTTGGGATTTTAAAGTAAAGAAGGGCGGGATGGGGGGATTAGCAGGAAAAAATACTTTAGAAACACCTTTGACAGGATGCATGACTATTGGGCCTATCACAATCTTGTATGCCCCAGTTGTTCAAAAAGTGGGTAGCGGTATCTGTTAGATATATCTTTTTCCAGTGAATAACAAATTTGGTTTCCCAAATACTTCTCCGCTGGATAGTAATTTATCCAGTGGATAGTGCTATCTAAGTTTTTAACAAATACAAGCTGGTTAGCTTGGAGGGCTATCCAGACAAATGTGAAAATTACAAAGGGAAAAAGGGAAACATGGAAACTATTCACAGCAACCAGGATGGTGGTAGAAAACAGCATTAAACACTCACTTTTTGAAGGATGCTTGTTGGTTCCATCTTAGCTGTGTCTTTTCCTTTAAATCCTCCTGAATAGCATTCAAACAATTTGCATCCTCTTGATTATATACCAGTCAACATAATTTGTTTGTACCCTTCTTACAGAAAGCTATCAGTGACCCAAACACTTGTGCTTTTATGGTGGAGCCAATCCAAGGTGAAGCTGGTGTTAAGATTCCTGATGATGGATATTTGAGAGGTGTAAGGGAGCTTTGTTCAAAGTATAATGTAAGTGTTTATTGTATCAGGGTGCCCTGCTAACATTATCCTCTGTTGAACAAACCACTTTTTTTACTTGGTAAAGGATGTACACGGTGTAGCTAAGGAAAAGCTGGGATTGATTTTTTGTTAGTCAACCGGCTTTTTTACTCAACTGTATCTTCAAATTTACCCTAAAGTAATTGAGCTGGTGGTAAGCTCTTTTTCAGCCAGTGAAATCAGCCAGCAGCGGGCTCTTAACAACCTCCCTGCTTGTTAACCTTGAACCAAGCATCCAAAAGTACCCTTGGAATTATTGGCAAGACATGTCCTATGAAGAATGTCTAATGTTCCTCAAATGGCCAACACTTCAACAAAGAAGATTATTTTCGTCGCTTACAATAAACAGACTTAACAGATTAGACCCCTCAGCATTTTTTACGTTTGCACATGATTTTTGGCCCTTAGGAGCTAATCACCGTTTCAAACTTAAGTTTGCATTCGCAACTTCAAATAGTTTTAAACATTCTTTTTTATACGCATAATCGATAAGTGGAATAATCTGCCAAAGGAAATTGCTGAGGCAGAAAATTTGAACACTTTTTAGTACAGACTGAGGTGTCATCTTGCAAATTTTTCTAGTGAACACTAAGTTCTTCAAACTTGTGATGTATTACATGTTTTATACTTAGTATTTTAAACAGTTGTAAATAATTAATGTTTTAATTTATTTCATTAACAGGAGATAAACTAGAAAGGGATAACCTCCTTTATCTCCTTTTCACTTTGCTATAGATTTGTGAATAAACAGTTATTATTGTTATTATTATAAAAAGGCTTTTGGCAATATTTCTGGAAAGCTGTCAGCCTTAGATATAACACTAAATGTACCATTATCTTTGCTTCTTAGGTTCTTTTCATAGCTGATGAAGTGCAAACTGGGCTTGGTAGGACTGGAAAGTATGTTCTGACAATATGTTTTGAAACCTTTATTCCCATGAAGTACTCAAGGGCAAAGTTTCAAGTGGGGAAAACAAATATTTTTGTTAACTGGTTGGCCATAGTTTTTGTAGAATTTTTGTATTATCTCACTGGTATTTCATTTTTTCTAGCCACATATTGAGTTAATGTTTAACTGTCATAATGATGTTAAAGATATGTGTTAATTATTGGTGGTGGGTGTTTTAACTTTGAAGGCGCTTGGCTGTGGACCATGAAAATGTCAGACCAGATCTTGTTATTCTTGGAAAGGCTCTCTCTGGTGGTGTTTATCCTGTAAGTTACAACCCATTGTTTATTTTTATTTTTATTTTGATTGAAGTGTTACTATCCCAAAGCTGTACTCTGCAAATGTTTTGAACCTTGGACTCTAGGATGCCAAAATTAACTTTTGTTTCTCAAGAGAAGAGTAACATCAATCTTGTCCTAACATTATCAATAATATTTTATTATATAAACACCAATGAAATACCAAGTGAGCTTTCGTGCTAAAACTTGATATCTTCGCATGTGAAAATAACATGTTATCTTCACTTGTGAAAATATCACCATTTCTATGGCTTCATAATAAACTGCACCTTTCAGACCAAAAAACTATTCAAGTAAAATGGTTTGGTATTTCATTGGTGTTTAAGAAATAGAACATAACATGGCCACTTGGAGGTACGAAATTTCTCTTCTCGTGTTGAAAAAATATTTCAACACTCAAAGAGAAATTTCACATCTCCACGCGACCATGTAATATCCTCTATAGCATTAAAATAAAAGTTGTGAGAATTCTTTAATGTTCAACAAGGCTTAATGCATTGATTAATTAAAGAAATGTATGGAAATTAGTTCAGAGAATTTGTATGTGGATATTGGGGTTTAGAATCATTCATTTTACAGTTTTGTTACTCGATAGCAAAGCTAAGTTGCTAGCGGCTGGCAATGGTTGCACAACCTTGCTAACCTGAAAAGGTTGGAATTGAGTTTGTCTGGTTGAAAGGAAGTGATTAAATTACAGAAAATCTATGATGTGGGACTTGTTAAATTTTGAAATTAAAGGGATAAGTAATGAACAGATTATTTGATATGATATCAAAATAATTTGATGTGAGTCTGATGTGAGGTAATTTTTTTCAAATTGTATGTAGGTTTCTGCTGTTCTTTGTGATGATGAAGTCATGCTTACTATAAAACCTGGACAGGTAATGTGTTATTTTACATGGCTTCTTACTGTCAAACTCGAAAACCGTGAACACCAAAATTTTTAGGAATGTTGATTGTGTTGTCATCAATCACAAATTTCAGGACATGCAAGCAAACCTCAAAACCACAAACTGATTACCGTTTCTGTTTGCGGTGTAGTTTTCACGTTCCTTATTGGCTTTTTCCTTGCAACACAGTAACATTCCGTAAATATTTTTTGTGTTCGCTGTTTTGAGAGTTTCATAGTAACAGATTTTCATGTTTTGTTTAGAAAGAATATTTAACAATTATTCCTCGAGCCTGAATGGGCTCTGATTCAATAGCTCATGAGGCCGAAGGCCAAGTGGGCTATTGACTCGGAGGCCAGGTCGGAGGGCGAGAGGAATAATTGTTTTAGTAAAATCCAATTAGTTGGTCAAACATATCGAGAATAAAAAACTTTTGGCTAGTTAAAGCTAGACTTTAATCCTTTTTTGCCGCCAAAAAGCCCGCGCTTTTCACTACTAGAGGGCTATAACATATAGCCTAGTAGTAGCTCAACCAATCAGAATGCAGCATTGATAATAGACCACAAGTTGGATTTTACTAAACACTGATAGACATAGTTTTTGGTTTCTTGTAGCATGGTTCAACCTATGGTGGAAACCCACTTGGATGCAAAGTCGCCATCACTGCATTGAAAGTAAGCTTGTGAACTTTTTTATTGACTGTTACCACATCTTTACCATTAACCGTTTTTATTAGCACATCATAATTTACTGTTCCGTTGCCCATTTCTCGAGAGGCCTGGCAACTTTTCAGGGCCAAAAATAAATATTCAAATCCAAATCTAAAGAATGAAAACAGGGGTCCCAGCCAACAAACCAGTCCATTTTGTTTTGGTCAACTAATAGTTTTATTATGTTATGTAGAAAAAGTTTGAAACCTCCATCTTGAATGCAACAACAGCAGCTTTCCCAACCTGGTAATTATTGGGACTTTTGAGAAACAGGGCCCTGGTGATAACACCTTTGGTCTGTCAATTGTAACTAATGCTAACAAAAGCAAAAATATCCTTTATGCAAAACTTAATTTCTACTTAGCTGCTTTTGCCTTCATCCCTGTTTAACTGATGGCTATATCAAAAGTAGGTCGAGTTTGATCATCTGGGTGAATGTAGTCCTGAATAGGACTGTTGTTGTTAGCGGTGACTGACGTTTCGACAACCTGTGCGGTAGTCATCTTCAGAGTCAACTTACTTTTGAAATGACTCCTGGGTTCAAACCTTTCACAGTTTCAATGGCTATATGTTTCACACTGCTGTGTTCTTGTAGGTTTTAGAGGAGGAGAAGCTAGCTGAACATTCTGCTAGGTTGGGAGAAATCATGATACCTGAACTGCAGAAGCTGAACCCAGCTGTTGTCAAGTCTGCACGTGGCAAAGGGCTTATGAATGCGATTGAGATCCATGCTACTGATGGTGGGTTTCTAGAAAAATTAATCTCTGTTGTTAGGTTTCTTATTATGCTATTGTTTTTAAAGTGTACCTTTTGCCATGTCTTGACTGGGTAACTGTTTAACAGGAAAGTCTATCTGAAGGATTGTAAAATTTCCAGATTTACTGTGTAGATGATAATAAAAGATCACTTTAAGTCCCTTCAAATTCCCTACCCAGCTGGTTAACCTTTTCCTACCCTCATGTAAAAAATGTAACTTTTTATTGAAACTTCTATTAGGCTGTCTTTTATATTTATATATTAATTTTAAACTTAAACATGCACAGAACTTGGTTAGTTCTCAAGTTGGTGGACCACCTTGTACCAATGAAACAGGCTTGAAATTCACATATTATAATTTTTTTTTTCAGAATTTAATGCATGGAAGGTTTGTCTGAAACTAAGAGACAATGGACTGTTGGCCAAGCCTACTCACGATCACATCATCAGGTTTACACCACCTCTTGTCATCACAGAAGAGCAACTCCATGAATCACTTGGAATAATCAGAGATACTGTCGAGTCATTTGCTTAAGTAAAATAACTTTTTCGTACAAACAAAATAAATATCAGGTTGCATTGCATTCGCTAGCCCTTTTCTTTCTATTAGCTTTCTATTTTGCTATCGGTGTGTTTCTTTATTTACAAAGTAGCAAATTAAAAACAACAGCTTAGAAATAAACTTGCAATAATTTTAAACTAGGTGTAAAATAATTCATTGGGTAATATTCAGTTAGGTGAAATTATTTTACTCAACTGAAAGTTAATGCAATTTATTCTTGACTGAAGGAAGAAAAGGGCTAGTTTTATTTACAACTCACATCAGCAACAAGTTCTCCTTACATACCCAATATTGGGCAGTGCTGGGCAATATTAGTTGTTGAGCTGGTAACAATTCACCAATAATAATATTGTTAGAATGATATTTTTTTTCCTGGATCTGAGGAGTGGGAAAAACATGAGCAGTGAAATTGAGCTTCTGGGATAAAATGATCATAGTCAATTTTTTTTTTATTCACCCAAGCCTCAATGCTAGGGTGATTTTGACTATGAAATTGGTCCATTACTGTGGCTTGGGCAAGTTGGTACAGAGATTAAAACAAAATTCTCCCACTTAGTATCTTAACAAAATATGTTTGATGTAAGGGAACTTGCTGCAGTTTCTGTTGGCTCAGTGGCTTCTTTGTTTCCCAGTGTTGGTCAAATGCTCTTCATAGTTGACAGTTTACAAGCAGAAATTAATGGGTTAATGATTAACTTGTCTTAGAGGTCACTTTTTGTTAAAGGGATGTTTCACTTGTACCATTCTCTGCAGATTATATATGTAGAACATTATTTTGGTGACAGTTTTGCTATTAGTTGACAAGGCATGAAGTTTTCTTCAGCCATTTTTCTTTCTGGTTTTTTTTATCGGTTGTATTACACGAATGATGCTAAATTTATTGTACCCTTAACTGTAATATTAATCTGATTGTTATTATTAAGAGAAGACAATAGTCCATTTTCAAGTTGCAAAAGTTCTAGCTTTCAAAATGTGGCCAACTACAAACTTTCTGGTGAATAGGCTGTAAATGAAAGACCATGACTTGAAACTTTGTAGTCTTTTTGAAAAAGAGGCTTGCAGCAACTTGGAAATGGCCTCTTGCACATCACAAACTCTTCACTGCTGGTGAACTCTCAGCCTCTGCAAGCTGATGGAAGACGTCCCTCAGTGAAATGAGTTGCCTGCTAAGCAGGCTGAAGAGGAAGAAGAAAAAAGAAGAAACCAAAGCTTGTTGCAGTTGATAATCTACTGCTGGTTGTCCTGAATAGGCTATTTTATTATTTTGTTTAATATTATTTTTACTTGCATCAGTCAACAGAACGTTAGCGGTACACAAATGCCAACCAAAGTCGACGAAACAACACAAAAGAGGCTTACTATTGAGTACACAAACATTAGGTTAAAACAGTAATTAAACTGACTACAAGTAGTGACTGGACGGTTATAAACAATATTATTTTTAAATCCACATTTTTTCATGTTATTATTATTTACTTTTTTAGTTATTTTTAGTGGTTGAGGGGAAGAAATAACTTAGTAAATATCATAGAATTTACGAAACCCGTGAAACTGGTACTAACAACTAGTGCCAAATAGTTTCAAGAAGACTAAAGAATTAGGGAATAATGGTTGGTAGTAGTCCATTACCTATTTCATGGGTCAAGTAAAATCGCTCTAGCACAGTGAAAGATAACTTACCGCTGATAACATTAATACTGCCTTAACCAAAGTAGGAGTTAATAAATTAATGTCATTAGAAACTTTTCTCTGCTGGTGACCTGTCGGCCAGTGCTGATGGAAGATGTCCCGGAACTAGAGAGAGATGAGGAAGAAGAAAAGAAAGAAGAAAACACACTGGATTCCTTGCTGGTTGAAAACCTATGACTGGTTTCCCCAAGGGCTATGTGATTATCATTATTTGCATTTTTTCATTTTTACATCAACATTAGACATACTCGGCACAGAAGTAGAACAACAGTTGACTAGTTAAAAGCTGATAGAGCCAGTAGCCTGTTGAAGCGTCTTACACAAGCCTCATTCACTTGTGCACTTGTCATGTGGAATTGTACTTTTTTAAGTGTTGCAACTAGTGTAGCAGTTCAGTTTTTTTAAGAAAACTATCAGCAATGGTTGACAGACAGGTAATTGACAGTGAACAATAGTCAATTTTAGTCAGGAACTGACAGTGAGCTTATTTATAATGGAAGTGAAATATATTCAGTTATCAGTAATAATAATGATAATAATAATAATAAGGTCAATACAGATAGTGACCTCTTGGTTTGTGCCAATTGCAGCTGTCCTTCTGTTGAGACTGGGGATCAAAGAGGAACCAAGAAGCAACTGAAATACTTTTTGTGGTCGATACACCCGTATGCGGGTCATCCCCCAAAAGGCTTTTTGTATTTGTGTCTATTTTTGTTTTTATTTTTGTTGCTGTATTCATTATTTGTTGCAATGATACTCAGAATGGCTATTACAACATACAATGCACACAAGACAACATGACTGGACAACAAATAAATAACTGATAGGTGTTATTTAGTTAATCACATAATTTAGTAAGTTAATATATATACCCAAGTGTGATAATGTTTTTGTGGTCTATTAATGGTCAACTTATAGACAACATAGTAGAACTTGTAACCAACAAAAACCAGCAGAAGTCTGTTGGGGCTGAAGAAATATAGCTTGTGGGATTTAATGTTCATTTTATTATTTAGTATTATGTGTGAAATGGTGTGATAGCTCTCAGCTGCTGCTTGAGTGAGCTCCACCTTTTGGAATGGGCAAAATAAAATTTGAAGAGACAGAAGTTTCTTTTGGTCGATTGGGAAAAAATCCTAATAGAAACTTTGTTTAAATTATTTTTTTTGGTTATTGATTTTCTTTAAATACTTTTTGTAGACAGGTTACAGGAGTTAAAATCTAAAACTGACAACTGTTTGCTGTCTTTACTTTGATCACCTCTGCATCTAATGCGTTTGTATAAAGACAAGTAGGATGACTAATTGCTTACTGACTAACCAAACATAGAGTTAACAATGAACATTAATACTGTAGCTTAACATCGCAGATACTAGTTCAACTTAACTGTACTAAGCTGTTTGTTGGCGCAGACCATAAGAGGTTCAAGACGCCACCAGCTAAATGAAGATGATGATGATGAAGAAGATGATGATGAAAGAAGAAGTTTCCCGCTGGTCGATAACTGGTTATCCCACGTGTGGGCTTCAAATTTCTTGTTCCTATGTGTGCCAACTGGCTGTACACATTTCGGGATTCAAGAATCTTTAAAGACGAGACAGGACAAGAAAGTATACAGACTAGACAGCCTCTATGGATCCATTTGTGTGTATGCTTGTGTACTTTGTTTTTGAGTTTAATGTACTTTTTTGTGTTACTTTGTTACATGTCAAATTTCCAGAAATTTACCAAATAAAAATGAACTGTGAATGACACAGTGAATATATTGATGATAAAATAAAGTTTGTACAATTCAGTTTAGCGCCCACGGGGCAGTTTATGACACAATGAAAAGTTTTTAAACCTGATTTAACTTTTCCTAAAATGCGAGTGGTCAATTTCCGTTTTCATTTAATCTTTATTCCAGCCAAATTACTGCCTCTTAGATAAGTAGATTGCAAGGCTGATGTAACTCTTAGATGTGTAGAAATTACATGACTGACATGCAAACAACAAAATTTTGTTAAGACAGTTTTCGACAGAACGTTTAAACTCAGCTCCTACCAGTATGAGGGTAGTGCAGCTGACGAGCTCCGAGAAGGCGAAAGAAACCCTTTTGATTTCACTGGTAAACAAAGATGGACTTCCAAAGTTCGTCCCAGTGAAGTTTGTTTTCTGTATGTGGTATCGTAGTAGATTGAATTGTTTTTTGAAAAAGTATTGTGAGAAATATTGCCTTGTTTTGCCTTGCTGTTCTATGTTAGAATTTGTTGTTATTGTGTGATAAGCTGTTTTCTGTCTTTGTGGATCCTGGTGCTACCAGAACGTCGGTAGTACATTGACTGAAAAAAAAGGAACTCAACATTGTGACTGAAAGACAGCATTTAGGGAGGCTTCCTTTGTGAAGAAGATAGAACAGTGAGGGAAAATGCGGTTTGTGGCTGTACACTATATCCCAAGGAACACTTTAAACAAGAGTACCTGTGTGAGAGACGAAAAATTGACATTTTGGACAGTTCTTTTATACGATGTAGTCTTGTGGGTTACTTGGATCTTGTTGGATTGAGAACATCTACGGTAGACATATGCTAGCCTTAATAGTATAGTACATCACCTTGGCTAATCAAGGGACAAAAACCAGATCAGCAATCAAAGTTTTATGACGTTACCAGGGAGATCCAGAAATACAAGACTGCGTGCGTCGATTCTTCGAAGGAGTTGAGCCAATAGCTCCTTTTTATTTGTGTTCTTGGACTGCGACGAACATTTTGACACATTATAGTTCAAAAAACGGTTAGCAAAGTAGTATGCCTCGATACAGAAGGACAGCAACTCAACGGACCATGATAATAGAATAATGACTCAGGAAGTCAAAAGGGACAATCAACTGTGGACATGAACTAGCAAAGCGTGACGTATTAAAAAGGGACAGGGGGAGGGGAGAGGCAAAAGATGTCAGCTGTTAGAAGGGACAGCGGGATCAAGAGCGGCAACATGCAGCAACAGCAGCAGCAAAGCAACAACAACAGATGTGAAGTTGGAGGCCATTGGTTAAAGGGCTTCCTTCCCATCTTTATCTACACAGACTGTTAACTTACGTCACACGGGGATAAGTGTCAGGACATGGCTTCTGTGTAAGGAATGGAGGCTTTGGAACTAAAGCAGCACAATGCAAAAACAGACTGGACAGTGGACAGTTGAACAACATAGCAATAACCAGTTAACATTCTAACAACCCAAAGAGCGTCGTGCTAAGAAGCATTGCCATTGAATGCCAAAAGAGTAACAAACATTGTAATAACATACGTAGAGCAATCAGTTGTGTGAAGTGTTCATTGAAAGGCAGCAAACGCAACAGTGACGAACTTGACAACCGTTACGACATACAGAAGAGCTAATGACACAAAGCACAAGTGAAAGGGGTAAACCATCAAATCAGTGAATCTAAAATTAACTTAATTGTAAGAACCTATCGGTTACTCCATCACTGCAACTGGCAAATCAAACTGGTAAAATCAGCTTACTTGTAGTTGTGAAGCATCCCTAAAACTCAGTGACTATTCAGTTCTATTATGATATCGTTACGTGATTTTACCATTGCAAACTCTACGCTTTCCCGTCTCTTTGCTGGAAAACAAACACGCCACTGATATGTACGGAAAATATACATTTTTTTATTTACTTCACGGTATGTTTGCCTGTATCACAGAAGTGAGGAGTTCAGATTCGTACAACGTGATAATAGTGAAAGTCGTAATTGATTTCTCGTACTTTTTACTTCCTCCTGGCGTTTTGATCATGCAGACATACAAAAACAGATCCAAGATTCTGTTCTTTGAAATAAAGCTAGACCTTTCTCGTATTCTTCAGTGAGCAAAGGTGGATAATAATTGTATTTTCTCCACCCAAACCTCGAATTGGCGCCTTTGTTTACAGGAATGCGGGAAAGGTCCATACTATTCTACGTATAGTTTAATTAAGAGAAAACAGATCTTTCATAATAGCTGGAAAGTTAAATTTGCGCCGCTTACCACCCTTAAAACAATGTTGGATTCAGCTTGAAGATGTCTCTGGAAAAGTATAGTTTTTTAATTGTTTTCAGTTTTAATGTTAAGTTTTCTGTTTAAAAAACAGCGTGTTGAAAAGATGTTATTAAAAGGCTTGTCTAAAATGAATTAGATTTGAGTTTGTATTTTGATACCCTGGAAGTAGTATAGTAGGGACCGAATTAACCTTTTTTATGACCGAAGACGTTAACGCCGATGATATTATTGTTAATTTAATGTATTCCTCCGCAAGTTAATGAGGTTCCTCCGCAAACAGGTACATTCGGTCCCTTCTTTACTACTACTACTGTACTACATATCTAGGCAAGATTTATCTAGGTGAGATTTATCGTGCTCGACTACAACATTCCATGGTTGCTTTGCTTGACCGCGCGCTACTCGCGGCGGTTAAAAACTCAGTCCCGCACTCAGATCCCGACATATGCACAGGCTACTGCATTGGCGACTTGTATAAGCGCTTGGAGACGTCTGATGGGGTGCATTCGATTGACTTTATTTTACTGAGGATAACTGGGTTAACTCCAGCAAACAATGTTATAGGGACTACTAATGTATCATCTACAGGCATGGATGGATGCTCACCGAGATATGATAATTTTGGTACAGTGATCAATTTAATCAATTCTCGTGCTTCTTGTGCCTTTGCAAAAAAATCAAGAAGTGCTACACACTAAATCTACTTACTATTAAAAAATATCATTTTTTCATAGGTTTAATGCAAGCCAATAATTAATACAACTCGTGACGGGAATCCCTTCTATTTTCTCATACTAAATTATCATATCTCGGTGAGCATTCGGAAGTCAGCCAAGCGTGGTCATTGCACGCGTGCTGAACAAGAATGCTGTATAATGACAGACTAGAAACAATAGACAACTCCCAAAGCACAAACTCAAGTTTGGGCTTATAGAAGATAATGTCACAGTCTTTCAATGGCCATCAAATTCAGAATCCGGGTAGTTAGTTAATCAATTGTGGCCCTGAAAAAATTGGAAGGGAAAAAAACTACGAATTTTTAAGAAAATGCCTTTTTCGTGAGAAGGACTCTTAAACGCTGACAAACGTCAACAAATAGCGAAAACTGTGATTTGTATATGTTTGCTTTGCTCGAAATCGCGCGCATTTACAAAGCTCTAAAGAGTTTTGCTGACTTGCAAGGATCCATCTGTTATAACGATGCCCAAAATAAAGGAATGAATCTCATAGTTTATTGGATATAATCGTGTAAAGTTTGCTTATCATTTTCGCATAAATTATGACCTAAATTTGGAAACCGCTGAATTTCTCGAATTGGGTCTTTACGATTTTGGCGAAACTCTGTTCAGCTCAAGGCACTAATGCGCACTATGTGTAGTCGAGAGATTTTCGCGAAAAAATGCCGGCAACAGCAGATTTTCGACTCAGACTTCAAAGGGGCGTGGCATTATAACCACGTGACATTTACTCCGATCGCCAAAAATTTTATGTTATATTGTAGATTGATCTATATGTTATCCATTCTATGTGTTAGACTTACGATACAGGTAAAGGTCGGGATGCCAGAGAGCTTCAAAGTAGGATGGTACCCCCCCCCCCCAAAAAAAAAAAACCTGGTCGAGTCACCTTATTAAAACAAAGCCGGAAATCGAATACTTATTTGTATCGGCGTATCCATGGCAACATGGTGACGTTATTATCTTTGTACTTTTCCTCAAAAGCTCGGGGTTGGCCCCGGGGTTGACAAATGCCCGGCCCTCGGGCAGCGCAAAATTTGCAAATGCCCCACCCCCGGGACTCACAAGGTGGGCAAATGTCCCGCAGTAGTCCGGTGTGCGAGGGGCTGGGCGCAGCTGGAATTGACTGATGCATCACAAAGTTTTTTACAAAGTAAATCTTGTTTAACCTCGTTCCGAGGTCCTCTCTCCTACCCGTAATCTTGTTACGGTAAACAACTAACAGGGTGTCGGTAAAGCGGGGGGGTCGCCGGGATCCGGGTTCTATCTTTTTTGTTTTCTTTTAAAAAAGAATGATTTTTAAGGAAGCCTAACCCCAACCCTGGACCGTAAACAGCATTCTTGACAAAAAAGATAGACCCCGACGCAGACTCCGACCCGGCGTTTTACTGACACCCCAGCTATTAAACTCTTATTAATCAACCAGGTTTTTGTGTTTTGACTCTCTCATACACGTAGCACCACATTTCTTTAGAAACTAATCACTTCATTCTTTTGGTTGTCAGCTTGTTCAAAACACTGTTTTGACTAAGATGCTCAAGAGTCGAATATAGTCGCCTGGACCCGGTTGCATAAAACCTACACTCAAGTGCCCACTTAAGCAGGTCAGGGTAAGGGTTGACACTAACACTTACGAATCCGTTATGGGTACACTTACGGGTGTTGCATGGAACGCACTTCGCACTCTCGTAAGTTTCTGTTTTACGTGGTAACTTACGGGCTCACGTAACCTTGATATAGTACTTTATTAGTGATTCACTCTTTTTTTTTAAGCTAACCATCGGTGAGTGTAAAGAAAGTCAACAGTCGTTTCGAACACTTTTAAGCCTCTCGAAAAATGAAATTTGCATGCAAACGTTATTTTCTTTAATATCTACTGAAAATGATAGTTCTTCTTTTTTCACAAAGTCGGCTTTTAAGTGTACATCAGAGGTTAACAAAGTCCATTAGAACGATCGCGAGTAACGTGAAGAAAAATGCTTTTTTTCACTTCTCAGTAAAAGATCTCTAAGTGGACCACTTAAGTGATTTAATGCAACTCACTTAAGTTACGAGTGCACGTACGTATACCCGTAGTTGTTACGGGCGTTTTATGCAACCGGGACCTGAATTCCAGCCTGTGGCCCCGAGTCGCACTTCCCGAGAGATCAGAAGTCGTCTCTCGATCCCTGCTAGAAGCATAAATGTCTCGAATTTAGCACGAATTTACTGAGAAGCTTCTGCTTTGCCATGTAATATCCCAGTAGTCCGTAAAGCATGCGATAAATAAGACCATCCTTCAGCAAGGATTAAAGACGTCCATGAGAGACTCAGCATCCGCAACAATAGATAAGAGAAGGGTGGCCCGTCTGATCTACTGCTGTCATGAATTGGAAAACGAAGCCCAGCTAAAGTAAGACGCTTGCGAACTGTTTAGGAATATGAAATGACTGCAATAAACGTTCATTGTACAAGCAATTTATGCAAGTTCCTTTTTCCTCAGAAAAAAAAAACTCAAGCAGAAAGAGTGTCAACGAAAGTGTCGACTTGTTACATTTCAATCATCGTCTGAGTAGAATGAACACACACGTATAATTCCTTTTTCTTACCGATCTCCTCGAAACGGTGGTATTGGATTGCTCGTCATCTTCCCCAATGCATTCCCTTGCTTCGTTGATGGAGATTGAACCGGTTAACATGGACAATGATAGTGGATTCATTGGTAATAGAGAAATTTTTAAATGCAAAGATGATCATCGCAGGTAATTACGCAACTATGCAGTTGCCAATAGAAAGCCTAAAAAATATTCAGACTTTTTATTTGTTCATTCCTCAGTTCCAAAATATGAAATTCATACATTCATCACTTCAGAGAAAGTCTTGTTCCAGGTGTTGCTCATACATTTCGATCATGTGGTTATTCAAAACTATCTTTCGCCACGTATGTCTTTGACACCGATTTCTTCCGCAAAGTACCTACCGGTATCCTTCTTTGTTGAAGGAGCTATTATGCACCTGCATAATAGCTTGAACATGAGGCCTTCCTTACGCATTAGTGAAGAGGAGTTTCACTTGTCTCTTTTCGCTTCTGTCGTCTCCCTTTCTGGACATAAGTGCATTTTTACGATGTGTTGCTTTCATGTAACCGACAAAATCAAATTGAAGCTGCAGCGCCATTTAACAAATCGACAACAATTTTCTCAAGTCAGGGAACCACTGACGAGCTGCAATGTTTTGAACATTGATGGTTTTGACGTTCACGAAAAATCGCGCCTTCAAGAAATTTCAAGAAAGAAAATCCGAATCTGACTCCTTGGCAAGTGAAAACCAGCTTTTAACAACGTGAAGACAGAGTCAAATATCGCACTGCAGTTACCTTTTAGATCTTAATCCCCAAAACTGCTTTATGTTTCCCTGTTCCTAAAGGTTTTTTTGTTGTTGCTCCCCTGTTTCAATTCCCCAGGTTAAATTCGCTAAGTTCCCTAAAACCCCTGGGAGACCCTCCTTAATGTCCTCAATGTGATCTCCCGGCCTGCTCCTGGCCTTCATATTGTGTGGCCGTGATAACTACAAGCTCTCTTGGCGTGACGTGGCGTGCCACACTACTTGACTGTTGTTATTAGCGTCTCTCTTGTACTATTGGAATTGGTGTCTGGCCCAAATTGAAAGGAGATCAAGAAGAGAAGGAGAATGGGGAAAAACAAGCGCCTTTCGTTCTCTGCATCTTCAGCCCTACTTCTCGAGGCATGATTCTCAGAGTGATAATTAATGTTCCCACGGTTCAAATTCTCATCTTTTTTTTAGAGATACAGAGACTTAAATTTTTCCTATGTTAGTTTCCAAAAGTCACCTGCAATGGAGACGTGAATGAGATGGCCTTCAACCCCCTCAACTTGCAGCCGATTGGCCCCTGACCTGGTTCCGGCCGAGGGATCGGAGCCGTTACTCCCTCCGTGATTAGGGCCAAAGGGTATTGTTTTTAACCCCGTTTGTCTCAAATTGGGTTTAGATTTTGGCCTTTTGAAACTTAAATAGAATAAAGTTCTGCTGTCTCTGGAATCATGGTCTAGAAAAAGGTACGTTTTTGTTGTCGTTGTTTGTTTGTTTTGTTTTGTTCTTTAATTTTGGAACAGGTTTGAAACAGGGAAGGGAAAATCACACACCCTTTGGCCTGAAATTGGGTAAGGCTTTAGGATGCTTGCCGTACACGCCCCCGAATTTTCCAGGAATGTTCTCGCCGGCCCCGATTTAAAGAAGATCACATCTTTCAGAGTTAGAGGAAGCGGACCTCATAGACAACGAAGTAATAATCGAGAAACCAGAAGCAACAAGAGACAAGAACTACGTACTGCAGGTGCCTGAACCGATGACTGGAAAAATAAAGGGCTGTCATAAGGTAAGTATGACTGTAAAAACCATTGGGTTTAGTGGATCCCCTTCCTCCAGAATACCATCTTAGTGATCGGTTAAAGTAGCCTTTAACAGCTGAAGACTACTGTACAATTACACAATACCTTACCCACCCCACTCCACCCTGGGAAAATTTATGATTAAAGAATGTGATGGACCTTTGAGAGAATCGCAATAACTGTCAGCTCTTACATTTTATGATAGAGAAGACCACTTTGTATTATCTGATTCAACGGAAAAAATTCTCAAGCGGTCGTTGCCATCCGAATAGAGCAAAGAGGATTTTGTTCTTTACAGACCTTTTACAATGCCGCTTGTTTATTCTGACAACAGAGGTGTGCAAATTATGCAGTTATGCATAAATTATAGCTTTCATTAAAGAGGCAGAAAGAAGCGCGTCTGTCACACGAAGGGTAGTCATGTCCGGCTTTTGTTGTGGAAGTTCTTTAGATCTTTGCCGATTACCAGACATACGATGACCAAATAAACTTGGCAAAGTACTAAAGGTTAAAAGCACTCAAAATGACGCAGACTGGGGATCCACAGCGCAAAGAACAACTGAAGGAATTCCAACGAAATGCACATCGTTTACTATCAGAAGATGACCGTAATTATTTACATTATACGCTCAAAGAATACCAGACTTATAAATCAGTAGAGAAACTGGTGACTGCGTTGAAATCGTGCCTGGATAACCCAAGAAAACTGGATCTTCTCGCAGATATTCGAAACCTTATTCCTTCGGCGCATCTGAGCAAGTTTGATAGTTTAGCTCCGTACAGCGAAATGGCTCATCCTTTCAAACCACCAAACCAAGTAGCTACGAACCGCAAGACTCAAAGTTTGCCTTACAATTACAAGAACAGCGAGCTCAGAGCACTTGCTCGGGGCTCTTCACCGACTAACGCTGGTTCTTTTAAAGTTATAACGTTAGCAAGAACTTCGCTAGACGAATCTCTTGGGTTTAAAATCAAAGGCGGTCGCGAAAACGATAGGGCAATTTTTATTTCCGAAGTGGATGAGAACTCCTCTGCGGCTAAACAAGGACTCAAAGAGGGCGATCGAGTAATTGAGGTTAATGGAATCGATTTTGAGAAAATTACCAAAAGTTCAGCGGAAAACTTGTTGGGATCCATGAATAAACTCAAAGTGGTTGCTAAGTCGTCGGCCTCCTTGCCCGAAATGGATGTGTCTAACTCTTGGTAAGTTATGACTGTCATGATAGGAAATCAAAACTTATAACATGCTGATTATTTGTCGCACCATTCGCTTTGCTAAATCCACTTGTGGCCTTAGTTATTAATGCCCAGCATTTTTATTAAACAATCGCTTTGGTTCGTTTGGTTGAAAAACAATCGCAAAAGGACTTCAGGAAGCGTGTCAGTGTTAAGTAATTTAAGGGCTCGTGACTCCCGTTCCGTGACTTCGACTTCTTCTTTCTCTGATAACACTAGCTTACATCTGAATCTCTGACTTTCAGATGTCAGAAGTTGGTTGAACATTTTGTTATCCAAACAACAAACAAGATGGTTGTTATATTAGTTTTAGGGCCAACATTGTTACCTTTACCATTTTCACATTGTGTTTACGCGCACTTGTGGTACTTCGTAAGTTGGAGATTGTTTCTTAGAGACTACTCACTTGAAACTTGCACTTTGTTCATATATAAATTTAACCATCTATCGACCACCTCTTAGAAGCTTTAAATTGGAGATGGAGTTGAGAATAACTAGCCAATTTACGTTGTCTGGTATTGGTTTTTATAACATTTTGAAACTAATTTATGGTTTGTTTGTGAGTGGTTACCGTGTATGTATTTCAAGTAACCTGCTGACCTCGGAATATTTCTCATCCCCGAAAAATTTTTATTTGCTTCTAATGGCATCACACTGGGATCCTACCGTTTATATTTAATAAATATTGTTTTTCGCAGGAAGGACACGGCCTCAGTTAGAAATATCGGTTTGATTTGTTACGGAACAGCGGGTTTTAAACTGAGTATTTTTTGGGGTTTAATATTGCGTGCATTGTTTCACCTGGTTGAACCTGTAAATTCACGCAGGGAAATGTAGATGTCAGTGGTTACAAAATAAAATTTTGAGGGAAAGTCCATACAATAAAAAAGTCCATTTTGCTTAAACTTAGTAGCTCCCTGCAGCAGGAAGAAAGGAACTTACACTAGATTTCATAACGTGATAAAAAAAGTTACTACTACTGTATGCATGGCTGGGAAATATACATCTCTGCAGGTGTAATTAAGCCAAAATTACAAAACAAAGTCTGTTATAATGATAAAACATCAACTAAAACAGCAAAAACTTTATTAGCAGTCAGACTGTCTTCAGAGTCCTCAATAATTATTGTTCCCTATTGGAGCAGATTTTTATCAGTTTGAAATAGTTTTGATGCCACCTGCTACAGATATTAAATCTCTTAGCATATACATCCTAATAACACAAAACCTCCCACTTTTAATAACATGTAGACTACAATAATATTGTACAGAAATATTGGGTTCGTTTTTCTGAAGGACGCTTTTGATAATCGATAATCAAGAGAAGGCCAAATGCACAGGTGGCTTCCCGACAATTAAGAGTGGAAGTTGTTTTTAATAATTATTGGCTTGACTTTCCATATGATCCATTTTATCTTCAGATGCCTGGGGAAATAGGTAGAAATGGTGGTATTATAACTAAAATTTCATTTTTTTAAAAAAATGTTTTTTTTAACACTAATTCTAAAAAGTAGTTTTTGGATGTGAAGATTATTATTAACAATGCCATTTTCATTCAAGATTCACCAAAAAAGGACTTTGATAATAAAAATTAATACATGGCTGCTTGGGAAATGCATAAATGTTTATTTTTATTTGTTAATTTTTTCTTTGCAACTGTTCCCTCACACTTCACAGTAGGGATATGATTCTATATGTTTGCAGTGGTTAATTCAGCTCATGATCCTTTGGGTCTTATTTATATATATATTTACTATAGCCAACATTCCTGTTCAAACTGGGTATCTCACCAAGGTCCTCCACACTTCATCTTAGTGCAGCAATGCTTTGTCTTTTGTTTATTCTATTCCTGACATACCATACAGTGTAGTTTTGTTCTGCATTGGGGGATCCTTCTTCAGTCTGTTATATTTTGGTAAAAAATTGACCTTTGTTTTGCAGGGGTCAAAGGAATGGACGAGTCGTCCAAAATGGAATGTCTGAAAATGACAGTCTTCAGGTACATTGTAGATATTCTTTCAGAGCCATTAAGTTGTTAAGAGATAAGACAAGGATAGGTTTTAACCCATGATATAAAAAGCAAAAAGGGTTTACATGGGAAAATAATCCTAAGTTGGACGAGATCAATTTTTCTGAGGAAATAACTATTAACTTGTGAAAAAGCTGAAGTTTCAGAGCGAGACATTCTCCCCATTTGGTTATCCCAGACCTTGCGTCTGTCATGCACAGGCTACCACCCTGTATATTAGATACACGGCTAGCTTTAAACATTCAGAGGGTTGTTAGTAATTTATAGTACCTTTTGGAAAGTTGGAAGACACTGAAGATTTTCCTGACATTTTTGGTCTACAGGCAAGCAGTGGTAGTGGGGGAAGTCTTACTCTACAGCATAATTCTCATCTGCTGAACAGCTCTGATCAGAGGAAAGTCAACCTTCAAGTACAGTCAACAGCAAATGGCTTTATTGGGTTTAACCTTCGAGGTGGAAGTGAATATGGTTTGGGTTTATACGTCTCTGGGTATGCACCTCTACAACAATAAGCTCTGACAAACTGAATCTTATAGGACCAACTAAATAGCTGACTTTCTGCTCGAAAAGATGTCCTCATTACAGAAAATTTTACATGTACATTGTTGCACTGAATTTATCGCAAAATTAACACTTTTGCTCCTCTGCCAAGTCCAGAGATTCCAACCCTCCTGATTTGATGTCTTGAGTCCCACTCTTTTTTTACCAACTTCTCCCAATTTATTATAAAATTCTGAAAACTAGGGAAAAATTGCTAATCTTTAGAATTTTTGGCGATCTGTCACTGTGAAACACTCATATTATACTTACTTTCTTCGCGAGCATTATGGTATGTTATAACTCAGGTCGGAATGATGTCAAAATTCAAGAAATGGCACCTGAGAGAACCTAAATTTGTAAAATTTCCCGGGGGGGCATGCCCCCGAACCCCCCTAAAAGTTCGTGCCTCTGGCGCTAATAATTACTCCCTATTTTCCATCACATGGGGTTGGAATCTCTGCAAGTCATTGTTAGATGATTTATCACTTTAACCTTTTAATCTGTGGACAGAATCCTATGGTTTCACCATTCAATGGCTACCTATTGGACAGAACTTTTGCAGGGTACTATGGTGGAACCTCTATTTAGGGGACAATCTTGGGAACAAGGCAAAAATGTCCCCTGAATATATAGGGTTGGCTGGGGTTTGTTAATCATTAACCAACAAATAAAATATATTTTTTTATTCTGCCTTGGAATCTGCTGCAGTACTCCGATTTAAGTGAGATGTGACTGTGCACACTTAAACCTTATCTACCCTCTATTTTGGTCAGTCACATTTTGAGTGGCAAGGTGTCCCTTGAATGGAGGTGTCCCTTATGAGACCAAGTTTTGTATCCCCTGATTGGATCTGTCCCTTGAATAGAGGTGTCACAAAGGAGAGGTTCCTGATGGGTCTAAAGTAGGTCACGTTCCACAGGTCAAGAGTTCAGGTCACTGCTCCATTGGTAAATTACCAAACCACACAGATTCTCCTTAATCTAACAGAGCATTTTGTTAAGAGATTAGGGCTAGGAGATGCTATTCATTTATCTGTATCATGGTGACCTGTACTCTGACCTGTGGAAAAGTGACCTGTATTTTAGACCTGCTGCCTTAATTTGTTATCCTTGGCATATTTAAATATCTTATTTACCAACTTGAATACATTACACACCTAAACCTTTCCTTTGGACTCTCTTACAGTCACCTAGTGGGTTATTACAAGAGTGTGCTACCTCTTACTCTAAGTGATATACTCTTTACACAGGGTGGATCCTGGTTCACTAGCAGAAGAAGCAGGCTTTAAAGTTGGTGACCAAATTATGGAAGTTAATGGGAAAAGCTTTGAAAACCTTAAGCACAATGAGGCTGTTGAATTTATCAAGTCACAAAAGCACATCATGGTCACACTTAAGGTAAAGTTGCCATTGTTGATATTGTAGATTGTACGCTGTCTACTAGGTGTTGTTTCAAGTCATGGCCATGTGCCCATTGCATTGTTTCTTTAGACAAAGGGATCACTCAGTCTGCTCACCTTGTTTTCTTTCCACCTAATTGGATACATTATGTTAGGTAGAACCTGCTGAGTCTAAAGGTACAGATCACATTCCACAGGTCAAGAATACAGGTCACCGCTCCATTGATAAATTACCAGACCACACAGGTTCCTCTCAATCTAAGAGGGCTAGGAGACACTTTTATTGCTTTTTATTTATCTGTATCATGGTGACCTGTACTCTAAACTGTGAAAAAGTGACCTGTATTTTAGACTCGCCGAAGTTCTGTTAATGAACGTACCAGTAATTTTAGACCATCAGGATTCAATTATATAGATATGCCAGAAGAAGTAAAAGTTTGTAGAGTTTACAGTCAATACATAAATGGGCACCAACCATTGCATTTAGTGTTTTAAATATTATAATATATTACACATCTTTTTGTAGGCTGTGGGAAAGCTTCCGGAGGCAAAACATTACCAATCCCAAATCAGTTGGGTTTATCCTGATGGGACTGTTGTAATAGGTACGTCATGACACAATGAAGAATATTAAATATAGTCAACCCTGAAGTCCTCTACAACAGCCATCTTTGGGACAGCTTGTAGTCATTAGAGAGATTACCTTTAGTAAAGGTGCAAGTCTGTATGCTGTTGTTGCCCTATATAATAATAAGCATATTGTTACTGGACCCTAAACGGACACTGTGCACACGTAGCTTACACACACAAATTTACTAGGACCCTGTAGTTTTTTGCTCAGTGCCCTTGCTGTTGAAAGACCTTGTTTTGTTATCAGTTGTGCTGTTTTTAACAAAAATGATTCTGATCACAAGTTTGCCATGCAGTCTAAGAATAACACACATGTGCTCATGAAAAGCAGGAAGGTTTGTAGCATAAGATTGTCATCATCAGCCTGGGTACTATTCAAAGGCACATAGACACTGAGAACACAAAACTGGGCTATTCTTAAAGAGATTCAAACCTAATGTTTGTACTATTTTATGGCGATAAACAGGTGGATAATTTGCAAGCCTCCCCGTTAGGGGTGTAACGATTCATATTCCTTGCGGTTCGATTCGATTTCGATTTGATTTCGATTCGATTATGTAAATGTTTTTTCATTCTTATAACATAACGCGTAATGTAAACAACATGCAACCCTAAACCCTCAATTTGAGAATAGTAGCAGGGACAGGAGGATTCACAGTCGCTTTGTTCGTTGCCATGTTTGAGAACCTGACAAAGAGCGTGTCGCACATAGTTTGCCTTATTTGGAAATTCTCAAGGGGTGGTTGACAGCATTTGGGGTGGTTGACAGCATTTTTACCAGGCAACACAAAATGGTGCGCGAAATGCTATCGTCTTTGCTCGTCAATCATAAATGCACAATTTAAAGTGTTCTGGATTCGGATTTTACAATATAATAACTCACTAAGGGCATTCTGGAAAAGGTGTGCAAAAATCGGACCAAAATCGAAACGTGGAAGCAAAGAATCGTGAATCGAACCGAACGGTCATAATTGCGATTAATCAAGAATTGGATTAATTGTTACACCACTACTCCCCGTACATGTCAGTGGTGATTTTCCTAGTTTATCTCCTTATGAGCCATTAATAAGTTTTAGAAGTAATGTATCATACATTGCATCTTACATTTTAAGTTACTCTTGATTTTACTCAGACATGTAAAGATTGTAAAAAGATCTGCTCTTGCATTTTGCAGAGAGTAAAGAGTCATACACAAGATCAATTTCGGCACCAGTCTCCCCAGTACCATCTCTAGAGCTTAGCCACTCAAGTACCCAGTTCCCAATTTTAGAACAGGAAACCCCAACAAGAGACACACCAAGTCCAAGGCCAGTGTTACGAGAGACTGGGGTACAGACCCCTGAACCGTCTCCTGAACCTCCGGTAGAAGTCAGAGAGGATGTGGTAATTGTGAAAGTTGAGCAGAGTGAAAATGCAGAACTGGAAAGAACACAGAGCGCTAAGAGTCTGGCTACCTCTTCCACCAGTAGTGGAGGTGAATTTGAGAAACAAAACTCAATTCGATCTGCCTATTCCTTTGAGAGTGTGAGCAGCAGCAGAGAAGAAATGGCCAAAAGAGCTTCAGTATCAAGCATGAGCAAGGAAGAGGCCATTTTAAGTGGTAGTGATGGAGAGCTTAATGATAAGAGAAAGGTCAAGAAGTCCAAATCTTTCTTGCAGAAGCATGGAGACAAAATTAAATCCAAGCTAAGCTTCAGGAAAAAGAGTAAACCAAAAGTGGAGGAGAGAAGTAAGTACTAGACAACAGTTTTCCGTTTGTGTGTGTTTTACTCATTTGACCTGGGAAAAGCCTGATATTAAAAAAAGTTTTGAATGAAATTCACACTTCAAATATAGTTTTGTTCAACTGAGTTCAACTCAATATGAATAGTGATCTCCTTCAGTAGGTCTTCTCAAATGGTCACACTTAGAAGCCTTTAGTGCTTTCATGAATATATTCAGAAGACTGAAAAAAAAAAACATTTTATTGGCAGTCGTAAAAACCACAGAATATGTTGATGTACATAGGCAGCCTTTCCAAGGTAGTATTCTATAGCAAATTCTTGCTTTCTGATTGGCTGAAAATACTAACCATTCATCAGTTCTTTGAAAGTAAATACAGAAAAGCTAAGTTGTCTGCCAGTAAAAAGACAGTCAAGGCTGTGTTCTAGCAGAACCCGGTGCCCCCTGACACCTACACTTTGCTCCTAGGTGACTAGAAATTAAAGTTTTTTCATAAAAATCATATGCTGGTCACCCTGGATTTTACAGATTCAAAGCAATTGTTCCCTTTTCAATTTTTCCTTGTATAGCCTCTGAACACAGACGTGTTTGTGGTTGTCGCTTTGGGTGGAGAGAAGCAACGACCAGAAATATGTTTTTGTTCTCAGGCTAAGCCTTGTATTGTTTTATGAAACCAGTTCGTAAGATTGTTTATAGGTTTGTTTGTATAGGTTGTTGCATCATCATTTGTCATCTCTGAGCTTGTGTGTCACTGATATTATTTTCATTTTTTTTACATCTGATCCATCTTTTTTAAAATTCCTATTAAAATTGCCTTTATAAGGCTTTGTTGTTGTAAAATACAACTTCCATAACATGAATTAATCATGATATACATTTGAATGTCCTTCCCCATAAATTTATCAAGCTAATAATAAAGGTATAACATTAGAATAAGTACCTGATGTTAAATGAGAAATAAGTATAAGAAATAAGCTGTACCAAATGAAAAAACCATTAATTAATTAATTAATTAATTAATTAAATATGTTAAACGTAGTTTTCAATAATGCTAACTGAAGAGAGATATGGGTTGAATTTTAAGCATTGTCCTGAAATGCACTTTTCTTACCATTTTAAAGATATAAGCTTAATTCTGACGTTTTTGGGGCCATTGCATGTTGTCCTATTAAAAATGAAAAGACAATATTTTTAAAAATACGTAGGTATCTTGATTTTTCCTTTAACAATCAGCTAATATACAAATGAAAATTATAAACCGGATTAAATTGATTTTCAGTTTACGACTTACTATAATGTAAAGACATAATGAGAGAATAACTGAAATGATTTAACCGTGGTTACTTCTTTAAAGCCATTTAAAGATCTAAAGTATAAATGTAATTAATATAATTATAACCATAACACTGTAATGTTAAATCCTGTTGTTGTGTTTGTTTGTTTGTCCGGTTGATGTCTGGTACTAGCATTTCGTGAGATGCAACTCCCTTTACATGCGAGCCCTATTTTTGAGAAGGGTTTTGGTACTCAATTAATGCTACTAGGTGGATCAACAAGACAGCAGATGTTACTTTACATTGAAGAAAAGGCAAAGAAGATTCTAGTGGTGGATGAATACAATGCTGTTATAAGACATATTAAGCAGGTAAAGAAACAGTACATTTGTACAACACCGTAAACTGCTGCTTATAAGCCTCCCCCCCCCCCCGCTCTCTCCACTTATAAGCTCCTTCCCTGTTATAAGCCCTTCGAACTGTACACAAAAAATACATACGATTAGAAGCAACCCCCCCCAGGTATAACCCCCTCCAAATCTATTGAAATGAACTTGATTTATTATGACATTTTGAAGCTTTAAAAAACGCCAGTAAATGCAAATCGTATTGTCTTCAGCACTACTTTTATAGCTGTAGTCCGGTTAAAAGCCCCTCCGTTTCTAATCCCTCCTAAAACCCCTTACGAATTTTATGTATAAGCCTGCCCAGGACTTATAAAGCGGCAGTTTACGGTATATCATAAGTTAAAGCTTAATCTAGCCTTTGACTAGGTCTGTTTACCCTCTTTCAAGGAACGTGACCTCAATTAAATTCATATATTTAAATTCTGCCAATTGGGACGAACTAATGACCTGGGGAAAATGAACAGAAATGAAGTTTTAAATCTTATGTTTAAGTTTCGTTGTAATACTTTTAAAAACTATTTCCTCTTGTGCTTCAGCCTAAAACTCTGTTCCATGATCTTTTTATTTTAGTACCAAGAAGATTCGGATGTAGAGTCCCTTGTGAATAAACTGCTGGCGATACTGGACAGACCCGAGAAAGCTCTCTTGTTGAGAGATATAAGGTGAGAAAACATGACGAAAAGCTGCTGCTGCTGCAGTTATTTTACAACTCATAACACCCTTAATTTATGAGTTTTCTTTCTATTTCATAGCTGTAACTAAGTAAAAATTATACTTACGTTGCTGATTGAGTAGTTTTATCGACGCGTTGTTTTTGTTGCGTTCAAGGTTTGGGGCGAGAAAATATGCTGTTCTCTGATTGGACGGTAGGAACCCGTGGTTTGGCAGTTTGGCGCGTTTTTTGAGCGGATTTTGTTTTGGTCATCTGCAGTCCCAATTTATATGTTCCACTTTTTGTTAATATTTTTTATGATATTTCGTTCAAAGGACGTTAGTATTGCCATATGATCTCGGAAGATTTGATGCCATGGTTTCCGCTCATGAAAAGGAGGCACTTGAATACCTCAGCGGTTGTGTACCCGGTGAGTGGTCGTCTAAGCAATAGGAATTCACCTAGGATTTCCCGCATTCTCTCCTCGACATTCATTTCGGAAATCCTTCCTTTTCGAGACAATTTTGGAAATCTTTGAAATATTCTGCGAATACAGCTGTCTCGCGGCGAGGAGCGAGCGGAGACGGCTGTATTCGCAGGCTGTCTTAAGGGTTGAGGATCGCTTTAGATCATTCTTAAATCTTTGGATAAATCCAGTCGTCCTGGAAAAAGAAAATTTGAATGTACCTTTGGTAGCCCCTTCGGTAGAAGGCACGCGTAAACGGAGAGGGGAGGGCTGGGGAGGGGAGAAACACTGCAGTATGTCTCTGTAGTGTAAGGGTTTTACCCTTTTTTGTCCGTTGAATAATGTGTTTAATGATGTGGGGAAGGATATTTAGCCGAAAGCAAAATGGGGACTGCCTAACAACAAGAGCCGCCCTCAGTGCATGCAGTATCAAACAAAAAGCTGGATGGAATTTGGAAGCTCAAAATCTTCTCATCTGAACATATTCCATGCGGTAAAGGTTTGACGCGTGTAGCGATATGTCTGTGATATTGATGTTTGCTTTTTTCTTAAGGTTCACCCACGATAATACCGACTGTGACGGAAAAACCCAAGCGGCAGCTTGTAGCAGCCATTCAAGGTACGATTAACAGTGCTATCAGTACGTATAACGAGCTGTAATAATTTATTAGGGAGGCGTTTTAAAGCGACGCACTTCAACCGAAAGTAAGGTCTTTTATCGTTTAATGTTCCTTGAGGATACCACATTTTTTCTTTTTGCCATGTTTCCTTACTCTTATACAGACAATTTGCCCGAAAATTTTGGCAGAAACGTGAAAAACGTTGCCCAAGAAGGAAAAAAGTCCACCTCCGGTTGAAGTACGTCGCTCAAAAACGCTGTTGCTTAAGCTTCTTTATAGTGGAGAAAACGAGCACTTCATGCAAAAAAACAAGGCTACTGTTATATTCGTACATTATAAACTTTGCCAAAGCAATTTAATGCCAGTGTTAAAATGTTATGTTTTACATGTATTAATTATGAAAGGTCTGTTAAGAGCTTTTGTCACCTCTTGGTCCTTTTCTGTAGTAAAATATTTATACTATTTTGATTGTGCTGAGAAGGAATCCCTGGTTTGTCCTCGATTCTCAGTTAATTGAAGGAGAGAAGTTCGCTCTCGCTAAAGTAATATAATACCTGAGCTAATTTGATCCTAAAAGAAACGTTCATGAGAAGGCTTGATTGACGAGAAGAACGTCTTCACCATCTACACTACATATTTGTGTCTATTTAATAATGTAAGTCTAGCTATAAGGTCTTAGGTGCTGTTTTAAAACCACCTGAAAAAAAATCAAGCTTTTGTGGGATGAATATCTTTTTAGAGCAGTTAAACCTAGATCTGAGTTGTTACATGAAAACGAGTTTAGGCAACAAGCTGGGCTGTTTGGTTAAATCCGCGACTTGTATAGATTATCCTAGATCGGCTTTACTCGGGTACAAAGCATAGAGTTCATATAGACATCGGTCGCTAAATTTTCATTATGCGAATTTATAACCTGGACAATTTAGGCACAATGCTTTCCAGGATGTCTTTGAATTGGAAACTTTGTGTAGTGAAATGATAGTACTGGTCGCAAAGGTACTGAAAAACGGGCCACAAAAAACATGCAACTTGTCTTGCAACATTGCTACAAAGCGAGTTGAATAGCGATGTTGCGCGTATTAACACCCACATACAACTGGTTGTTTACAGGTTTGAACGAGGGTGGTAAAACGCGCAACATCGCTTTCCAACTCGTTTTGCTGCAATGTTAGAAAGCAAGTTGCACGTTTAGGGTTTATGTTGCCCGTTTTACCGACAGAAACTTTTTAATAGTGATGGATATTTTGTTACAGACAGTAGAGGAAGTTTCCAATTAAAAACGAAAGAAGAAGTGGAGAAAATAAAGCAAGAAAAACAAGAGATGGATAAGAGGCGAGCACAAACAGCTTGGCTCGGAGGCAGCATTCTTGATCGCAGCACAAGGAGTAACACAGCACACAATCCAAACGCTATCATTACATTACCACCGAACTACACAATGGACGCAATTCCAGTCAGAGACATGTCTTCAGCTTCGACAAATAACTCGCCCGCATCGTTTGATGTTCCTGTTATCCAGGTCAACAATGACAGTTTATCCAGGACTCCTAAACATGACGAAAATGATAACGAGAAACCTCGACCTTCAAACTCGCTGTTGGTACCTGATCGGGTATCAGTGGAGTATAGGGACGATGATAAAGAGGAAGGACTTAACACGCCTATGTCGCCAACTGCTGGTCTATCGATTCCTGTTCCTTCGATCGCTGTTTCTAACCAGCAAGCTGGTATCACGATTCTTCTTTCGAAAAAAAGAACGAGTTTAGGTCAGTGATTCACCGTTGCTAGTTTAATGATAAATATATAATCTGGAACAAGCCGCTCTTTTAGTACCCTGGGTTCCAGAGGTTATTTTTTTCTTATCTAATTCGTGATAGTTCGGTGCGAAGCCGCGTCAACGAGAGAGAAAAAAATAACCTCGTCTCGGGAGCTTTTTCAAACCGTGAGCACGGTTTATTTCATTCCAGGTCTAGATCTAAATTGATAACCGTATCAATCTCCCATGCCGGATATCATATGATACAGGAGAAGTGGAGATTTCAAGAACGGACCTCTGGAGCCAGGGTATTCTTTTAGAAGAATTTCAAAGTTACGTCTGGTTATTCGAGGGTGTAAAAATCCGGAATACCCGGTCTGCATTTTTAGACTGGATTAGCCTTTCTATATTCTCGGATTTCGGATTTTTAAAAAAAAACGACTCCAGATTGAAATCCCTTTTCTCCGTTCCACGGCCCTAACCAGACAAAAATTCTCCCCGGAGCAATGTTGTTAACGGTGGTTTTTCGTAAGGCGCGGACACATGAAAGTTCAATTTTTTCCGACCTTATAGTCTGCGATGGAGCCGGACTTGTCACTAGAGACCTTGAAAGAGTACTCGATATTATATTCTATATCGGGGAATTCGGTTTATTATATAAACTGCAGTGTTTTACAAGGATTTCTACCACTGAGAAATGTGGTATCTGAACACACATAAAAATACGATATTTTTACATGTGAAGATATCGATAATTTCACTGACATCAGGTTTGTCTCTTAAATTGTACTTAAATTCGTTGGTGTATCATCGAAACATCTTCGGGTCTTCCTCGAAAGTGCTCGGCAATCTTCGGCAATCTTCGGACATCTTCGGAAATGTTCGGAAATTCTCGGAAAATGTTCGGGAACGTTCGTCTGGTCTTCGGGACAATTTGAAAAATCTTCGGAAATCTTCGTAACGTGGTCGGAAATCTTCGGAAAATCATCAAAAACGCCGTCATCAGTATGTTTATGTAATAAAAAGAATATTACACGTTAGCTAGAAGATATGGATTTTATGTTCTCGTGGCAAGAGCAATATCTCACTCGTTCGCTGCGCTCACTCGTGAGATATTGTTCTTGCCACTCGAACATAAAATTCATATCTTCTCGCCACCATGTAATATTCTCTATTTCTTTGTAATGGATATGGACAAAAAAGAAAAATAATTTTGGGATTGCCGTCTTGACCTAACGTATGGCAACATATCACTCGGTCTAACTGCCTCTGCTTTAGTGGGGCTCTAATCTTATTCGATCCTTTCCATTTTTGTTGTAAGTTTTTGGCTTCGCATTAAATTTTGGTTCCCAATTTACACTCTTAATCTAGTGTGGTTCGGGTGACAGGTCTAGTTGACAAAAGGTTTATATAATTGGTCTGGTACTCACTAGCTGTACGTCTTATTTATTCCACCGTAGGTATAAGTATTTCAGGCGGAAAAGGTTCGAAAACCCAACCCGAGGTTAGAGTTGAGAAAATATTCTCAGGTGGTGCTGCTGCTGATGACGGAAGACTCAAGGTAGATGATCCTTTTTAATAAGGTTTTGGTTTTATTAGCCAAAGGCAAGAATAACGAAGTAATGTTAACATAGTTATTGCGGACGACCATTAGAGCCCGCAATCCTAATCTCCAGGGTTCCGGTTGTTGAATTGCAGGATAGCACTATACACTGGATAAATCACCATCCAGAGTATAAGTATTGGGGGAACCAATTGCAGTATGCACTGGATAGAGATTTATCCAGCGGAGAGCGTTATCCACCTTTTGAACAACTTGTGTCAGGTTGCTATTTGGTGTGTACAGCATGTATGTAGCCAGCATAGGATTCCTTTAGACCTCCACTGAGAATGAACAGGATGCAATCTGATGACACGCGTTTGGACTTTTTATAACTCGTTGTCTTACCTAATCTTTCCCGTGAAACTTTCGAAAAGTTCATTGCGGGAGCAGGAGTGTTTGACCGCCCATACTCCCTAACGTTTAGTTATTACTAGTTACGTACTTTTTCTTGTGGCTTGCAGTAACATCAGTCACCTTTGTGTGCAGTTTTTCCTGATACTGGTAAAGGGTCCCCTCTTCCCCGCAAACTCGTTCCCAGAGTCCTATCTCTTCCTCCCTCAAGGAAGCACCCGAAAGACCCTGGCTGCGGCTGATCACGTGGCTCCCGATATACTTTCTCCAGGAAGAAAGAGAACCTGGGAACGAGGTTGATATTTTCCTGCACTTGGCATACCTCCCGTGACCCTCGGAATCTTTCCCGCGCTTGACAGATTTTCCACCGGTTTCCTTTTTTCCCGCGCTTTGTGTGTGAGCTTGTCAAATGCATGTTTTTTCAGCTAATTCAGTACTTTCTTGTGCTTAATTACACCAATTAATCCCACGCTTCCTTGCCTCTTTAGTGATTTTTACTCGTTATTTTTGTTGTTCCCAGAATTTAACGGAAACGTCTATCTCTATAAGCAAATTTCCGGCCAGTAAACCAGCGGGTATCTGAGAAGTTTTCTTTCTCACTTTGAGTTTTCTTCAAATTGCTTGCTTTCAGAGTGGTGACGAGATTTTGTCTGTTGACGGTGAAAGTCTTCAAGATGTCACGCATGCAGAAGCAGTTGACATCATCAGGAGGTCTTACAACAACAAGTCCAAAGACGTCATGGAAATCGTAGTGATACCAAGGCAATAACGGGGTCGTATACAGTAGTTATGCAATAGAGCGGTTTTCACTTGACTGTCGTAAAACCAAAACCAATCCCTATCGACAGTCAAGTGAAAACCGCTCTATTCTAAACCGATCTAAGACCAAACGCGTCTTGCTATGTTTGTTAGAGCGGTTTTCACTTGACTGTCGAAAGTAATTGAGGAATTGGTTTGGTTTTGGTTTTACTACGCCCCTTGGTTGGCTAGTGTATTTACTTTGGTTTTGGTTTTACGACAGTCAAGTGAAAACCGCTCTAACAGAGCTTTGTCACGTTATTGTGAGGTATTAGTTTGCAAGGGACCAACGAACTTGAGATCGCAGGAAACCTCGAAATATTGGTTTGGAAAAATAAAAAATCTTAGCGAGGTAATATTAATTTATGAATGATTAAGGATGGTTTAGGTTCATGGAGATAAATGTGGATCGCAAACGACAAACTCTTAAAATTTAGACTATTCTTAACCGAAACGCCATTGTTATCCGTGTTGGCAATTACAAGTTCACAGAAATAATTTGCCATTACGGGGTTAGAAACTTGTCCTCCATGTTAAGTTGAGGCCTTATTTGTCGATCCAATATTCAGTTTATATCTGTAGTCTTTAAGATCGTATATCTCTGCGCAGGTCGCGTTTTAAGTAAAATAGCTAGGCATCCATGCTGCGTTTTTGGAAATTGCTATTTCGTAGTAGACAGTAGTTGCTCCCATACGTGTAGATAATTTCACGTCCACGTTAACGCACAACAATATATTAGACGTACCTTTGTTTTGAGACGGAAATATGGCGAAAATTTTCTCGATTTGACCTCTACTGATTTGTCTAGTTTGAGGTTCATTTTATTCGATTGGCTGCATTCGAGTTTTCATTTTCTCTTTTATGCTGATTTTTAACTTCAAAAAAAGTCATGTCACTGAACATCAATTTTTTTACAGGTTTGCAAACCTCAAGTTAAATAGCTACATATGATACGTATTGGTATCGACTTCGAGTTCAATTTGGAATTTATTTGCACGAGTGTGCTTTTCACAAAGTATCAACATTTGGGTAAATACAATTTGAGGTTTTTTAAAAACACACGAGTGCAAATAAATTCCGCATTGAACGAGAAAATTCACTTATGATTACACTTTAATAATATACAAAAGTTTACTGGACCACAATTCGTCCCCAAAAACATTCCCAAAGTTCAATTCGACACAACCTACCCAGTGTCACCCGCGACCTCACAGTGGCCAATAAAGATTTCGGCACCTGATTGGTTTTCATGTATTTCAATTGTTAATTAGCCAATGATATTGCTCCATTACCTAGGATATGTGCATTTTATTTCCTTGTTTTTGCACTGTTTACTAAAACTGCATTGCTCTCAGATTCAAGAAATTTTTATGTTTATTATTAATGTATATTATTGATTGGACGGAGGCTCTCTCTTTTTAATATGAAATAAGCAATGAAATAAGCACGGAGATCGCCTCAGTCTTGCTACCCATACAGTATTCAGATGTACGCATGATTTCAGTGGCCTTCTAAACTGGACGGAAATAAAGAGGACAAAGTCACTTTCACTGAATTTATAAATATTAAATTGTAAAGAATAGATAGTTACCTATTTTAAACCGTGTGATATATAGTGCTCTGTATTTGATTTATTTAAATGCCAGCACTTTTTGTATTCTTCTTCGCGCATCTTTACTTGGTGTTGCAAATGCTTTTATCACCAGCAAGACACACTTTAAGTACGCTGCACTAAACGGTGGTATTTACGGTACTGTGTTGGGCTTGGACATTTACGGACAGTCTCACTGTAATAAGCATTTTATCTCTCGAAGAATGAACACAACTGGTTCATACCTCTAAACTGCGCGAGTCTCTTCTAGATCAGACCTAGATTTAAAGCGTCCCTTGTTGCGCAGATAATCACAGTGTTTTTACATAGCCTGCTACTAAAATGGAAAGTTAGATTCATTGTTTCAAGTCTCGAATGAATAGTTTCATAACGTTTACATAATAGGGGAAGTGACCCGCCAAAGGTGGGGGGTGCTGGGGGTCCCTCTTCTGCCAGAATTGGTAAGAGAGGATTACCTCACCTACCTGGGGTCCACCACCTCCTTGTAAACAGGTCCTGAGTACTAGGGCAGACAATTAATCTTAGACCATTGTAGATGTGTTAATAGCATTGTAATTACTTTGAGTCGCCTTTCTAGTATACACGAAGGGTCTTCCTCGTGTCTGTTACCCTGGCACAGTAATTTATCGTCTTGCCCCTAAACACCAGCTAAATATCTAGGATCTCAGTAACACAATATTTTTATAAATTTAACTGTGTATAGGAATTTTCAACAACATGATGTACATTTTAAAAGCAATTTACAATAATTTGCAATAAAAACCATATTTACTATAATGGAGATCTTCGTACTGAGTTTATGAAGTTTGACTAACATTGTGTGTCAAATAATTGCATACGATTCATTACATCGTCTGGAATAATTACTGGTTCTTTATTCGTGCGGCTCTTTACAGCTTTTCTACTGGGAAACTCTTGAGGTTGACTTGTGGGAAGTCTAGGTGTTCACCCTGTATGCAAGCTCGGTACTAAAATCTCAGTACTATGCTCAAAAGCCGCTCACCATTATGCTGCATTATGCTAACATAAAGAGCGTTCAGACCTCTTTAAGCCTGTAAAAGGGCCTGGCTGGCTTTTTTTTAATGAAATACTTCTAAAAACACTATTCACTAGATCGGTTTTCCCAACTGCTATTTCCCGACATAAAACCTTAATCTCCTGTCCTGTACCCGTCGACATAATTCGTAAAACCTTTGACGCGAGACGAGAAAAAACGAAAAAAAAAACAGCACACACACACGCAGGTTACACAGGCCGATACGCAGTTTGTTCTCATCAAGTAAAGAAAGCCTCATTGAGAGTATGAGAATGTTTAATGTTGGGTATACGGAAAATACGTGAGGATACACCAAGTCTTGTACACCTGAATGTGGATTCTGTAAACTGTACTCATGTACATGTATGCTGTTCATTTGCGAGTCATTATGCATTGGCCTCCTTGCACTTCAGCAAACGTGTCTGTTCTGACCATGCACCTTCATCCCCTAGAGCCGTTATATTTGTTATTTTTTGCAGTTTCTTAAGTAATTGAAGGCTTCTTGCGGTCTTTCGACTGGTGAAACATTGTGTTGTTTAAGGGCAATTTTAGTCCATTGGTGCCTTAGTTCCAGAGGTTTTTTTTAAAATTGCGGGTGCTTCGCAACAATTACCCTGGCACCAGGGAATTAAAAAAGGCACCTGTCCTCTCTTCAAAAGAGGAAATGAAACTCCTGAAATCAGGTTATGAAAATCGGCAACCTCATCTGACTCCCTGGTCGTTTACGTCTTTGGTGAACATGTCTTGCTGTTGATACCTAGGCGTAGCTCAGTCACAGTCAATTCGAACTTCGACAGTCCATAATTCCATTGATCCTTTTCCTAGTCCTTTCTATCTTATAAAACCTCCTTTCTTCCCCATCTATGCAGGATGCTTGACCCTATTTAACCTGTCAATGTGTTTTCATAATTTTCTCCGAGTTAAAGGAGTTAAATGGACTGTGTCATAATGGCAGTCCAGTCCATTTTCTTTACCATTGCCTCACGCACTATCCTGCAAACCCACAGCTTCGTGATAAACAAATTTGTCTTCCAAGAATTATATTTGAATTACAAGAAAGAGAGATGAATTTTTAAAAAGTTTTCAGGCTAACAACTTTTCAAAATTTAATTGATGGTGATCAGTTGAAGCGCTTTGATGTGGATCAGAATGAGATCATGGACTCTCATAAGTTGGCTCATCATTTTGGCAGAACTGTTACTCAGTTTTATCTGTTTTTCGGCATTGTATAGGACAAAATATGAAATTTATGTCTGTGAAAATTATTTGACCTCTAGCCTGTGAACAGCTATTTTTTTCCCCAAACAGAGAGCCTGTTCACAGGCTATTTGACCTCGAACGACCTTGAACGCCTTGGCACGCCTCGGCTACGCCCATTATTACCGGGCAAGACTGGTACCAAGTAAGTGTTAACAAAGCAAGATGGCGGAGAGTTCAGGTGATGAAGATTGTACTGAAACAGATTTTGTCTTTTATCGCGATCGAGAAGAATGGAAGGATGTCACTCCTGTTGAGCAAGATGATGGGCCTTATCCAGTAGTTAGAATTGCCTACTCTGAGAAATGTAAGTATCGGTAATTTTCACGTTGTTGTGCGTGGCTTTAGTCTATGCAACCCAAATTCAAATTAAACGACGGTTTTGTGTCGCGGTTACAATTTAAAAAATTCTGATCAAAATCTTTTTCTCCCCACGGCAAATACTGGAGCTTATAAAAGAAGCTTCGCTTTTAGAGGAGTTCTTTCATGTAGCGCCCTGAAACTAGAGCCGAAGCAAGAGAATTCTTAAGCTGCTTTAAGTTTCACTCTGTGGGGTAGTACTTGGTGTAAGACTGCCCAAAATGTCCCGGGCCACCGCCCACCGCTGTCAGTGCTGTAGTGGCTGTACCCTAGTAGACGCAATGACACCTGTAGTGGCTGTAGTAGCTGTAGTACCTGTAGTACCTGTAGTAGCTGTAGTAGCCGTAGTACCTGTAGTAGCTGTAGTAGGTGTAGTACGTGTAGTAGCTGTAGTAGCTGTAGTACCTGTAGTACCTGTAGTACCTGTAGTAGCTGTAGTAGCTGTAGTAGCCGTAGTACCTGTAGTACCTGTAGTAGCTGTAGTAGCCGTAGTAGCTGTATTAGCTGTAGTACCTGTAGTACCTGTAGTAGGTGTAGTACCTGTAGTACCTGTAGTAGCCGTAGTAGCTGTAGTAGCTGTAGTAGGTGTAGTACCTGTAGTAGCCGTAGTAGCTGTAGTAGCTGTAGTAGCCGTAGCACCTGTAGTAGGTGTAGTAGGTGTAGTAGCTGTAGTAACTGTAGTAGCTGTAGTAGCCGTAGTAGCCGTAGTACCTGTAGTAGCTGTAGTAGCTGTAGTAGCCGTAGCACCTGTAGTACCTGTAGTAGGTGTAGTAGCTGTAGTAAGTGTAGTAGCTGTAGTAGCCGTAGTAGCTGTAGTAGCCGTAGTAGCTGTAGTAGCTGTAGTACCTGTAGTAGCTGTAGTAGCTGTAGTAGCTGTAGTACCTGTAGTAGGTGTAGTAGCTGCAGTAGCTGTAGTAGCTGTAGTAGCTGTAGTACCTGTAGTACCTGTAGTAGCTGTAGTACCTGTAGTAGGTGTAGTACCTGTAGTAGCTGTAGTAGCTGTAGTAGCCGTATGTAGTAGCGGTAGTAGCTGTAGTACCTGTAGTACCCGTAGTAGCTGTAGTACCCGTAGTAGGTGTAGCCCTGTAGTAGCTGTAGTAGCTGTAGTAGCCGTGGTAGCGGTAGTAGCTGTGGTACCTGTAGTGCCTGTGGTACCTGTAGTAGCTGCTGTACCTGTAGTAGCTGTAGCAGCTGTAGTACCTGTAGTAGCCGTGGTGGCTGTAGTAGCTGTAGTACCTGTGGTACCTGTAGTGGCCGTAGTAGCTGTGGTGCCTGTAGTAGCTGTAGTGCCTGTAGTAGGTGTAGTACCCGTAGTAGCTGTAGTAGCTGTAGTAGCCGTGGTAGCGGTAGTAGCTGTAGTACCTGTAGTACCTGTAGTGCCTGTAGTAGCTGCTGTACCTGTAGTAGCTGTAGCAGCTGTAGTACCTGTAGTGGCCGTGGTGGCTGTGGTGGCTGTAGTACCTGTAGTACCTGTGAGTGGCCGTGGTGGCTGTAGTAGCTGTAGTAGCTGTAGTAGCTGTAGTAACTGTAGTAGCTGTAGTAGCTGTAGTACCTGTAGTACCTGTAGTAGGTGTAGTACCTGTAGTAGCTGTAGTATCTGTAGTACCTGTAGTAGCTGTAGTAGCTGTAGTACCTGTAGTAGCCGTAGTACCTGTAGTACCTGTAGTACCTGTAGTAGTACCTGTAGTAGCTGTAGTAGCCGTAGTAGCTGTAGTAGCTGTAGTACCTGTAGTACCTGTAGTAGCTGTAGTAGCTGTAGTAGCTGTAGTACCTGTAGGTCAAGAATGGGCAATCATGGAATTACCTATAATATTATTTACATGAACCATCAGCAGGAAATTATTTAATAACTTCAGGCATGGGAAGTGGCAGGCAAGAAGTAAAGTAAGGGGGAGAAGAAAAACCCAACTACTCCCTCATTTAATGTAACCATGATTATATTATGTTATTCAATATTTTCAGTTAAAGACGTGTTTGACTACTTCAGGGCTGTTCTGCTAGCAGATGAAAGAAGTGATCGTGCTCTTGAACTGACTGAAGATGCTATAAGTCTTAATGCTGCCAATTATACTGTGTGGTTAGTGCCTTTTAAAATGGTTATTTTTGTTCTGGCATATCAGGTCTCAATAATCAGCAGGCCTCTTCCCCTCCTTCTTCCAGTAGTAATCTGCAAATGTTTGACAGAATGGTAGTTTGATATCCATCAATTCCAAGACACTTCTTGTTAAGGTTTCACAGAGCATCAAATCAGGGTTTGCACACGCCTTGAAAGTCCATGAATTTTAAAATAAAAATTCAAGGCCTTGAAAGTCTTTGAATTTCAATGCTAACGTTATAGTTTAAGTAGAACTCCAAACGAAAAGGAGTAGTAAACACAGAAAAACCTTCGGGAGAAAATTAGTCATGGTGTGGAAGAACTAAAAAAGGCATAGACTCAAGGCTCTTATTTGTACTGAACAGAGTCCTTGAAAAATGGGAAATATGTCCTTGAAAGTCCTTGAAAAGTCCTTGAACGTTTTGTTCTAAAAGGGTACGAACCCTGTCAAATACAAACAAAGATTAGCAAAATACCCAGATGAAAAGAAGAATCTAAAGCTTGATATTGTAAACGGTTTTATTGGGTTTGACTGTAAGGGTAGGCATTTGGTTTTGGTGCCAGGATGGTTCCTTCTTTTTACCACTATTGGTAGTGATTTCATTTTGATTTCTGGCAAACAAAGGTAATATTGTTTTGAGGAAAAGAGAGAAGAGTGGAGGGGAGGGGAGGTTTGTAGCTCCTCACTTTCAAAGACTGTTGTGCCATCCCTATGTCTGGACCACTGAGTCTCGCTAGCAGACTGATGATATTTGAATGCTGTGACTGGTAGCAGCAAGGGGTATCACTATTTTTTTGACAGAAGCAGGTTACGTAAGGTTGAGCAGGCAAGGAAAGCTGAACCATTTGGCTTTTCCATTTTGTTTGAAGATGGCTACTGTGATCAGATTATACTGCTGCCATTTCCTGGGTTCCTGCTTACTCCTGGACAGGAGTAGCATCTAACTTAAAATTTTCCCTTTCATTTTGATATTATGGAGTGGGGGCCATGGTTACTTCAATATTCTGTATACTGTAAAGCTGTTAAACACTTTTGCCCAGTTAGTTCCAAGAGGCCCTGGAACACTTAGACACCCTAATAATAATAATAATGATAATAATAATAATAATAAGTAAGTTGAGTATGATTGTCCGGGTGAACGTAGTCTTGAATAGGACTGTTGTTGACAGTGACTGATGTTTCGACAACCTGTTTGGTAATCATCTTCAGATGAGTCCAATTGAGTTGTATGATGTCAGTTGATGGTTTTAAACTCTGGTTGTTGACCTGATTGGTCAAGTAAGTCGTGATGTTATTGGTCGTCTGTCAGTTAAGCCCCGATCTTATTGGCTGTGAAGACTCGAAAAGTCATTGGTGTGTTTTGATCCTTCTATTGTCAGAGTTAAACAGTTGTTTATTGTTAGTCAAATTGTTGGTTGTCCAGTCATTCGATTATTGCACAGCTTGTTGAAATGTCAGTCACTGTCAACAATAGTCCTATTAAGGACAATGTTCTCCTGGATGATCATACTCAACTTACTTATGAAATGACTCCTGGGTTCAAACCTTTCACATTAATAATAATAATACAGTAATAATAATAATAATAATAATAATAATAATAATAATAATAATAATACACCTTGTCCTGGAAATTATTGTGTCAACTGTGACTACCTTAGTTTAGATCAAAAGTTGGAAAATAATGGCACTGTTTCTTGGGCAGCACAAACCTGAATAGATATTTTAAACGGAGGGATGATGCCAAATGGAGAGATTTATCAATGTGTTTTTTCACTTGTTGAAGGCATTTTCGTCGTGTTTTGCTGAAGTCTTTGAATAAGGATTTAAACAGCGAGTTGGAATTTGTAGGACAAGTCATTAAAGAGCAACCAAAGAACTACCAAGTGTGGTGAGTTGTATTCTTAAGTTTCTGAAAGTGGAACTTACTACACCCCTGGGTTTCACTTATGCCAACTAGGACCTGCAGATTTTAATTCCTTAACCCAGGGCTAACTGTCACTAATGGCTGGCAGCTGGGGAAAATTCCATCTTTTATAGGAAAAAAAAGGGAAAAAAGAACCAAAGAACTTCTTAGCCTTTCATTCCTCAACTACTAGATGTATATACTTGGTACCTTGAAATTTTAGTGACAGCTCTGCCCCAACCACTTTAGGGCTGCCATTGGTTTAATTTTTATCATGTCTCAGTCTGTGATCATCAGAATTTTGCCATCAATCTCTTAACCAGTAACTAGACCTCTACTAGCACTCATAATGACCATTAGCCAAGTGAACCAGGGCCACCCTTTTTTCTGTGAAAATTATTTTGTATAAATTTTAATGAATTCTCAAAAAAAAGGTATATATACAGCTGCCACGAGTCCTGCCCCCCTCCCTTTTCTGAACTTTCTGGATCTGCCCCTGTTGTTTGTAAATTAATAAACTGGAGTCCAGCTCTCCATTACATAGTGAGCATCTCTCAAAACAGCCTCTAAGTGCTGTCCTGACAGCCATTGTGTCAACAATCTTGGACAAAAATGTTAAGAAAAATGGACTTACTGTCATGTCTAGTTTCAAGATAAAGCTCTTAAAAGCACGAACAACTACAAGTTCTCTCCCCTTCCCCCCAAAAGGCAATCTTGAAGTCCAGCTGGATCATTTCTGTTCCCGACTTGACACGATTGACCATTGGTTGGGCAAGGGGAGGGAAGGGGCCATGGTGCTATCAAATCTGTGGGATAGGCATTTTGTGGTTAAGAAAGTGAAAAATTCTTAACACTTTTTGTCTTATTTTTATGATCAAAAGATCAGCCTTACAACTTCTTGTTTTTCTTTTACAGGTATCACAGAAAAGTCATAGTTGAATGGCTCAAGGACCCACGTGATGAGCTACAGTTCACAGAAGACATTCTACAACTGGATGCAAAGAACTATCATGCATGGCAACATCGACAGTGGGTCATCAAAGAGTTTGGTTTGTGGGAGAGAGAACTGGATTATGTAGATAAACTTTTGACAGAGGATCTTAGAAACAACTCAGCTTGGAATCAGAGATATTTTGTAATTAGTCAAACCACTGGTTTTACCGAAGACGTTGTGGATCGAGAAGTCAAGTAAGGAAGATAAATATTTTTCACACTGTGATTTACATGTAGTTGTTGAGGAATTTTTGGAGATTTTTCTAATTCAGCATACTCGCTGTTTTGTTTTCTTTTAGATTAACAATGGATCTAATAAAGAGAGTACCAAATAATGAAAGTGCCTGGAATTTCCTTAAAGGGTATTTTACATTCTACTTTTTCCATGTAAATTTATGGTATACTTTAAGAAAAACTGAAGCTTTCCTTGTTAATAGATGTGCTAACTCACAGCACTTGCAGCTTTTGCTCTTTAAAATTCTTGCAATTATTGATATGAACAGCATTGGAAGTTGAGAATTCAGAAATATCAAAATACTCTTGCCCAAAGCATGGGATACACAAAAAGCTTGAGACCACTAGAGAATACCTGTACGTCAGTAATAATTTTTGAAAACACAATGACCCTTTTAAGTTTGTGGAACATGTTTCAATGTTTCAAACATCATCTTCAGCCATACAAGGTATAATACTAATAGTGTACAAGTAAAAAGGTATATACAACTACCTTGTACCTTGTATGGCCGAAGATGATGTTTGAAACATCGAAGCATGTTCCACAAACTTTAAAGTGTCGTTGTGTTTTTAAAAAATTATTGCTGCATTTGTGTTATCAATGTCTGTCAGTTCTTTAGCTAGAACCTTCACTGGGTTTGTGAAATAATAATATGTGACATGTAGGCCACATTCTGGCAGGATTATAAAATTATGTCAAAGAGTCATATATGATAAGAAATGAAGAATGGTAACTTTGGAACTGCAGGTCTTCTGGATAAATAATCTGGCCTTTCCTTCAAGACTTTTCAGCTATTACTATAGTTTTTAACCTTATACCTGAGTGCATGGTTCACAGAGTATTTTGATTTTGCAGTGTCCTCTCCAAGACTGGACTTAGTAAATATCCAGGCTTAAAAAGTACACTATTAGAAATGTTCAGTGGTGGAATTGATTCCCCATACTTGATGTCATCACTAATCAACATCTATGAAGAGGAGCTTAAGAGTGGAGTTGCTGATTCAAATTGCTTGGATCAAGCTTTAGAGGTAGGCTGGTACTTGCAGTATATCCACATTATCTTATCTTGAATGATCAAGACTGGATTAAAAAATGTGGACTCCCTTAGAGAGAGAGGTGTAGGGGTGGGGGAGTGGTAGAAATGGAGAAACCCTTGTAAGAAGGTCAGAGAACTATGTGCAGTGATTTTGTGACCCCTGTTCCTTTGATGCCCAAAGATAGAGATAAAAAATAATTCACATTTGGGAAAAAAGAAATGAGGAGTTTATGAGAATAAAAATCTGCAGTAAACTAAAACCTAACTCAAGTCAAGTGAGCAATATTTTCTGCCTATATAACAGGTCCAGAATTTTTTTTCCTGGATGAAAAACATGAAGTATTACAATGCAAATACTCCCATACTACAATGATTTTTTTCCTCGTCTTTTTCTTGATAATATTAGCCTGTAAAAACAGACATATATTATTTCTGGTCATCGCTTCTCTCTTTAGAGAAGTGACGACCGGAAATACATCTGTGTTCTCAGGCTAGATAACAATAAAAAAAGTAAAAAAATAACACCCAAAAAATTTTGCAAGCTTTGTTGGCATTATGGCAAAAAACTGTGAAGTTTGGAATAGTGCTGAACGTTTACTGGCATGAACAGAATAATGAGAAATATACTGACACAATAATTGACTGCAGTGCCTTGATTGAAAAATTATAGCTTTCTTTTCCAGATGATTATTTAATTTGCTGCTGTTTATTTTTTGTTTCAGCTGTGTCACAAACTTGCCACAGATGTTGATTACATCAGAAGAGAGTACTGGAATTACATTTCTCGTACACTGAAGAGTAAATTTGGTCCAACTCAATAACATCAGCAATTATAAATATTTTTTTTCAATATACGTTTTATTTCTAAAAAATGATATTAAGTTTTTCATTTCCTTTTTCACTCTATCATCTTGCATATAAACAATATAAATAATAATTCCCCCCTCTGTTTTGAATAAATTTTATTTTTCTTGTGAGCTGGAAGATTCATTGCAACGTATAACAGCCACGTGTATAAAAAGTGTTCAAGTGCTAGAGACTGTTATGCTTAAGGTTGCATGCAAATTACTGTAATATTTGAACATAGCTGCACAAAGAGAGAGAGAGTGTGTGTGTACATGATGTTATCCATGTATAGGGAGTGTTTTGATGTCCAAACATCAAAACCCAGGGTAAATTCAAAATTATTTAATCTAGCCATCTACCCTGCTGACTATCTTACAGCTGTGTGTATGTAGAATTTGCTTGTATCGACCCTTGTCAAATGTTAACTTGAACTGCCGACAGATTCTTTAGTTAGATCCACTTCATTTTTCCCTAGTTCAGTGTGCAAAGTGATAAACGTTGTCTGGAACGTTTAGGAGAAGAAACAGTGTTTTTGAACTGCCAACAACAGTCCATTTAACTTTGTAATGAAAGTTGTCAGAAATTCAATGATTTGTACTTTAACCAATGGAAATGCTATGTGCACACAGCCTGCACAAGGTTAGTTATGCTTGAGGATAAGTTCTACTGCCTCTGCCAGATCATTCACATATCCATCTGGTGTTACAGTTGGGTGATGTTCATCTTGTGGCCTAAAGAGTAGAAGATCAGAAAAAATTATATAGATATTGAACTCTAGTCTCAGACCCAGTTCATTGCTCAGTCATGTTCTATGGAGTTGAATTTAAAAGTCAAATTGTGTGTTTTTCAACTCATATGAAAGGCACTAATGGTACTTTGGACAACCCTCACATTGTTTGAAAAAATTGTTTGATATAAATTCTCATTGTTATTTATGTTACCATAAATACAAATTTCAACTTTTTGTTTGGCTTGAAACAACTTGCCTTTCTAGTCTAGTCAGAGTTGGCTTTCTTTCAAACAGCAAAGTAAACTGCAGGAAGCAAAGGTGTGTGAGCTTCACTGGGAAACACCACAAAAAAAGCTAATATATCATGAAAGGAATACTGCAGGGAACTATCGTTTCCTACAGTATGTGTAACCAGGATTATAGTATGATCAATTCCAGTATTTTACTAAAGACCATATTCCTCGTTCATCGAATGTGGGCTTAACTCCATTCATAAATAAAAGCTTTCTGGAAATTGCTAGGTCTTTTGTTACTTCCCAATTTTTATAAACAGCAGCTGAGAATAAAAAACAATGATGTTACCTGAATTTTCCAGTCCTGACTTGAACTCCACGGATTCCACATGCCTGAGCCCCACCAACATCTGACACGATGTCGTCACCAATCATTACTGCCTAAGGGGAAAAAAAAAACAGGAAAATAGGAAGTTTAAATGTTTTGGATAAAAATAGACTGCAAAACAATTCATATTTTTGCATAGTCATGTATGTGTGAACAGTCAGAAAAAATCACCAGTACATGCAAACAGTTGAACAAAAGGTCTGGAGCAACTCTGAAAGAGGAAAGTGAGACTCTGACACTATGCTGGAGCTTCACTCCTTGAAAAGCGATTTTGAGAAAAAAAACCAACTGTCATGCAGTCTAGAATGAAAAAATCAAAGAAAATAGTAGAGGTTTTCTAATAGATAGGGCTGTCATGGATTAAACCATAGTTATTAAAGTTGAATGGTTATGAAACCCATTAGACTTCTTTGTTAACTTGGTGTTAGCCTCTCTGGACCTGACCTTGAATCAATGGAATTCCTATTGTTTTGAACTTGTTGACCAAAAGAAACATTGCATTAATTCATTCAGTCACAAATTGTAAACAAAAAACAAAGGATTGTGCACAGTTAGAGAGCTTCCAACGTAAACCACAACACCACCGTTTTCAACTTTGCCAGCTTTCATAACCAGTCTCATCTACTACTATGATTAAACTGAAAACTGAGTAAAATGTTAAATCCAGCTTGAGCATTGAATATCAAAATGATACTCACATCTTCAAGAGGGATCTGCATGTCCTCTATTGCAGCAAGAAAAAACTTTGCTGATGGTTTGCCAACAATCTCAGCTTTCACATCACAGGCAAACTATGGAGAAACAGAAAAGCTGTTAATTAAACAATAAAGTGATCAATCCCACAGGAATGATGACATAAAACAGCAATGACTGCAAAGAAATGCTTACTTCTAAAGCTTTTGTGTAGGGACCCACATCCAGTATTAGATTAGAGCCTTTTTTGTAATAACGCCTAGGGAAGAAAGGTCAAAGGGTAACCATTTGTATTCTCTGGTTGTCTTGACAAGGCATGTAAGTGATGCTTACTGAGAAGGAGATGAGATTTAGAGATAAATTGTGGTTATTCATTGGGGAAGATACATTAATAAATATAGAGTTATCATGTCTCACAGTTTGGTCACTTTGCATAGATCCTGCAGGGTAACAGAATTAGGCTAGAGCTTAAGACTTCACCCTTGCTGCTATAAATTAACAGGGATAGTGGAATTGATATTCCTGATGCATGGATGCCCATGTCTACATGTATTATCTTTTATACATGTTGTGGTTAAATTTTATCCTTGGTTTAAATTTTTTCCTTTGTTTCAAAACATTATCATTACCATATCCAAAAACAAAGAAATTTGTAAAAAATTAATAAAATTTAAACCAAGGATAAAATTTAACAACAACATAAACACATTCAAGAACTTTTGAAAAAATTTAACAACTTCATGTTCTTTTACCCCCATGCATTCTTTTTCCACCCCTCCAAACCCCACATCAGGAGGATGGACTTCTTCTGGAATAAAGGAGTGAAAGTAATGAATGTGAGCTTGTATAGTGTGTCCGTTACACTTGTGCTAGCCTGCAGTGAAGGCTTACTTTGGGGTGAGAGTCAGGGTCTGGTGTGTGCAGTCCCAATCCTTGAATTTGAAATTAGAGGGAGATTGTAGAGGGTAGAAATAGTATGTACTGTCTTGATCCCCTACAACACTTCCAGATCAAAACTACACTGAAAAAGTATTTAGACAACCTTACCCATATCCTGTTGCCAAAAGGATAGGATTACTTGAATTCAAAAGCACTCTGAAGGCCTTATTCATATTATCATAAGTTAAAAGTTCCTCAGCTGCACCAATCACAACACAGTTAGGATCATGACAATCCAAACCTTCAAACTCTGGAATTCCCCCAGGATGGATCAAAAGGAATGGGCGGAGATTGCGTTCTTCAAGAATCTTTCTTGCATTAGGAGCTGGTGCAAAAACTTCAGATGAAGAGAGATTGAAGCCAAACCCCCTAAGTTTGTTGACAAGCTGTTCTCTTGAGCACTGATCCTCATTTGTGCAAAATCGTATCTTATATCCAGCTGCTTTAAGCCTGGTTGGGGAAAGCAATGATAAAAATAGTTTGTATCAAAACTTTCTTCGGAAGGAATAATACATGACAGGGAGTACTCCTATTAATAAACCCAGGAAGATTTCCATAAATGGGCAGGAAAGATTTTTGTGTCATTTAGGGGTAGGAATTAGGAGATTATGGTATTACCTAGGGTGCTCAGAACAAATCAAGAGTACTTTTACCCAATGGGTATCATTTTTAGGGAGGAGAGTGAGGAGATGAGGAAGCAGAAGGCAAAAGGAAGAAACAAAGAAAGTCCGAAGAGGGAAGGAAGCATTCAGTAAAACATGATTTTATCCCATATACGAAAAAAAGAAAAAAAACACTACCTTTTATTTGGCTGTCTTTTTATAATATGGTACACTTGACCCTCTTTATAACAGCCAACTTCAGGACAGAAGAAAGTGGCAGGTGGCAGGTGGCAGCTTGACTGTCCACCAAAGAAGTGACCATTATGGAGAGGTGGCCATTAGAGGACGTTTGATGGGGTCTTTAAAGGGTTAAATAAAGTTTGAGTCACACCCTGACAGTTTTTATTGCGGGGTTTTACTTCAGTTCTCCAACAAGCATCCCACCCATTACATGAAAGTCAACCCCTGCCCCCTACCCTGAGGTTGTAAGACTAATGGCGATGAGTTACCGTAAAATTCCGAAAATAAGCCCCGGGGCTTATATTTTTCAAAGGCCCTTTATGAGGGGCTTATTTTTGGAGGGGCTTATAATCGGAGGGAAATTTGTGTTTCAAAATCGTTTGGGCTGGCCTTATAGTTAGAAGTGAATTTACCGTTTTTGCTTTGTTTTACTTTGTATTTGAGGGCAATTTTCCAAGTACAAGCCCCGGGGGGCTTATTGGAGGAGCTATTTAACGGAAGGTTGTTTGCGTTACCGGTTTGGGGGGCTTATATTTGGAGGGGCTTGTACATGGAGGGGCTTATTTTCGCAATTTTACGGTATGTCATTTCACATGTGGGTCTAGTATTTTCACAAGAAATAACTGCTATTGTTCTTGAAGTCAAGAAAAGTTGCCATTGTCTAATTTTTTCACTGATAGGCCATTACTTGATCACCTGATCAACTTTCTGTAAACACGAAAACAGTTTGTGTTTGAAAAATTTTGTTAGCGGGAACTGAAAAAGCATAGTAAAATTGGGTTAAAAGTCGTGGGATGTCCCACATTTCCAAAGCAACGATTTCCAGCGGGGATTATGCACTTATCAATTGAAACCCCGACCCCCCCCCACCCCGGGCCTATGTGGGGCAATGTGGGGGATTTTTATGGTATTTGAAGGCATGGTTAGCCCGTGGGGGTGGGGGATTTCTCAGGATTTGCTTAGCATATTCATGGAAGTCCATGGAAGTCGGGGAGCGAGGTGGGGATTTGACTCATGCCTAGTTTCCTCACGGTAATTTCTTCACGTGATCACTGGTATTTTGATGTATTGCTCGGCCGTAAGTTTCCTAATTGTTTTTCCTTTCATTTCTTCACTGAGACTAATCCTTTGCGATTTTGCCTTGAGCTTTCATGGTTCGTTGACTGGAAATTGTTACTGTTATTCAAAACTTCTCAAACAATGCAGATACAAACTCCTCTACTTATTATAAAAGGTGCTGTGTCACGGCTATCTGGTTCATTTTGTTAATATTGCCAGTTACGTGGTCCCTATTCGTTTTTGAGGGTTACGTTGGCAAAGAAATGAAGAAATCAAAGCTTCGTTTTAAACAGATGTTTCTCCCAAGCATATCAAGCGTTACGGACGAAAAATGAATGAACTTTGAAAAACTGTTAGGTTAACAAGTTTTCAAAAACCAAAATTTCAATCCGTTTTAATCTTCTTCATGTTTTCCCATCTGTACCTTCTTTTGTATTTGCTGAGTCATTTATACCATCTTTTAATGTCTTAAGCGGTTATTTTTATGTTTCACTCAATTTGGTGGCAGTTCCCACAGCCTACATTTTGGTAAATTTCATGACACAGCTCGTTTAACGTCTAGTGTTAAACCCATGTGGTTTCTGAAGTTCTATATTTCCTCATTCTTTAAGCCAAAATATAAAATATAGCTCCTAGGAACTATTTTATGCAGTCTATTTATAACATCAGCTTGTGAAGGTTAAGGTATGTTGGCTGCTATTTTGAATTAAACTTATCATTGCAGATATTACTTTCAATGGAGATGGTACGGATTTCATTTTAATATAACTTTATAACAATGTGCTACTCCATCATCCATTTTGTACCCTGACTTTTTTATAAGTGGGTAGGGGTCATTATGTTTACTTATTGTCAAATATTTGTTGTATTTATATCTTGGTCTGTTATCATATTTGCCTTTTTGCTGTAGTAAATTTGTCAATATTAAGAAGTTGAAAATTCGAACGAAATATTAATAAAGTCAGTCAGGGAATTAAAAAGGTTTCCCCACCTGGGTGGGGGTTTTACCAGTCAATATGCCCCAGTAGGGTGGGAGTTTGCTACGATTTGTAATGATGTCAAGTCAAATCCCCACCTTGGCCCGGGGTGGGGGGGGTCGGGGTTTCAATTGATAAGTGCATTATGGTTACTGGACAATGACTGGAAGTTACATATCACTTTAAAGCTGGAGCTGCATGTTTTTTTGGTGGTCGTCTTGAAACATGAAAAACAGTAAGTTTGATTTCAACATAAAAAGCAAACTTAAGTATGATGGTGGTTAATTTCCTCCTTCTGCTCTCATAAGTTGGGTTCCGGGAGCCTGAGCCGCAGTGAGCCGGAGTCTTAAGTCTTAACGTAAGGCTTACTTTTCCACGGCTTCAACAGATCCCGGTATAGCCTCTCCTCCTCCTTCGCCTGAGTTGTAAAGAACGCCAGATATATCAAGTAAAATTCCCCGAATCTTTCTTCTAAGCCAAGCTGCCATCTCTTCGTTTCCGCGGGACTCACGACTGTCGATCGAATGAGACCGAACTATGATCGACTAAAGTGGATTGCCGACGTTGAACCGAAAGTCAACGATCTTGTCAAACTTCGACTCACGCGAACGAAAATTCTCTGGTGACCATCATGCAGGGAGCAAAGTTTCGCTTTGCAGATGAATCGCTCGTTTGTTTCGGTTTCGACCACCGAATTTGCTAACTGGTTGACTGAAGAGTTTGTAAGGCGCATATTTTTTTTCGTTTTTGGAGCGCTCTTTCCCGCCCTTTCACAGTCAAGTCGTGTCACGCATGCATGCAAGATGCCTGTTCGAGATACCAAAGGAAGATTTTGTGGAACCCTCCACCGAAAACAAGCAGATAATAATTGGCAGCGTAATTACTTTGTCTTAGATGAAGACAAATGCTTACTTCGTTATTTCTCCATTATGAATGCTAAAGTAAGTGAGAATTTTCAATACTGTTTTGCTTTGTTTTTGTCATTTCGTTTCAGATTGTCTTTTATGTTCACTCAATTATCACACAATTCGAGGGGCTCATTATGTACCACTCGAATCGCAGCACTTCCGTCTTTTTAATATGTTCACGAGAACGTACTTTGATTTTATAATAAGTTTAAATTGTACAGCAACGGGTAAAAATCGTAATTGCTGTGATTAGACTTCAATGGAGTTAAGCTTACATCAGCCGGTGAAGAAGGAAATAAAATTTCCTAACTTTTAACGCCTGTTTACGGTATTTGAACTTAAACAAATTATGCAGCTTGCAAGTTAAAAGTCTTAGGTACGCTGACTATTTTAATGATGTACTTGATTGTGAGGTTCTAAAAACCAACGTCTGTGCGGTAAAGTTATTTTTAGAACTAGAACTGTGCCAAGAGGTGGTTTCTATGTTTACACTGTTGCCATAAACTTCTCAAGGATTTTGCGACCTTATTAAATCAGTTGCGGTTTCATTTGCACTGTGAAAGTACTAGAATGCAAAAACAGCTGATTCTCAACAACAATACCAAAAGCCACTCATTATTTTATTGCACTGTAACTGATTGAAACAGGAAACGTGAAATTCTATCCACTGGGCCACTGGGCCAGGTTGACTCCTCATATAAACACCATGAACATTGCATACACCAGCACTTGTGGGATAAATAATGAGAACTGAGAACTCTGCCATTATCGACGTAGCCTTAGATAGCTAAACATTGTTAGCTGCATGTATTTGGCTGCAATAAATAAAAATGTGCCCTTCAAGAGCTTGAAGGAGCATAGAAAGGAGGCAAAAACTTTCACTGTAATCAAAGCTAATTAGTTCAGCTTGATAAGTCTTTAATGTTGTTTATGAATGCTATGTTTTATCAGGAAGAAGAACTGGACTGGGATGATTATGATGGAGAAATAAACGTCCGGCTCATAACTAAGGTTTCAATATACATTTCCATAATTGTGAAGAGTTGTTATAAACAGACTGTGTTGTAAGCTCTAGGGGTTGTGCATTATTTTCAAAGTTTAGTATGCAGTAAAAGTAACAGCAATGTTTATTTGTACTGTGGGTTATAAATATACAACTAAATATAGCATGTAAATTGAAAATACATTATTAATTTCTCGTAAGTCCCAGTGATTTTGTTTCCTCTGTGTCCTGTGTCCCTGACGCATAAAAATCCCCGAAGACACAAAATAATTCAAGGCATGCATCCCACAGGACGCAAAGAATGATAGATCAACTTGAACATTTTTTGGTAGAACATCCTGTTTGTGTGATTTCTGTGGCTGTTACTAAGTTTAAAGATGTGTATTTTTTTTAGCCTTTTTGTGCTTTTAATATATAGAAGGGCTATATTTTAATTTCAGTAAACTGTAATGAAGAGTTTTGGCATCTGTCTCCAGATTAACTGTCTGTTTTTTGAACTGGGACTCATTAGTTATGAACAAGGACTCATGATTTTTCACAAGATGAGTTCCAGGACTCACCATAACCATTTGTAACAAAATCACTGAAATCCACCATTTTTCTCATTTTTATAATATCCATTTTCCTAGCTTTCACAGTTTAAGCCATTTTTGCATAAAATGTGCTGTGTTGAGCGTGCATTTTTTCAGTGTGGTTCCAGAAGATATCTATACCCACCTGCATGAAGGCTCATATTAAATTTCAGGGAAGAGAGGGGTCTTTTTAAAAGCTAATTTTTGAAAAGGAAAGAATTAGGATTAACTGGAGATTCCAAAGGGGTTTGGGCTGTCTAAAGCAAAAAACACCTGGGGGTCAGAGTATGGAATTAGTCACTGAAACAACACGAAAATATTAGCATCGTTTCCTTCTGTGAAATTCTTACCTTCTGTCAGACTATTATCACCTTCATCTTGCAGTCTAGGTAGATCTCCAGTAATAACCTATCAAAAACCTTTCTTACTTTGATTTATTCTTAGATTGAGGATAAATCAAAGAGTGATGATAAGTCAATACCTGATGGATGTATTATTGGTAAGTGTAAAGAGTATTAAGATGTGATAAGTTTCACTATAAGAGCATTTTTTGTGAATCTATAATGTCACAAACTGCTGTCAAAAAAAGTTGAAGGAAGCCACATCCAACTCAACTGATACATATTGTCCCTACATCAAGGCAACACAGAAAGCTGTAAGAATCTTGAACAAGAGATCAGCAGTTACATTTTATCTGGTCACTTACTATAACAAGAATATTGACATATTATTGTTTACCTTTTCACTCAATTACCTGTCAACAGATTTAGAAAGCAAGAAATATTATTGTTTTTGTACATTTTAGTGAATTGTGCATGCCTTGTGAATGGCCATATAACTGAACTTTCTTGTAAATGAGTAAAGGAGATATTTTTAAACAAGTAGGACCCGCCCATCTTGCAAAAAGTCTGGGTGTAGGATTTGTCACCTTTTTTCACTGTCATAGTAACCACAGATTTTGTCTTCATGTCATGCTGATATTCTTGTAGCATCTTGGGGCATAATTTGCAGACAGTCAATCTTCCAGAGGTCTTGAGCAAGTCCTTTGGTCTGTTTCAATTAGGTAACCTGTCTTGTAAGTCCCTTTTGTCTAGTAAGGCTGTTTTTAGCTAGGTCAAAATTTTTTGCCCCTCCCACCAACCCTTTGGTGACACATAACTCTCTCTTCTGTCTTTGTCTGTGACCCTCTGCCTTTGCAAAAACTCTTCCCTTAACCAGGGTTCTATCTAGGGTATTTGAGGGGTAGAAGCTTCCCCCCCACAAAAAATAATGCCCAACAGCTTCTCCCAAAAAAATGTTGTTATCATTACAGTGTATAAGTAACTATATCGGAAAAATCATCCAGACGCGACGAGGTCAGTGCACACACTGGAACATTTCTCAAAATTGTGTCTCAAAATGCACCAGATTGCATCTAAGCGCATATTCATTTAAAAAATTTATGAGAAGGGGGGAAGGGGGCTTGCCCCCAGATCCCCCTAGGAAGCTCGTGGCCTTCAGCCACTTGGGACTTCTTCCCCAAAAGATAAATCCTAGATAGAACCCTGTTAATAGTCCCACAAAGGCAGTAAGTGGTTGTTTGACAGTGGAAGTGTTAGACCATTTCTTTACTGTAAGCCCCTTCTCTATCTCTCCATGTTGTTAGTTTTTACCATCACCAATGCTGAAATGTAGTTTTATACTGTTCCTTTTTTCCTTTTTTTAAATTCCTTTTTTCATGTTCCTGTGGCCCATTCCTAATGGTTTCTGTAATCAACTTTCACTTCTTGCAGTACGTAAATTATAGAGCTCTTCTGTCCCATGTGCTAAGTACTTAAGATAATGCTAATTCTTGATTTAATAATAGAAATTCAAACATGCAATGAGAGATGTTATGTACGGGCAGATACAAAGGAGGGAGCAGAGGAATGGATAAGAACATTGCGCAAAGCAGCTGTGAGTTTAACTGACATGCAATTATGTACTGGACAGGTGTTAAATGAGGGCCTGTTACTGGCTAAACATAGGCGACATAGACTTGAAACAGTGACATAAGACAGCAGAAATGGCAACAAATGACACAGTGATGGGCTGAAACTGCGACAGCGACATGGATTTCTCCTCAATATGCAAAATGACAGGTTTTGACATTCAAATGAGGGACATACGTCCCCCCCCCCCCCCTATGAGGACCTCTTAAATGTGATTGTGATGATATTAAATAATTGTTAGCTGATTTGGCTGAGATAATGGAAAAGAAAGGTGAAGCCTTAAAGTGATTTTGTTTGCCTTTCACATACTGGTATTATGATTTTCTTTTGTCATTGCCACAAAAAAGTATTTGTTTTCTAATTTATAAGGGGCATTCTCATTGTGCCAGTTGCTTTTTGCACGTGTCAACTTTTAACGTCAGTCTCAGATACTGAAGGAATCTCCTCGTCTCCAGCACATACCAACCACTCTGCTGAATAAAGCAAATTTGAAAGTGCTTCTCATATGGGCAAAGATATTAATGAGGACTCAATTTGCCCAAAATTTGGAAAAAGTTCACTTATTCCTATTCATGTAGTTTTTTCTGGCTGCATTTTTACATGAGTTTCTTTCACTTTATCTGTTTAAGACTTGTTGTATAAAAGTTGAGTCGATATGTATTTTAATAACTAGTAATTCCTGTGAATTTCCAGCTCCCTATTCTCAGGGGGTAGCCTGAAGACAGCAAACGTGCACAAAAAGTCAAATCATCAGAGTGCAATCATTTGCGGGTTGTTGAAGTGTAGGGAGACAAAGCAGATGATAGCCCCCCCGCCATAATAAAATAAAGAACCAAAAAGCAAGGAAAAGGCCAACCTCTAGCCATCTTGACCAAACAAAACTTGCATGGCCAATAAAATATTTATGATATAAATTGTTTCATCTTTTTTCCTTTTCTCATTACAATTATTTAAGTATAGCCAATCAGGAAACAGGATTCGCTTCATCTTACCTGCTGACAGAGTCAGCAAAAACAAGTAATATTACTAATATGTTACTTTATGTTATGTTATTGTTCATTGTGTAGCTCAGTTGTGTGTGGTAAATTTTGCAGGTGAATCCATCCAAAAGGCAGGAAAGAAGAACAGAAGAAGCAGAAACAGCGAACCTTTCTGGGGAGGATCAGGGCAAGGAAAGTACTGATGATAGTAAAACAGAGCATGTGTGCTATGAAACAAAAATCATTGGAGGTGTGGTCGTGAGAACACCTGTTACTAAGGTTAGTTAAAAATTGAAATGTTATTGGATTCACATTTTTGTAGTCCCATACCAGATTGTGGTGCTGCATCTGGAGTGGGGAGGTGTAAGTCAGTTGTAAGTTTTACCTTAATTTGACGTGGTATTTACACTTATTTGTTACTTTTCAGTCATATATGAAAGTGTGAGGTATTTTTCTTTCCCAAATAACATGGGTCATTATATTGTTTGTTAACAGGTAACAGATTCCGATGGTGAAAGTCAGTCCACTGATTCATTGACGCGTTCAGGATCTGCTGGTGCAACCAGTACAATAAAACCCATTAAGGAGGGATATCTGATCAAGAAGGGTGCTGTGGTATGTTTGAGACAACTCTTATTTACAAATTTGATAACTGTTGAAATTCTTGAATGCTCATTGGTCAAGATGAAATGGCATAATGGTATAATGGCATTGCCTTCTTTCCCTGTCTTTCTCATGTGCATGTCAGGATGTTTTGAGAACTTTGTTGGAATTTAACATTCAAAAAATGTAAATTTGTTCAAACCAGCCTCAATGATAATGCAATTTCCCACTGCTGTTACATACTTATAGAGAATAGAAATGCATCAAAATCTTAATGTATACATTGCAATAAAATCACTCCCATCCACCCCCATGCCCTCCCCCTTGCCCCTTCTTAAATTTCGTTTGAGTATCAAACTGTTTTTGATAGCATAAAATTAATGACCTGAAAAAATGTAGACCTTATGCAAATGTTTTTAACTTGTAAAGTGCAAACAGAATCATAATTTGGCCATTCTCTTTAAGTCTGCAGCATTAAACATTTTGTTCCTTTGTAGGTTAAAAATTGGAAAAAGAGATATTTCAAGCTGGATTTTCTAAAACTGGCATACTACGAGAAAGAAACAGTAAGTGGTTTATAAGCTTAAGTCAGATATTACGCAGTTCTTTAATGAGGTCCTATTGGGAGTATGCTGGTTGAAGGGAATAGTATGTATAACGTCATCTAAATAACGAGACATTTTATGCTTTCCAGTCCATGGGTGAAGAAATTAGCATATCACATTTATTCTGTTTCTCGCAATTTCTATCGGTCACATTAAATGTCGACTTTATTTTGTTTCTTTCATCAGGATAAAGAACCTATCAAAGTGATTTACTCAACAGACATCAAGGATGCAAGGAAAGCTCCCGGGTAAAATCTCAATTTAATTGTGAACCTGTAAACTGTAAATTGTAATATGTTTTAAACTCAAGAATCACGTAGGAGTTCTTGTAAACTAGTTTAAACATGTCCGTGTGTTCCAGATTGAATTGGAATTTGGAAGTGTTGGTTGAGTCTTGGTTTTTGAGGAGAGGGTTAAGGTTTGAGAGGGTTTGACAGGGTTCTCAATAGAAGGCGGCACCCGGCGATTAATCGCCGCTTACTTTGGGATTTATAGCCGCTTACTTTGTGTTTAAGTCGCTTTTCTTTGCTTTGTTTTGACACCTCTGGCTTTACTGAAGAGCCTCCTACTTTATCAGTGATCACCTCCTACTTAAAAATCTATTGAGAACCCTGGTTTGAGAGAACCGGAGTGCCCAGAGAAAAACCTCTGGGAGCAAGGGAGAGAACCCAGGCCAAACTGGTGGGAGGCGAGTGCTCTCACCACAGCATCACCCTTGCTCCTCAAAGGTTCACAGTTGTTAAGGTTATTGCTCACTGTGGGGTTCAAACAGACACCAAGCTAAACTAACGTTACTTAGAGAGGGTGTTTTTTTGTAGTTCCAAGAACTGAACATCAAGATAAAATAGGCCTTTTGCAGTAGTTGATCACGTGATCAACTTCCAGTAAATATCATCCTCGGAAACCCAGGCGCAGCTAGTCGGGGGTGACAGAATGTTCGTGGTGAAGGTTTACTTTATAGCTTTCACCACGAACATTCTATTGTTCTCACTAACTGCCCCTGGGTCTCCGAAGATGATGTTTACCGAACGTTGATCACGTGATCAACTAGTGCAAAAGGCCTATTGGAATTCAGAAATCATGGTATTGGATTTTTAGGAGCGTGAAAAGAGAAGTACCATGAAAACAAACGGCACCAGCAGGACCATCCAAACAGTTCAAGGCAGCCTTATTTCATAAGTTTACTGTATCTCATAACAGCTTGTCTCAGCTAGATTCAAGTGATCAGGAGAAATAATTCATAAGATATAGAATTTTACATCTTTTGATCCCGAATGTGTCATTTGTTATGCCACAAAATAATTATCGGATACAACCAGAATGAGTTACATGTCAGTCATAATATGTCATCCAGCGTTTTATTTTCATTACAGTGTTGACAACAACAGGGAATATTTATTTGAAGTGGTTACGTCAACAAGAACATTCTTATTTCAGGTAATTATCCTGGACGATCTTAAATTAATTTTAAGAAATAATTGGAAGGCTAATATCGTACCGTAAACTGTTACTTATAAGCCCTGGGCTTATATATCTTCTTAAGGGTAAAGGGGTTTTAGGAGAGTTTATAAATGGAGGGGTTTATCTTTGAGGGGGCTCGTAACCGGAAAAGAAAAAGCGCTTGTAATCAACAGCAAGCCATAGCAGTGCAATAAAAATACGTTTTGCATTTACTGGTTTTTATTTTAAGCTTCAAAACGTCATCTGCCGTTCATCCTCTACATGTATTAAGCCCCCCTTTTCAGGGGAAGAAGGATACAGATATAGGTTTGACGGCAAACGAAATTTCGTTGTTTATTTATAGGGAAGTACAGAAGAAGAAATGAAGTCTTGGATTGATGCAATTTCTAAATTTGCATCTCTTAGAGTCCGATCCTCAAGTGAACCGGTATAATTCTATTTATTATTTACATGTACTTGGTTGTTCGCGATTTTGCATTGCCGATAAGACAGGTTTTTTTTGACAGCAAATGTTTCAATTAATATTTTCCAAGAAAAACTGAAGACAGTGCTTGTCTTACGTTTTTTGATGGGGAAAGGTGTTGGGGGGCAATCAAGCTGCACTCCTGGAATGAGTCCATCAAAGAAACAATTGATTTACTTGCTGTTCCTTTATCTCATATTTGCAATCTATCATTTGAGCGTGGT